TACTCTGAGTTAGCATCCATCAGTCATTGCCCCAGTCCTCAGCAGCAAGTCTATCATCATCAGTCACCACTCAGCAGTCACAGTTCATATTTTCACACCATCTACCAGTTTCATATACATTTGCACACAGCTTGTGCTTTATTCCCATGCTTTGTGCACCTATGGGCTCCATATTCTTGCACATGCTTCCATCACACTTCAGCAGAGTTGATCTGGTGTCACCCAGTGGATCCTTGCTTTCTTTGCTTCTCTTAAGGGTCAAACATATCACTTGGTGCACTTTGACCAACACATAGAGAGTTAGTGGCCTTTCTCTTCTCCCAGAGTGAGAGCCATCTTTGAATGATATAGGGAATGATGCCACAAGTTCATGCTGTGAACTGTATGCAGATAGATCACAATACAGGGCCCTGTGGGCATCCAGAGGCATGAGTCTCTATAATAAACCATTCTAATCCTGCCTTGCAAGCCACCACTGTCTTCATGTTGATAATTTTCATGCTAACACCTGTCAGCCTTTGTACCTAGCTCCCTGATCTTGTCCTTTTGAATCAAACACCAAGGACATGGGCACTGAGTGAGAAATTTGATGTAGGATAGAAGAGTCCTAGTATCTCTGCATTAGTATGAATGGGAAGTCCAGTGGCTTTCATGTACCTCTGTGGGTAGTCAGCTGAGTATGAAAAAAGTGTGGAAAGACATGTCAACTTATCCTGTCAAGGCATTCAATAATGACACCAAATTCATAGGCATGGATGAAGTTGTTGTCCATTGGAAGAAGCCAGATGGCTTGCATCAGTTCCTGATGGCAGTAAGTCAATATATCCACTGTCATAACCTTGCCAAACACTTGACAATAGCAGTCATGAATGGCATCAGTGAGCTTAAAAAAATACAATGAATTAGGTTACAGGAAAGATTGCAGCAGATGAACAATGATTGAACTTACTTTTGGTATATATGCTAGGTGGTGTGCTGCAAAGGATAAAGGTTTTCCACAAACATATTTAGATTAATACAATTGTTTCTTTCCAGACATTGAAAGAGAGTGCTCCCTATTGACTCCTTCACCCACATCTCCCATTATGTCACTCACTTGTGGTTGTGGTTGTAGTTGTGACTGTGGTCCTAGCAGCTGTTGTGGTTGAGGCAAATGTGGCAGCAAATGACTCTGTTGATCCTTGACTTTCAAGTTTTTTTTTCATCTTGTCACATTGTTCTTGATGTTGTCTGCACTTCTCATGTTTTTGTATCATTACAAGTTGCTTGATCAATGAATTTTAAATGAATTGCAATATATGTTTTCTAAGTCAATACATGATTGGGAACCATTGCATGACAATCAAGGCCTGAACAGGTCTGAAATCTCTTGCATTCTGGCCAGTTCTTACAAGCTCTTCCTGGCTATACATGATCCACAAGTTCTTGAATGATTCACCTGTCTTGTTACAACCTTACATAAAACCCAAACCATCAAAGCTCATGCATGGTGTCTCACCAGCCTGGCATCATCTTGTGGCACCTAGTGAACCTGGTGTATTCATACATGACAAGGTGACAACATACATCAGCAAACCACCCATTTTGGATACAAGATTCCCACAGTGACACAACTGGCACAGCCCCACAGCAGTACAGTGCACAGAGCACACAGGGCTATAGTGTGACATAGTCTCGCACAGTGCAAAGGGTCATACTGCTTGGTGATATAAATTCACAAATAAATCAATGCCTGCTTGTCTTTATTCATATAATGAGTACTACTGCCAGTGACACTCAGAGAATATGTTCAACAGCTCAATATTCATTCAACTTGAATCAAGCCTGAGAACTTTGACACTCAGGCTACAACATACAAGGACTCCCCTTCAGTCAGCTCTATAACAATATATTGTGTTTACAGTAGTAACTCAGGAAATACTATATTGGCATTGTCTCTGCAAATAAACAGTGTATCTTTGTGTTCTCACTTTTAACAATGCTGTGCACAATTGACTGTGAGCAAAGGGATCAGTCCAGAGGTTGAGCATGGTTTACATTAGTGTCAAACCTTAATATTATACATTGTTGCATATGTGGGTCACAGAAGAAACTGTCTTCAATTCACTGTCCATGACAAACAGTTTGTATGGAATGCAGGGGATGCAGTGGCTTTCAAATATATTGAGAAGTTTGACTTAGCTTGAGAAAGTGACAATGCAGCACAATGATGTGCATGCATGTGGATATTAATACACAACAACACAGTATCATGACACAGTGGACCAAAAGAGTGGTGAAGAGAAGACAGTAATACATGTAGAAAATGTACAAATGTGAATATGTGTGTACAAATCATCTACAGATGTAGACCTATAACTGCTAACCTGTTGTCAAACAGACACAGATCTTAATAGTGCATACTCATCAGCCATTGCATGGTGATTTTTAGAACAATCTTGTTTACCTGATTTGATGGATGCAGGACAAGGAGACCAAAGTGACTGCCCTGAGCAGACAAACTTACACCTCATCAAGTGAGCATGCATGCACCCTACATTAGCTTCTGCATCTCCAAATTTTCTCTTTGCCTTCTTTACTTGAAGAAGTAGATGGTGTTTGCACATGCAAAATTGATGAAGAACTCATTCAGCAAGGTCCTTCTCAAGGTGTTGAACTTTGAGATTGGCTCGTGCCATCTCAAGCAAGTATACAGCTTCTTCTGAAGTCTCCAGCATCAATGTAGTATGAGTGCCAAATTGCCAGACCTGTGAATTATGGTGTTTGTACTGTAGAAAGTTCTAGTTCAAGGCAAGTGTTAGAATCAAACTCATTACTCACCATATTACAGTAAGCAACAAAACTGTTGCAATGTTTGCATGATTTTGATTGCTCTGACCATATCATTACAGGGATTGCAGCTATCAAAATATAAATGAGAGCAATATTGTAGCCCTACATCCAGGCTACAATAGTTGTACTACATTGAAAGTGTGAAAACATTTCCTTAAAATAATACATGCAATTTACCACAGGGTATGCATTACAACAGTTTTATTGCTGATATTTTTAAATAACAAAATCCTACCAATAGACACCACTTATGTTATTTAGCATGTCTTACAATGTCATGTGACATGTAAATGGATCAACATGATATAAACAAAACCAAACATTGAACTTTCTCAACACTTATCATCATGAAAGCCCTCTCTGCTGAACAAACCAACCAAATCCTCTTTCACCTTGATTTAAACCATTCTACAAGGGAGATCTCACATGCTACTGGCATATACCACAGTACCATTAGCAGAATTTGCTCTAAACTTCGTCCTGACCTTCAAAAGTCCTCTGGTGGTCGTCCTTCTATCCTTTCCTCCTCTGATGTTTGGCATGCTATTCAGTTAATCAGTATTGGCAAGGCTGAAAATGCCACTCAAGTTACCAGAGCACTTCAGGACATCAAGAACCAGCCTGTATCCTCTCAGACAACACATCATTATTTGAAGAAATCTGGGATGAAAGCTATAGTCAAGCAAAAATGCCCTCTTCTCTCCAGGCATCATAGGCAAGCAAGACTAGACTTTGCCATTAGTCACCAACACTGGACTGTGGATGACTGGAAAAGAGTCATATGGTCAGATGAAACCAAAATCAATTGTTTGGGGTCAGATGGAAGGAAGTGGGCTTGGAAAAGGGCAGGAGAAGGCCTAAGTGATAGGCTGGTAGAGGGAATAGTAAAGTTTGGGGGAGGTTCAGTGATGATGTGGGACTGTATGACTTGGCAGGGTGTAGGGCTGGCCTGCAAGATTGATGGTAAGATGGATGCTGACCTCTACACTAGCATTTTGGAGGATGAACTCCAACAATCCCTCAACTATTATGACAAGTCTCCTGCAGACATTGTCTTTCAGCAAGACAATGACCCCAAGCACACCAGTAGGAAGGCCAAGAAGCAGTTTGAGGATCATGGATATGAGGTCATGATATGGCCTGCACAGTCCCCTGACCTCAATCCAATCGAACATCTGTGGTTTTTCTTGAAAAGGAGGCTTGCAGAGTACCCCAATCTACCAAATGGGATAACAGAACTTTGGAAGTGTATAGAGAGGGAATGGGGGCAGATTGATGCAGCCACATGTCAGAATCTCATAGAAAGCATACCAAGGAGGGTTGAGGCAGTGATTAAGGCCAAGGGAGGATATACTACCTACTAATACCTTACAATATTTATATCTGGAATCAGTAGCAATAAAACTGTTGCAATGCATACCCTGTGGTAAATTGCATGTATTATTTTAAGGAAATGTTTTCACACTTTCAATGTAGTACAACTATTGTAGCCTGGATGTAGGGCTACAATATTGCTCTCATTTATATTTTGATAGCTGCAATCCCTGTAATGATATGATCAGAGCAATCAAAATCATGCAAACATTGTAACAGTTTTGTTGCTTATTGTATGTACTTCCAAGTATTCAGATGTATCATCTGGAACATTGGAGCCTAGATCCACAGAAAGAGTCACATAACTTGAAGGTTTTTGGCCTCTGAATGTCAAAGGTGAGAAAATAGATGACCAGGATGATTGTGATGATGCATAGCTTGAATGATACTTTGACATTGTAGTTACGGTTCATGTTGTGCTGGAAATTACTGATAAGACATTCAACCCAAATTGAATTGGACTGTGACTTACTTCATGTCTTCAATATGTGTTGCCCATCCTGCAGCAAGCATCTTAAAAATGAGGGACATTTTCTACAACATCTTAATCAGCCTGCTTCCTGCTGTTACAAGTGGGATGGTACTAACCTGGTTTGCATCTCAAGGCCACAAGTCCCAAGTCCTCTCAACAAAGATATGGATTTGACCTTGGACCCGGAGTTTAGTGTGAACTTGAAGCATGTATTTGATGCAAACATTGAAGCAGAGCCTGAGGGTGGTTTACAAGCAGATTATGGTGAAGAAGTGGAGGTTTTTGATGGTGCTGGCAAGAGATGGGTATTGGACAGACCTTCATGGACCAGTTCAGTGAGAATAAGTGTGCTGTGGAGAGGAAGGAAAACCAATACTGGCCTTTTGCTAGCAAACCAGACTGGGAGATGGCATTGTTTCTTCTCTGGTCTAATCTTAGCATGGTTGATATTGACGAATATCTTAAGCTTGAATTTGTGAGCTCTTCTGTCTAAGTTACTTGGTCTCAACTTACTAGTATGTTCAGACCAAAACACTGCCATTGTCATTTCAGTCTTCGAGAGAACTCCAAGGATGCTCTGAATTGCTCCTAGCACCCCCTCAATGGAAGTATGAAACAGTTACAACCAAGTTTCCAACAACAAAGATCCTCCAAATATTTTATCAGGACGCAATTGAGTGCTTACAATCACTTCTCAGCCACCCACTGTTGGCTACCAGCTTTGATTTCATCCCTCACAAAGTTTACAAGTCTGCTGAACATGCTGTCCAAGTGTATCATGGATTTATGACAGGTGACCATGCTTGGAACCTTCAGGTAAGGTCTCATGTTTCAATTCTTTGGTCCACATAGCTAACAGGATCACAGAAAGACCTACCTGAAGATGCATCACTCCTTGGTATAGTCCTCTCCTTGGACAAGACCAAGGTTACTAACATCACTGGTAACTGTTATGCACATCCACTTCTTGTTAGTCTTGCTAACATTGATCCCAGTGTGCATGCCAAAGGCTCCTTACATGCCTATATCCTACTTGCTCTACTTCCTGTTGCAAAGTTCATGCACAGGAACAAATGCATGCATGGGGTTCTCACAGACCGCTTACTCCATCACTGGATTGACCTTGTTGTTGGGCCATTGAGGCAGGCAGTCTGTCTTGGTGTTATGATGAGTGATCCACAGGGGTTTAGCAGGTATTGCTTCACTCTCCTTGTTGCTTATGTTGCAGATACTCTGGAGAAGCTTGTCATTGCATGCACTATGATAAACTCATCACCTGTCACTATGGCTACCCACAAAGACTTTGGAGACCCAATCTGACACCCTCCTCATAATGGATTATCCACCCTTGCCAATATCCATTATCGCATCTATCTCACCATCTGATCTTGTCACATTCTTTGAGGCTTGTAAGCATTATAATCTAAATGGTGTTGACTTGCCATTCTGGAGGAATTGGCTTGCCGCCAATCCTTCTTCCTTCCTTACTCCAGAGCTACTTCACCATCTTCACAAGATGTTCTGGGACCACAACCATCTCTGGTGCACATTGGTGGTTGGCTCACAAGAAATTGATTTTCATTTTGCACTGCTCCAGGTGTGCGCTAGTTATCATACATTTAAGAAAGGGATCTCCACTTTGAAGCAGGCCACAGGATGACACCATCACAGTGTTCAATGTTACATCATTGGCATGATTGCTGGTGCTGCCCCTGCCAACTTCATATCTGCTATTCATGCTCTTACAGAGTTTAGATACCTCACTCAAGCCCTGCATTTCACTGACAAGCAAGTGGTAGAGTTGGACTGCTGTTTTAAAGCCTTCCACTGGCTCAAACATTCCATTGTTGATGCTAGGTGCTCGTTAGGGGAAAAGGGGCAAGGATAAGCCATGGGTGATTCCAAAACTTGAGTTGCTGCAGGGGGTAATACCCAGTATTTATTCACATGGTGCTGTTATGCAGTGGTCTGCAGACCCTACTGAACATGCACACATCAGGGTTGTGAAGGAGCCATCAAGGGCAGGGAACAATCATGACTATGACACACAAGTGTGTCTCCACCTTGATTGTTGCGATAGGTGGAGCACTTTGACCTTGCACTGCAGATGTGTGCACAGGAGGATCATGAAGGTCATGAAAGTGATGAAGACAATGAGAGTGGTCTTGCTCATCATTTTGTCAAGGACTACTTTGCTTGCACACACAACCTCATTAATGGTGTCCATCCTCAAGCTCCCTGTCCCTATCAAACATTCTCAACCTCAATCAATGCTTACCATCTCAACAATCTCACCCACCCTCACAAAAATGACAGTAGATAAGGCTTCTGAAGACTTCTCTCTTCCTGACCTTCATCCTGCAGTCTTCAATCATCTCAACCAGGATGACACTGATGTTGATCATTTCATTGTTGGTGGCAGGCACTGTGCATGCCCTGGCTTCCCCCTCCCCTTTGAACACATTTAAATATGGTGCAAGATACAGATGCAGTCAAAATCTTTTCATAACCCTGAACATCTTGAGCCCCCACAAGCACTACACATTGAACTGCCCTCAAATTCCTGGCCATATGGCTGATATGACTCTGTTATTGTTAGTACAGGCAACATACACAAGTGGCCAAAAAGTGGCCTAGACAGTATGTTTTTATACCTATACTGTCATGCTACTGATCTTGATCAACACAGGACACTTTGTTACTCATCTTCATCTAATTTTTCATCTCATCATGACACTTTCATATTCTCAATCATATCTTGCATATGTCAAACATTTAGATGTTGTGACTCTTGACAAATCTATGGGTATATATATCCTCAGGTGTGCCCAACAAGTGAATAATGACCAAATTGGCAATGTTATCCCAATCACTCAGATTGTGGTGCCCATCCACGTTAGCCTGCATTTTGGTTAAAAAGCCAATCCATGATTGATGATGCAAAGCAGTATTAACCATATCACAGAGTTTTACTTGAATAAGTTCTGGAATAAAGAGCTGTTCTTTGCACTTCATGTGACTGGTAGATAGACAGATAGGGGGTATTAACTATTTCAGATTGATGGCTTTTTTTTCATTGGCCAGCCCATCATGAGAGCCAATGGCATAGCACCCAAACTTTGAACTATGTAGGCTTGCACATCAGATCTGTTGCTTTGTACCTACCACAATCTATAATGGCTGTGGTCTTTGGAGACCTTGTTGGAGGACCATACTATTATACTCACAACTCCAGAGGCAAAACTCCCATGTCTGATATGAAGAGTGAACCGACTTCAGGCATGCCCATCTTATCCATGCCATTGTGGATCTCTAGCAGATCAAGATGATGTGGCCCTAAGACAGAGACCCTGCATTCTGTGGATGTAACTTGTATGCTAATAGATTGCTTATTTTACAAATCTATAGACAAACCATTGAATACTTCAATAGTGGCAGCAGAGACTGAAACTCCAACAGTTGCAGCTAAGCCCCAAACTGATACTGCAGTCATGCAACATGATCAGGTTTTGGGCATCATGAATGTCATCACTGCAGAACCAGGTAAGGGCGCTTGCCCACTAAGATCAGTTGTTTCTCACAGTTTGCTGCTAGCTGGGTGCTACAAGCAACTCATAGATGCTCTTCAGCAGGTCTGGGTGGAACCTGTATGCTTTGTCAATGTCTCTCCTGATGATCATGTGTGCATTTTGGAGCACATGGACTCTCTGACATTTTCAAACTATCACACAAAGTATGTCATGTCAATTGTATTTATTTGCATAAACATTGTCATATGTTAACATCATAGGATGTTGTATTTTCCTTGCAGAATGATTATCATCATGTATTTTCCACACCCTGTCCATGAACAAACCATGAGTGAGATGTCTTTCATCATCTCACAAGCTCTCCACAGCATTTGGTATAACTGAACACTCTTGAAGACCTGTGTCTCTTCCAACAGTTGGATCTACTCTGAAAACATTTTCACCATACCTGACATGCAGGTAACCATGACACCTACAACCACAATAGCCACTGAGACCTAACTTCTCTGGATGGTTGAATCCAGATTCACTCAGTCTTAACCTGCCATCATGGCAAAAGTGGGAGATGTGCTTCTATCGCACAAAGAACTACTTCTTATTCTTATGATCTTGGTTAAAGAAAAAAAGAAATTTGCCACCCCACAGCAGACTCTGATGCTTGGAAGGAGACACAAAGAGGGATTGGTGTAGACTTACAGTGCCTTTGCTCCCACACACACTGCCAACAAGTTATTCAGGCCTGTGGTAGTGTTGGGGCATGAGTGGATTGACATTGAGTCTGTCAAATATTATGTTTGAGTTAAATCTGGAGATCAGTGTATTGATATAACCACTGATCCTATGGTGCATGGAGTAAGTCTAATGTTTTGATAATGAGAATATGAGTATGCTGATGTATATTTACAGACACTATTTCTGGATATTAACATGGGTGATGTCACTGATGCATTGAACCATGGTATGGATCATGTGAAGGCCACCATGAGCCACATCCTTGACACTATCAAATACAATGTAAATCACCAGCATCTTCTCACCCCAGCATGCTCACATTCAATTGGGAGCTCAATAAGTCCTTCATATCAGTTGCTGCTTATCAAACTGCCCACTTCTACTACTGTGATTGGTACCATCACCAATTCTCTGGCATGAAGTGTCATTGTATGGGCAATCCTACCATAGATGTAAGTACCAGGCCCTCAATCAGGAGAGCCTTATCTTCTGGACATGTCTGGGTGAACAATCCAGAGAGTGCCGAACCCTCAATCAGCCACATATCCATCTCCAACACTAGTGATGAGACTACTTCCTCCTCAGAACTAGCCACATCTGGAACCGAGTCTTCCTCTAAGCTAAGTGATAATTCAGATGTGTAGGTCTCAGTGAGGGGGATGAAACTTAACCTTTGAATTTTGTGCTCTCTCTGTAAATGCATATGTTTCACCACTTATTCCTGTTCTTGTAGGCCCTGCCTTCTGTTGTTTTGTTGTACCTACATACTATAGTCTAGCACCATGTTCCACCACACTCCATTCACAGAGTTTCAAATGTGTAGCACTACTAGCCTGTGAAATGAACACATTGTGACAGTGTTTGTGTTCACATTCAATTTTTGATGGGTAAATGCAAGACCATAGTAGCAGCTGATCTTGGTAAGTATACTAATTTCTATCTAACAAAACTGATATGTAGTACCATAGAAGACCTACATCGCTCTAAGTGAAGTAACATTGGTCAAGGTGGATGCCTTGGCCAGCTTCAAAAGATGGAATGTTTGCAGATGAAACAACAGCAGCCAGTGAAGGAAAACCCTGCTCAGAACATGCTGAACAGCCAGCCTGTAAATTTTATGGCACCAGAGGCACCCAGACCCAAACCAAGGGCAAGACCAATCAAGGTGGTATCAGGCAACAAGAATGCAAAATCTGGGAAAGTGAGCAACAAGAAGACCAAGTGTCCTTCAAGCTCCAGCTTACTGTGGGATAAAAGGCGTGTCATGGAGGACAGACTTATTTTACATCCCTGTGGTGTTGACTCAAGGTTTGGCTAGGTTTGCTCATACATCCTCCCAGCCCAACACCCCAGAATGCACCCTCACTGGTGCCCATTTACAGAAACACAACAATCCAGGTTCTGATTTATGTTCTGACACTAGTTGTGCTATAGCAGCATCCAACCTGTCCCTCCTGAACACACCTTCACTGGTGCTCATTTGTGCAAACATGATTATCCATGCTCTCACTCTGGTCGTATGCAACTGGTTTCCAAACTCATCCCTCCTCAACATACCACCACTAGTGACAACAATCTGCCTACTGACCCAGACTCTGATGCAAATGCTGATTATGTTCATCCATCCCAAATGGATGTTTCAGATGCTGAGGCTCCTCTATGTGGAGATGAGGGCTATGACTCAGGAAGAGATCATGACATGGATGCTAACGGTTCTGATGCAGATACTAATGGTTCTGATGCAGACGAGTGGAATGGGGTGTATGCAGACTATGACCATGGCATTGATAGTGCAGAGGGGGACTAGGATGTTGGTGGCAGACCTGATCTTTATGACCCAAATAAGGATCATGATACCTCAGATGATAGCAGCAATGGTGAGATATCCCATGTTTGTGTCTGACATGCTACTTACTTGCCTGCTCAACTTATACAGACAAAGCTACTTGCACATACTCTTGAGCTATTGGTAACCCATGAAATGCCAAAGATGTCCTCAACAATCATCACACAAGGAACTGTTGCCCTCATATACCATACCCAGACAAGCTTGAGAATTTACATCAACATGCTACTACTCAAGATTTGGCTGAACCTTCCAAAGAAGAGAAGGTTGTAGTACCATGCAAGAGAATGCAGATGGTCAAACTGACCACACAGAATATTTGTTTCTATCTCCTTCTTGGAGGGACATTCTAGAGGCTGCAAAGAAGAAGTCACACCTGGGTTTACTCACTAGCACAGCCTCAAAGCACAGCAATTTTCTCCAAACCAAGGTCATCAAATATATCTTAGAAACACTTGATAATTTTGGATCTCAAGGTATAGGTGTTGACAATGGATACTGGGATGAACACAAATCAGATATGGCAGTCTTGGTATTTTTTGTTCTTACTCTGTTTGACAATGCTAACAATTATGTAGCTATGGGACAATCGTGCTACTATGCATTCTGAGATGAAAAAGGTTGCATGTCCAATTGTTCTAGCTCATTATGAAATTCTTCCAGATGATATTGACAATGAGGATGACTGTGAGCAGGAGGTATGTGATAATGTCAAAATATTGTTGCAGGATGGTAGTTTCATACAGGATGGAGTGGATGCACTGGTTAGTTGATTAGAACCAGCCATGCACTTACTGACTCAGATGTGTGTATTAGGGCAGGACCAATAACCTTGCAAATGAGGCCCTTGGCATCTTCTGTATGTCCTATTTTTACAAGGGCAAGAATACACTCATGAAGACATTTCCAGACTTATTCACCAATACTGTTCCCAAGGGTGCTGTTGCACTTGTAGCAACTGTGGTACATGATCACAAGCTCACTGTAACTATTTTCATCCACTCATCTAACTAGCTCACTGCTGCTATCAATGAATACAAGACTGGCATCTACAAGCAAATGAAATTCGTGGCCAAGTTATATCAACCAATCTACAATCATCAGCTACAATAATGTAAAGAAGGACCACTATCATGCCAAGAAATGCTGGGCTGCCTGAAAGAAATGGGCTCATGCTGCAGGGTACAGGTCAAGCTTTTTTAATTTGTATTATTTGTTGATGGCCATGCAGAATTCTGACTTGCAATGATCCAAACAGGCACCATGATTGGGGCTTGAAGCTCCAACTAGACTGATCATGTCTTAGTATTTCCATAGGATACCTATTTGTAGTATGACACAATGATGATTTGTTTGGTTTTAATTATCATGCACTTTCTGTTGTGATTCTGTGAGCATTCTGTGATATTCCTGTCTGGGCTACCCAATTGTGCTGTATTGTATTGTCCTAAGTACCTAACACTCTGTACAGCTCTGTACAGAGAGAACCCTTGCTGTGGGCTCTGTGACTCTGTCCAGCACTGTCCAGGGTTGTACAGAGGACTTCTGGTTTGCTGATGCTCTAAGGTGAGCACCCTGGTCTCTGTTTGACAAGTTCAAGGAGGTGATAGACATCTCTTGTGTCATGAGATGAAGGTGGGAGTGGGAGCACTATAAAGACAAGGTACACTATGCTTTTTATCAGTGGAGGCTGATATATAACAACATACTACTCACATCTCAGTTTCTGCTCAAGAACTGAGATGTCTGACCACTGAGGTGATTTACTTTATAGTGAGTGCATAAGGAACAAAAATAAGTAGAAATCTTGACATATATTTCAGGGCACAGCTCAATGTCAGCCTGACACTGCCTATTGGCCACATTTGGCCTTGCACTTGGACCATCACTCTTATTGTCTCCTCCTTGTACCTATCTCGGATCCTTCAGCATTTTCTTCATCTGCTCTTTTGGATCATTCAGATTCCAAGAACATCACTATAGTTTAGAGCTGTTGGCTGACCACAACAGAGACTCTTGGGCTTTGATACATGGCCAGTTGCATAATACTGCTTCAATACACAGAAAAAGGTTGGACAAGAGAAGTTGTCTGCTGTACAAGCAGATAGCTGCAAGCTTGAGGTCATCACTGATGCTGTGATAAGGCATATTGCTGGCAATTTGAAGTATCAACAAATTTACAGAAATTTACACTAAGTTTTTCTAGTATCATCATGTTTTCAAATAGCTGTAATTGAGTTGGCAGTCTTATTGAACATATGCTAATACTTGTTCTCCAGCTATTCTGGATGAAATATATGTAGAGTGGTGAGTGCTGGAGTGCATTGTGCATTCTGGATCAGATGATAGTAATGCGCTTTTGATATACATTAGCATGTAATGCTGCTAGGAAATTTCCAACAATAATCTTGAGTAATGAGTGACCTGTTACTGTTCCAGAATTGTTCAGTTCCCAAACTCAAGAAGAACAAGGTACATGCAAGGTGATGTTACATTGTCATGCCTGACCCCCAGGACCTCCTCACATATATGTAACATGAAAAATCTAATAAACCAGACTGAAGCTTGACCAAGGCACTATATAACATTCAATCTTTGTGGCAAGTTAAGATGTGCACCCACAATGCACTCACTGCAAAGGTTCATTGACAGTTTCCACACAACTCTAATAGCCCAATATGCTTATAGGATGTGATCCCTCTGCCCTCTGCAAGTGAATGCAATACATCCTGCTCCATTGAAGACATCGGACTTGTGAGCTTGATGTGTGTATCATCAGCAGTGACACTGGAGAGCCTGAGAGGGGTGAATGGGTGGTGGATTTGATGCTGTAGTGACATATTGCATGCAGCTGTGATAGTAGAGTCAATGCCAAAGTTTTTTATGGTTCAAATGTAACTTTATTTACCTGAGAACTGACGAGGAGTATGAACAGTGCTGCCTCACTGAGACTATATCAAAGCTGAGGTTGTTGGAGTGCCACAATAATCCTCGAAGTATGGAAAAAGTTCCACATGTCCATTGGGCATTGCTGCAACTTAGTTGCGGTGCACTCACAGTACCAAATCATGTAGATCCATCAGCTGATGGTGGTTATGATACACTAGTCATGAGTAATAAGGGTGAGCAGAAAGACATCAGAGCATGCTGCAGGAAACGACATACCACATGTAAGAACATGTGTATATCTAGACTTGAGAAGAGCTGATTCTCAAGCCTCACAAAGATTTACTTGAGAAATGTGTTAAAATACAGTAAATACTAGGAGACAGAGGGAACACATACAGGAAAAGCCACAGTGGCTAGGAGATTGATGGCAATATGCCATTGAATGGCCTTGATGATTAGTTTCAAAGTGCACTGGAGTGCATTGCTCCATCATGAGAGCACAAAAGCACTCCCAGGTAACCCTGCAACAGAGAACCCAGTCCTTGGGCTGATGAGCAAGAATACGATCCCCAGTGACTCTGTTAATCAGGCTAACTACAAGTCAGCTGATGAGGAGAAAAACAATAAAATTATGATGCACTACACTATTGAAACGGTGTGAAGAAGAAATAGGTACTAGGCTGTTAGCAACTAGCACTACTTATCCTATGAGGCATGAGTCAGTAGATCAGCCTGAGAGGACTGCTATTGAAGCACTTCCTTCGAATATATGCAAGGGAAGCAAGTGAGCAAAGGAGTTAAAATCTATAGTGGCCTAAGAAACTAGAGCATGGGATGTATGTATACCCCTGAATCCCTATGTCAGAGAATCAACTGTGAGTGCAGGCAAAAATCAACTGGTGTTAGTATCACAAGCACGAGATGAATACTAGAGGATATGTGTGAGTGCAGCAAATGCCAGATACCAGTGTGGTAGATATAACATGCACAAAATCAACTGTGCTCGATAGAGCAGCTGGACACAAGAGAGATAGCATGAGAGAAGGACCACACTAAGTTACCAGTCACAGGTTAGGTGTTCAAGAGCCTAAGTATAAGGTCCTAGCAATATGGAACTTCAGAGTGGTCAAATTGTGCAAGATTGTCAAGTAGGAGCAAACAGAATGGATTGCACAAGGTCTACAAAAATAATGCAAGAGCAACTCTCCTATAGAGCTGAGTCCAGGGGAAAGGGAACTAACTCAATCATATGTACTGTGGTCATTTTATCATAGCGTGTGAAGGTCCAGAATGCATAGGTGAGAATTGTAGCATAGTAAGTGAGCACACAACAAGTCTATAGGTAATAAGACATCATGCACTGTGGGACATGAGTAACATGTAATAAGACCTGCAGCTTGTTTAGCAATGATATTTGGGAAAAATAATGCACCAGTGGAGATAGGTGGACATGGATAGGACATGGGAGGACAGATTCCTAGGACTGGACCAAAGCTAAATGGGAGCATGGGTCATGGGAGGAGTGTGCACCTATTGGACTAAAAGCAGATGAGTCAACATATATGGATTTAAGTGATCAGCACTTTATCTCCTTTCCTGGGAGTGAGAAGAACCATACTAGTGATCATATGCACCTAGCACTTGTATGATCATCACAATGGTTTCACTGAGCTCACAGGAGAAAATACTAAGCTCTGCATTGGCACTCTGGAGGGCTTGGGATATACAGAAAATTTCTGGATAGGTTGGCATGATGAAGTGCCATATAGGAGAAGATAGCAGATGAGTGATATGCCATGCTCATTGCTCTTATATAGTACTGACCTTTCAAAATGAAAAAACCACAAGTCCCCTACCAGTGGTCACAGTACAGGTTGTACAGCAGCTGATATCAATTAGAGACCCTGGAAAGACACTGTTAGTGGCTTGCACTAGAGTTGAGTGGTGCACAATTCCATGAGCCTGCCCAGATTCCCTGGTAGCTAAATCTGTTGCCTTGACAGGGGCTTGTGTGGTGTCATGGCAATGCTCATCAAGTGCAACAGATGCATAAGCGATGCAGTGGTGAGGGTCAATATGGGCTTTAAAGCAGGGTAAGTGTTGGCAAGCAAGTGACTGTTGAAACTGAGACTGACAACCCTGAGTTCAAGAACATGATGGTGGTTTTGCATTCAATAATACAACAGCAATTCTGTGTTTGATAACATGATAGACCCTCATCTACCACCTGGGCATTAACAAAAAATTGGTGGGTTAGTGGCCAGTGCTGGCAACTTCACATTTGATAATGCAACAGTCAACTTAAGGCCAATGTTGTAGTGACAGTGGCTGAGCACTCATGATGTAGGTACTGATTTCCTCAGAGTTGTGGTGCTCTCAAGTGTCTGAACATTGGCCAGCATGATTGAAGTCCAAACACCATTGACCATATATTAAGAGGTGTGTAGAACAAGTGGATCTAATGGTATGTCACACCTTACTGAGCTTCAGCACTCTGCTGTTCAGAATGCACAAGCTCTCCTTGAAAGTGCTGGACCGTCGCCTCATGACTTGGATTCAGTCTTACCATCACTGTCACCATCACTGTCACCATCACTGTTGTTGCCTCTGCCTCTGAGTCTTGTTCATATTGCTTCCACATCACCTCATCTCTGCACTGCAACTGCACCAGTTACCCAACATGCCCGCCCAAATGCTGCTATCAGCACACACTATATCCCACTGAAGGTTCAACAGCTCTGCTGGGCTTGCAGAGCTAAAGAAAGAAAGAGTGACTCTCTAGGTGTTGGTCGAAGTGTGCCAGGCGATGTGTTCGACCCTTAAGGGAAGCAAAGAAAGCAAGATCCACTGGGTGATGCCAGATCAACTCTGGTGAAGCGCGCTGAAAGCATGTGCACAGGAATGTTGAGCGTGTAGGTGCGCAAAGCATGGGAATAAGGTGCATGCAGTGTGCAAATGTGTAAGAGATGATGATTGGCTGCTGCTGAAGACTAGGGTGATGACTCTGATGGATGCTAACTCATGATAATTCTGACTGCTAGACACTACTAGACATGATCGGTGGTTGGTGTATTCTGTGGTGGTGGTTGTAGGTGTCTGAAAACTTCCTAGGCCACAGGTAAGCTGTGCCTAGGCATGCTCCCAGGGCTCAGAAGCGAATAGGGAGCACTCTAAGTATGTAAATGATGTAAGGACAGGGTCCATGACAAAATAATGTATGGTACGATGCTAAATATGAGAATAAACAAAAAGGGACACACCAGGGGACTGGTTGGACAATGGATGGATGTGCTGGGACACTGCACAACAATGTGCGACTGAGTGTGGGAAGAGCGCACTAAGCGCATGCACAGGAATGCATTGCGCCTCTGGTGCATTTCACAGGAAAGTCATAGCTAGTGAGTTGCACACTATACCAATCATTGTGAGTCATAATATGGGTGATCTACACCTGGAGGAATCTCATTCCCTACACCGCCTCCTGCATGACCTTTCACAGATGAAGATCATGTACAGGAACTTCATCACATCACACACAGGACCTCCACACATGCTGTCATTGAACATCCAGTCAGTGTGATTATTGAATATCCGCAAACTGGACAACATGCAAATGAATCTGTCACCCACATCTTCCACATTGATCCAACTACTTCAGAGTCTTTCCTCCATCCTCAGTCAAGTTTCCAGTACTCCTTGGGTGATGGGCATGGAGGACAGACAATCAGTCAATGTCTTATGCTTTGCAATGCTGAAGGACATCCTGTTTCATGCAGCAACCTTAAAACATCTTGTACAAGTCTTTTTTTTCTTCATCAGTTGATGCCTCTCATATGTCTATTCAGGTAGAGGCCTTAAGATACACTCAGCATGTAAGCATGACATATCAATGCATCACTTTACTAATATTTTTGAGGTTGCATCTCATTTTCAGACCATGTCTCAGACAGACTCTAACAATCCTGCCAGCACTGCTGACAGGGAAATCTTCGAATGAACACTGGCATTGTACATGGCCTTGTGCAAATGTGGCTGCCCTGCAATTGACAGCATTAATAATAACCTCACTGAGAGTGTGATAGATAACTCAGATGGTATCTTGGCCAATGAATATTTCAACAGTGCAACCTTTGATGATGATTCAGATGGTATGGATTGCTTGCCGTTGAGTCATTGAGTGAAGAAGCCCAGGTGTGGTGGAAAACTTATCATGCAGCTTGATGCCTACAATCAACCATTTGTCTGGTAAGTTTATTCATGGATTTGTTTTGCAATAGTCTGACTGATATGCAACAGATGCAAATTGTGCTCCCATACTTGCCATAACCACCTGTTCATATGAAACCTGCAGAAGTGTGACACATGCTACCTGTGAGCTCTCCTCAACAATGACAACATCATTATTTCAGAGTGCAAGGAATTAGCCAAGTCATGAGGATATGGTCCACTCCTGCCATGCAGTTATGTTACAAGCCCATCCTCCCAAAGGCAGGTTTGTTGTGAGTTTTTGCTTCCCTTCATGTTTACATCATCAAATTCATCTTCATTCACTAGCACACCTGCACCGCCAAGCAGACGGCAAGCTCAAACAAGGTGTCCTGCAGAAGTGGACACATAATTGCACCACAAAATTCAACATCTATGTCCCTCACAATCTCGTAGCTTGCCTGCACATAATTGTCCTCTGCAGCAACCTGCACTCACACCCACCTCCCACACCCGTCAAAGTGCCAACACCACTTGTTGACATATTTCATGAGCTTCTTGCACCCATGAAATGGAAACTCATAGATGCAACACCACATTGGATTTATTTGGACACAGCATTCATCCAGGGCCTTCACAAAGTCCTTGGCTGGGACTTTCCAGATGGCCACAACACAACACTGCAAGATCTTCATCCATCACTGGCCAATCTTGATCACGTACGGCATCTGATCAATATTCTGAGGTCCATGAAGTATCCCTGTGGAACAGGATTTGAAGGCAGGTATTGCTACTAGATCTCTGCTGCTTATACTGATGTGGAATTACCAGGTGCACTATCTCCTTGCTGAGGAGCACACAAAGCTACCTCTGGAACAATGCTATGTGTGCTGTGCAGAGACACACATCATCAAATGAGGAGCAACACTCAAACTCATCATCTGCATGACACCACATATGTCACTGCACCTCATGCAAGCTACACACCTGTCCATCAACACATTGTTTAAGTGTGCACAAGGATGGCAAGAGTTTGAAATTGAGTCATGGAACATTGAGCACCAATGATGTAAATCTCATGCACTGTTTATACTTTCATGCATTAATGTCTCATTTTCTAGCCATCGTCAGCAGTAGAGCATTTACAACATCACAAAGTGCTAAAGTTCATCTCATTCTCTTTGAACAAATTTTTGAGATTGCATCCACTGACACTGGGTTGCCTGTGTCATCCAACCACATCCATGGCTGTGGGTTCAAGACAGTGATTGCTGATAGCCACAAAGGTCAAGGGTTAGGTGCATGTATCAGCCATGCAGACATTTTTTTTGGTAAATAACTAATAACCATTAACATCAAAGGTTTGGGAATGTATTGTGCACAATTGTCTCACTCCATCATGACACCATGCCCATACAAGTCACAACATCATCTCTGCAATCTGGGGCTGTATGATCATCTCTGTCGATTCTACCAGCTTTGCATGGCACATTTTAAAAGAAATGTCCATGGCCTTCACACCCATGTTTCAGACAAAGTATATGCAGCAATGCTGAGCTTGGCAACATCTGAGCCCCATCCAGATATTCAGAAGATGTTGGATATCATTTGCGATGGTGGTCCCAAAGCTGCAGGTGAATTATCATCAATCAAACACTTCATAAAAATTGACACATCACCAGCATGGTTGAAATATAAGCTTGAAGGCACGAGATTCGCATTTCTGGCAATATATCAGCCAGCAAGCCTGATACCTCTTGCTTTTTGGAAAGCATTACCTGCAACAACCAACAGCAATGAGCAATCTCATCATAATGTGTATTGCAAAGGCATTCACTTGACTCTATTAGCTGGCCTCATGAAAGGCATGAGATACAATCAGGGAGCAACAAACAGTATGGATGTTCACACCACATTTGGTATATCAACTTGAGATCAAGACACAACTTATATTCAACACATGAAACAGTGCATTATGTGACAAAGTATGAACTTATATTATGCTCCAAACACTAGCTCATTTTCATCAGTTTGAGTGCAACAAAAATGCCACTCCTCACATATAGTGAACACAACACAGGATACACATCCACAACCTGCTATAGTGCGTGCCATTACAATGCCAACAGTGCAATGTGCACATGCCAAAGAGCCAGTAGTTGAACTGCTGTCATTCTTGCTCCACAAGCCACCATCTCCAGTGCAAATCAGCACATTTAGTGCCCTGTCATTTGCATTAGTATCCAGTGCTCGCATCATAGACTACCAACCCACGACAATTCAGTCCCTGCTGCTACTCACAATTGCAGACAACTCAGAATGCCACATCAGAATCTTGTCATATAGTTCTCTGGCTGGGGCACTCAATTATTAACATGTGGCAGAAACATTGTCATACCATGTACCTGCCCCCACACTCTCCACAAACAGTCACCTAGCACCATACTTTAGCTGCAATATAATCATCATAGCTGAAATAAGGATGAGAGTGTTATCAAGTGTCAGAGAAGGACATATTAAGAGAATTTAAACAGACCTCATGGTTGTGCGCCCATTTCATCACACATCTATTTGATGGGTGTGGGTGACACAGTACTCTGAACAATGGGAGGAAGGACACACCAAAGGAGAGGCTTTGCAGCCATGCACCCATTTCATAACACATCTATTTAATGGGTGTGAGTGACACAGTGCTTTGAAAGATGGGAGGAAGGACACACCAATGACAGAGGCTTTGCAGCTGTGCACCTGTTTCATAACACATCTATCTGAAGTGACACAATGCTCTGGATGATGGGAGGAAGGAAGAGAAGTAATGTGGCAGACTGCAGTGCCTGGTGTATGTTCGGGTTAGGGTTCCAGCTGTTCGGATGAGTATTTCTAAGCAAGGGGAGGTCCTGGGGGTCAGGCATGACTAAGTAACATCACCTTGCACGTACCTTGAGTTTGGGAACCGAACAATTCCGGAATAGTAACAGGTCAACTATGACTCAATAATCTTGTACATGCTTAAAGTAAACTCTACTGCGATAGTCTTACGAGGACTACGTACAAAAGACGTACGGTATATATGCATGTGAATCAGTTAAGTATCCTAAAAACCATATGGCTCCAGCCGTCTGATACACTTGGGCTGTGGTCTCTTCCATTCCCCATTGTTCGGATCTGGCCATAACGAAGCGCTGTCCCGTTGGGCTTGAAATGGCTCATATCTGGGAGTCGGGAGAAACCCAATGGGCCAAGTAGGCAAATAGCACATCTCCTACAAGACGAGGTCAGTCATTTCACAGAAAAGTAACTTGACGTTGTTACCTCGAAACCACAGGCCGGTCGGCATTTCACCCACACGTTCCAGTCTAACCAGGAGATTAACTGTGTCACATCCTTCTTCCATTCACCCATGAGAGTACGTATGTGATCAGCTTCGGGGCGTTGTTCCGGAGGATACAAGGGGTCGACTCCAGCCATCATCCCGAATGCCCACATCTTCGTGACGACGCGGCATATTTCACGCGTAGTTTCCCGTACCGCCTGCAGGAGCAAACGTTCAGAGGGCATCAATGTCGTTCCACGAGCTACTATGTAGGCCGTGTGCGATGTAGCACATTTCCGAAAAACTGGTGCAGCCCACGAATTTGTTGCGTTGGCACTGACAGAGGCATTAGGAGGTAGAGCTGCAAACACAGTGTAGGGCAAGAGCACGGTGCGCAGTCGCCTCTGGACTTGTTGTGCGTGGCCAAAGATCGACCTATCGTCCAGCGTCATGTTCACAAGGTACTGCATCATCTCCAGGCGGCTGGCATATCGATCAACCACCACCCGCAAGACGGTCTTCCAGTCAATGCCGCTGGTGGTCGCGGGTGGTCGTACCAATGCTTGAGCTAACCTGTCCTGGACGCGTTCTATATCCTCCGATGATATTCCTTCCACTCGATGATCCCATCGCTCCAAGCCTACACGTTGCGGCACCAAGGAAGGAACAAGAGCGGTGTCGTAGAAAGAGACTAACCCAGAAAAATCAAGCATAATCCGGGTTTCTCCTGGATACATTTCGCGCCATGAAGCAGAATGCATTATTTCAAAAACATGATGCACTACCGAGAATAAATCAGACCTATGTCAAAACATGGACATGGTCGCTCACCAGTATTGGGGTCCTGTGGCAGATCCGTAGGCGAGCCGTAACCGATGCGAGTGCTCTCGAGATTTAAGAACGAAACGACCTCCATGTGAGAGGTGAAGTCGCAGACCATGACTTCACTGTGACCATCGTTAGTAAGAATCACCAAGGAACTACGTAAGGGTTCGCACAAATTCATCTCCATCCTATAACTCACAAATCAGCATTGGGCATCGATACATCTCAGAATTCAACGAACCTTACGAAGCCATTTACGCCATATTTCTGACCCCACTTACACAGATCCATAATGCGCTGCTCTTCATTGCCCACCCACTCGGGTTTCATCTTCGACCACGCCACGAGATCTTGGGTGTCCATTGTGCCCCCAGGGATGTTCACAGCGCTGCTTCCGTCAAAATAAAGCACTTTCATCGGCCGAGTGACTTTAAGGGTGAGGTGCCAGCACCCTGATTCGATTGACCCATGACAGAAAACTATGGAATGGTCTGGCTCTACAGACACCCAATCTAGAGCGGTCGGTAAATGGGGACCTGTGAGGGCTCCATGGTAGAGGAGAGTGCCTACAGGAATAGTCCCTGGGACTATTGTATGACCTGCAGGACGAGTTGTGAGCATCTGCGCAGTGTTCAGTATTTTTAGACATACCAATGCGATAACGCGTGTTTGGCCAGTGTTGAAGCAGGGAATTGGCCGTTTCGAACACTAGATGACCTGTCGCGTTCACCACAGGTGCTTCACCGAGATCCCATTGTTCAAGATTGTTTTCGACCTGTGTGTAAAAGGATAAAGGCGCATGACTCGACAGAGGTGTTTGTGCAGTTAGAACCCGTTCAAATGCAAGGAAAAGCCAAACGGCTGCGGCTTTCCTGGTAGACAGCATTCCGACAAAGGGCCAAGGGCCTTTGAGTTGTAAGCTTAGTTATATACCTCATCTGTCAAGGGCGGCCGAAAGTTATGGTCAGATTTTCATTCACGCGACCATCGCGGGCCATAGTGAGTGCTGCTGAGAAGTCGAATTGCCAACCTTGGCCATCGTATTAATCGATGAATTAGATAGCAGTTTTCAACGTTCATTCTTCTATAATTCAGGATTGTCTTGCACCCATTTGAAGGAATGATTCGGATGCAAAATGGACGCAATAGTGTGTAAGTGATACTGTAAGAAGAGCGACGATCATGGGGTATCTAGCCTGCCGGACCTCATCAGAAGGAAGATAGTTGTCCATATGGTCATGTTCCTTCCGAGTCTAGATGGTAATCCGAAAAGGATGCCCAGAAGTTGTAAAATGATCACGGATACGTGAGCTCTACCTCCAATTTCAGGATCACTGTAGGTCCGTAATACCCAGTCCTGAAAGTATAGCGTCCAAATTACGAAGCTTACGTGGCACGATGTGATGCGTATGAGCACATACCTTGTCAGCATCGGCGAGGATGCGGACATTAACTGACTCAGAAGCGCAGCCCATCAACGGTTCCGAATTTGAATCCTGCGAACACATGAGTGAGTGGATATCAATACGCTGACCTTCAGTCCAATCCCTAATTATATATTGTCTGCTTTCTGGTCGACACAAGCTTCCACTTCGCCGCGGCGAAGAAGCCCACGACAACTTGACCTCGCATGTCCGAAGATCGGTGGCGAGGAAAAACAGCACTTCGGCACGAACGTGCATTATTTCAAGTTACAGAATGTCAGAGATTTGACCGGTATGGGACAATGTCTGAGCCAGAGTACAGGCCAAAGTCTGGGACACGACGACAACGAACGGTACTCTAAGCGGAGTTTAAACACTGCCCAGTGTGTCCCAATCAATCCCGCTAACGCGCCCGCCCCCGCCCAACATCCCGCATTACTTACTGCATGCATTGATGCTCTACCTCAACTCTGTCCGCCCATCACCTTTCCCGTCCGCTGCCCACCTGGTAATAATCACTGTGATGTCTTCCTTGCAATAAGCAGATCCTGCCTTTCTTGCCAGCTTCTCTCTGTCCATCGGCAATTGGCGTCTTTCTTGATTGTGCAGGCCGCGGCGCTGCTATTCCTCTTTCGATCTGCTGCAGCGACCCGAACGGAAACTCGGGCAAGCCAATGGTAAAGGTAGTGCTCACCGTGTGGTTGATTGATATTAGATTAACAGTCTATAATGACATATTGATGCATCAAATATCTGCTGTACGAGTGGGCCTGCCGTGTCCCAGACTTTGTCTCAAACCGGCCATTTCAGAGATGTCCTCCAGTCACAGCACCTTGACTCGGAAGTTCCTGCCGGGTTTGCCATGTCGTTCCAAGACCTATTGCGCCTCTGCAGGAAGTCACCAAGGTGACGTCAACATCCTGCTAACCTTCATCCCGCTGCTAATACAATACTTGGTGCAGATTTAGTTCAAGATCTCATCCGTCATCTTGTCAACGTCTTTATTCTCGCTGTTTCATGCAAACCTCCGCGAGATTCCGTCAGAGGGAAATCGGCGCCACTGGTTGCGACGATGATCGATCATGTACCGGCCAAGTATAACCCGGAGACTCTTACGAAGTGTATGCGCCACTGGCAGTGGCAGCAATCCACGAACCACTGCTACTGCTACATCTAGTCCTGCCCCGAGTTGGAAAACCTCTACTAATATCATTTAATGTTGTCTAATTAGCATTTTTAGGAGATTGGATGGATTATGTTACCCACGCGATAATTGTCGATAGTTCCAAAGCTCTTTAGAGGTTTAGTTCTAGATACTGATTGGTAGAGTTTCACGATGGTCGCCAATCTATATTAGTCAGAATCCAGTATTGTACCAATATTTGTTTAAAATGCGCATACCTGAGTCAATCCTCTCCCCAAGCTAGTATTCGTAGCCTGTCTCGTCCAGATACACGCCAGACGTCACCCACATCTACCAACGCCAGTAGAAGAGCAGTTTTATTCGTCTATAGTTCAAGGCGATAATTGTGTTACAGCCATCCATACGTAGTATTTATACACAAACCAACCAGCGTAGGAATGCAGATATGTAGAATTGGAGAATGAAAAAAAATGAATAGCAATATTTCCTGCACTGGCCCTCTGAAACCACCGCAACTTCACCTAGGCGCTTGCCCAAAGGGGGGAAAAGTAAGTAAGGAGCGTGACATTGAAAGAAGCGCGACGAGGGGTATCATCGGAAAGGAATGGGTTGTGATTGTCTGGCAAATAACCTGGCGCATGGCGTGGCAGAAGAATAGATAGACAACAGAAAGGAATAATTTCATTCGATATGCAACAAAGCAGGTCGTGAGCGGGGTCGTGAGTGTGCTTTTAATTGAAGGTGCCCATGCTGGACGGCGGTGTTTGCTGGTATACTTGGTACATATATGCCTGGTAGAGGTGCTGGGGAACATTCTGAGTATTGAAGCTTGGCTGACCCATGTTAAGGATGCCACCAGGTGCGAGATTGGGAGATTGATTGCTATATGGGATGGCAGAAACGGGGGTGGGAGTCATGGAAGGAGCAATTGAGGGAAGTCCGCCATTACGACGAATAGAAGAGGTGCGAGGACTGCTCATGTCCGGAGAGCGAAGGGCAAAGGGATTGAAAGGATCCGAGGAGGGCGAGAACGCAGAAGGTGGCTGAGAAATACGGCCGCGTGGCGCAGGAGCTTGACCATATGCAGGATCAATGTGTAGTTGCGGGGGCCCAGACTGGGGGTTCTGCCCACCCATCTGCAACGCAGCCATCATCGAAGCTAAACCCTGATCATTCGAAGGGTAGCCAGACGGTAGGCCAGGCACTCCATAGTGATTCTGGTTCTGACCCTTCTTGCCAGGCGGACCATTAGTGGTGTACGTGGGCTGGTAGTTTGGGATGGGAAGACCAACTTCTTCAATCAGCCGACGATAAGCCTGAGTAGCGATAACCTTGAGCTCGATTAATACCCGCTTAGTGGCCTCGATATAAGTTGGCTTGTCAATAGGGTCGATGAACGGGCTAGTCAAGATCTTATGCACAACCGCCACACCGTTCACTTGGTCGCCCAACACGTCAGTAAGAACATGGTCCCCAGGAGACGAGAACAACGCCTGGACGATTTGACGAGAGGCTTCAAACTCAATCTTCTGATTGACAATCCTGAGAACGGTTAAAGATGCCAATTTGTGCGTGCACAGATGCGATAGGTGAGGCGTGAAGCGAGGCGCGAGAAGGTTGTACCGCGAAGGGAAAGAAGACGTGTCAAGCAACCATGTCAGCAGCAGTGCGCCGTTAGGGTTCGTCGCCAGAGGGATAGAGTTCAAGATCACGGCAGTAGCAATACGGCGTTGCTGGCTCAGCGTGATATGTGGGCTCTCGAGACACGCTCTCATGCTGCGTGCACCGAAGCGGCCTTGTGCGATCTCCCACATACGATCGACCATAGCGTCGAAGATGAAATCATTGGCAGGAGCCCCAAAACGCAGACAACACCTAATGATCGCTCAGCAATCGATGACACGGGCAAAGAAGCATGGATGCACTTACTGAACCACATAGTTACCAAACTGATCAAGCAGCAAAGGCGGAGCATATGCCCTCAAGTTTTGCACGATGAGCCCGACCTCCTCGGGAGTCTGAACACACTCAATGATCTTCTGTGCAGCCCAAGTACCGTTCTTGTGGATGCCAATCATTGCCAAATGAGGCGTGATTCTCTCCAGCATGGCAAACCGCGGCACAGGAGAGCACTTTTCAAACAGCTTTTGTACGACCTGCAGCATACCCAGGTGAGCCACGGCAACCGGACTCGGCGTGGGGATACCCACCGTGTTGCCCAGCCAGTCCGAGGCCAAGTCGACAATCTCGCCATCCAAAAAGTCACCAGCAACTTGATCAGTTTCCTCCACCGTCATCGTACCAGAATCCAGCCTCTTCCGGAGTTCGCGCAATTTTGAAGCATCCCAACGCCTGTTGTTAGGTCTCTCAGAGACGAGTGGAATCGTCGTGTAGTACATCGTCGGGGGGCGGAACTCTACGAACGCCGTGTCAGAGGCCCCCTGAAATCAGCCACCGAATCAGACGTACCAGACAATGACTGAATATCAAAATCAGCATCAGGGCTACCAGCCGTCAACTCCTTCATGATCATCTGCTGCTCCGTGACTGATGGCAACCATCCAGCAGGCTTCGACAAACCGTCAGAAACATACGCGATATTGTGCATGCCAGAGCCAATCATGCTAAGCAAGAGATTCGAGCGGTAGTTCTCCACCTGACCACCAAGCACTTGCTGGTCTGCTGGGATAGTGGACGCACCCTTCACGCTGCGAAGAGCGTGGATAGTGGCCCCAACGCTCAAATCACCAATACCTTGCACTGCAACGCTGGGACTTTCATCCTGCGTGCCGTTGCCTTCCTGACCATTCTTGACAGGGACCTTGGCAAAGCCAATACGGATAGCACCAACGTCGCTACCAAGGACATCACGACCATTCAAGGCTTTCCTGGCGCGCACAGCGTCATCAAGACGTTCAAAGTTGACTGCACAGAGGGTTAACATCAGAACACCCCACAACACTCAGCACTCACTGAATCCACAATTTTTATGCGTCAACACCCTCGCAGATTCGATAGGTCCATAAGGACTGAAAACGCTCAAGATCGTCGCAGGTGTTGTAGTGCTTGGAATAGACCCAATCCATAGCGCACGAGTAGGTGTAGACTGCAGCTGCGCATCCAATCCTCCAAGGCCAGGGCTGTTGGCCTTACTTAAACCACTGGGAGACGTGGCGCCAGAACTCGTAACAGTCGTGCCCTTAGCAGGGGCAACAGGAGCACTGTCCGCCTTCCCAAAGCCAATGCGTACGGTCTGCCCGTTCGGCATACCGATATTCCCGCCTAGACGATTGAGTACATCGTCCTTGGCTCGAATAGCGTCCGCTTGATCAACAAAATTAACGAAACCGCACTCCTGGAACCAATCAACACATCAGCACCTCTTCATCCAATCAATCTCAATCACGTACCTTCTCCGGCAAAAGCCTTAAACTCTCAATAGCACCATACGGCGCAAACACATGAATAAGCTGCTCGCTTGTGACAGCACTATCCAAATTCCCAATCCATAACGACCGCGTAGGAGTTTGGATCTGCGAGTTATTATTCACCTCGGTCTTGGGAGACACAGCCCTTCCCTGCGAATTGGGCGCAGCGAGGTACGACGACGCACGACTCAACTCGCTATTAGGGAAATGCACCGTCGGCGAAGACGTCCCCCGCGCACCCGACATCTTCACATCGCTCTTCAAAATCCCAGTCGGATTAGACAGATTCGCAAGACTCCCGCTCGCAGCTGCGAGATCGTTGAGATAGGGAGATTGGGCTTCACTGGTCGTAGCGCGGCGCTGAAGGGTACGAATGGGATCATCGAGCGTTCCTACGGAGATTGCTCTGGGCCGGGATGAGAGCGCACTTGCAGCCGTTAAATGGTCGCCCTGCTTGAACCCCTTTGCCACGTATGACGAGTGGAAGAGGCTAGCGTCTGACATGGAGCCATCGTACAGACCCAATCGTTGACGGTCGTACGGCTGATTGTCATGCGCATCAAAGTACTCCTCTTCCTCCTCTGCATTAGGGGTGGCGAGGAGAGACGAAGCACCAGACGAGCGCGTACGATACGGGTTTGAAACCGTACTCGCCCTCAAGCGCGGTGGATTAGCCAGGTTTCCAGCGATAGCAGCTTGAGCTTGGGTCCGTAGCTCAGATATAGTAGCAGCGGGTGGCGGTCGGTGACTGTCAGTCCAAGCCAAGATAATCCAAGGTATGAACGTCAAAATCATCGACCGAGTCTGCGGAGGTAACGGAGCGTAACTCATCCAGAACAGGAAAGTTGGACCCTGATCCATTAGCAGAGGATAACCATGACGATGAGAATATAGACGGGCCGAATGCATTGGAAAGACCGGCTGAGGGTAACGTTAACGAACCTGACCTCAAGCGACTGTTACGCTCGGAACCGACTGACGTAGGAGCTGCCTGTGGGGCCGCTACAGTAGTGGTATGCCGGATGGTAGAGCGAGAGGGAACGAGGATGCTAGGAGGCGTGTTGGCGGCCTGCCTCTGCTGCAACTGTTCGGCAAACGATTCCGTTGAGGGAGTAGCACTACTCAGGGTATTAGATGCAGCAGCGAAACGCTGCGCAGCGAGATGGACATCAGAAGGCAGAGTTCCGGCTCGGGCTCTCCTAAAACCCGGTGGATAATTAGAAGCGGACGTTGTAGAATCATCACTGGGGGAAGCGACGGTGGTGGTGAAGTCGTTTGGGGGAGAACCGCTCGGAGGAAGAGCGCGCAGCGCAGGTGGCCTATATCTAGCACCGTTCAGCCGTTCTTCCGCCTGGATCTCCCGTGCCCTGTTCACGAGCGTGGTAAACGAAGCAGATCGGCTAAAAAAAAGCCAGGAAAAATAAGACGTACCTCTTTGCATATGCAGCAGAAGGGGCTGGGGGAGGGGTCTTTCCCGAGGAGACTCGTGAATAGGAGCCATTGTTGTCAGAGGCAGATAAAGACATTATAGCTAGGCTTATTTTGGTGGAATTAGGATTAGCGTTGGGTGGATGGGATGATTAACGGACGACGAGTCCGTTGTTTTTGTCGTGCAAATGATAAGACTTGATGCCCAAGCTGGACCTATGATTGAGATGTGAGCCTAGACGAGCAGGGTCGTTTCGTTCGTTTTCACGGTGGCAGTCGCGAAGCGAGTCGAGACGTGAAATTAGCCTATCACAAAAAAAAAGGAACGGAATAGAAAAAGCCAAAAAAGAGTTAAAGCAAGGATATTGGATTGGACAGTCAGTCCAGAGAGGATGTACTTTAGAAAGCCTGGCGACTGGGACCAGGAAAATATGCAAGTACTAAGTAAGATGCTACAAATTCGCTGGTTGGGAGAAACTTGGAAAGAAATCCCACTCTAGGTTTTCACACTCCGCTATTCTTCCCAAGCGCCATCATGAACTTACGAATAATTTCTTTGTGTTACGCCCAAGATTCTTGTTCGTCCACCGCATCAGACACACTAGTTTCATAAATTTTCGAGAACTGCCAGTCACTGCCTCATCAAGCGCAGCATTTCTATCCAAAGGACACTGATTGGTGATTAATTGATTGATCATCATTCGTTTAAACGCTTCCTCATTACTGCACTGGTGCGTGCAACAAGCGAGTAAACTATGAGTGGGGGCTGTGAGCTATAACATACAAACGAAAGCCAGAGGATGAATGTGTATGCTGCAATCGACACATGCTCGCAAAAATGCAAAAGTAGGTAAAAGGCGAGCAAAGGGTTGACTGGGGAACCTAGAATACTTGGCGCATCTCTGCGCAAAGAGGTATATGGGTCAATATCTGATACAGCTCTAACGAACGAAGCTAGCAAAAAAAAAGCAACAAAAAAATCAGTTCAGAACGAAAAACTGCAAGCAAGCAGTCAAGCAAAAGAGAGGGGCTTGAGACCTGAGAAACCCTGCAGTAATGAGGAGTCGAACAAATGCAGTTTGAATGCCGGACGAGTAATGCACCGAAAGTTGATGGAGTAGCGAACACAATGGAGTTTCGGACCGTCGATGGAGTGGCGGACCGTCAATGGTGGCAGACCAGATCAAACCTCACGCATGTCTCGGCCCCCTCATCCGGGGCCGCACACCACGCGTGCGAGCAACAGCATCCGCGACCCGTTTCGACCGCCTCAACGAACGGCCATCTTTCAAACTTCTTGGCTCCTCTTCCATGATCTCCACATCCACATCCCCGTCTGCGTCTGCGTCCGTGTATTTATCGCATTGGTTGTCCGCGTTGTGATCACGTTCGCCGTCCACATCTTGATCTCGTTCACCTGCGTCTTGATCCCGACCATCCATACAGACATCATCCTCGCCCCCCTCCTTCTCCTCCCAATCAGGACACACGCACAACACACGGAACATTTCTGCCTCCGTAGGACTCAGCGGCGGCTCTCCGCTTCCAGTCCCATGTCCATTTCCGAGATCGGCGCTTCCTGGTCCAAAATCGGTGCGTCCAACCCCGAGACCGGTACTTCCACTTCCAACGCCAAGACCGGTGTGTTCGCTCCCCAAACTAGCGCGCGCACTCCCAAAGTCAACACCGCTCCCAAAATCAATCCCACTACCCAAACAAGCACTCCCATTTCCAGAACTAGCACTCGGTCCTAACCCCGACGCAAGCACTGCCAGCGCAATATCAAATGCAGGAAGTACAGGCTCTGCTTCGACTTCTGCTTCTGGCTCGGTGTCTTCGGGAAGACTCCATACTTCGTGGGCTTTTGCTATAGATGTGAGAAGTGCGGGACTGGTGGACGTGGACAATGAGGATGGCGGTAGCGACGAGGATGGATGTGAATGTAGCTCCAAAGACGAGGAACGTGGATGCAACTCCGAAGAAGACGGCGGGGCGTACGATTCGGCCCTTAACGGGGGCGAAGTCGACTGAGGTGGAGATAACACAGACGACGCCCGTACCGACACCAACGACGAGGGAGCCGACGAGCCTTGACTACCCACAACCTTCCCACGCTCAAAACACACCCCAAACTGTCCCAACATCCTCCCGGGTTTACTCGCCCTCCAGAAATCCCTCAAGGCACTCGGGAACCGCATCACAAGCTCATCGCTCAGGAACACCTCCACGCTTATTCTTAGCGTTTCATCTTGAGAGCAAGGTCGTTCTGCACGTTGGGCACCCGCCTGAACACTCGTCCTCAAAAACTCCCTCGCACAATCCAACGATACCCATACCCCTGTCACAGCCGAATTCGGATGCTCAAACCGCACAGCGCTCGGTGGAAGAACCGGGACCGCAGCGGCACAAGGTGATGACGATGGTGAAAACGCAGCAAGCAACGGCGTAAGGTTCACGAAATCCGTGTCTAGCCTCCTCAGAAGTGTCCGCGTCGTGTGAGGTGCGCGAAGAGGCAGCGTAGTTTGGTACACCGGTATTCCTGGGACTCGGTTAATGGCTGATACAGACCACCAAAGAGAAGAAATGGGACGAGATAAGATGCGGCGTACCTTCGACTTGCGTAGCGCTAACAGGTGGATCGCACGGCACACACGTGTGGACTACTACTACTTGGTCTTTGCATTCGGGGAGAGACTCTGGATCGGCCATTTGGCAGTCTTTACTGGATGATGAGGAAGCACCAGGTGCGGGTGATGCGAATCGTGTCCGTCGAGATCCCCTTTCCCACTCTAGCTCGAGCTCAGCGATGTGGACACTATCAGGACCAAGTAGTTCTGCATCTTGCCAGTCCAGCACGCTGTTCTTGCGTTCCAGAGACGGTTTCTTTACATGCGTGGGCCGAGGAGGGGAACTATTGACCCTCGGTGACGCAGACAGTGCCGACGAATAATGGAACGTAAACCCCGTGCTCGAACCCGGGGACGTTGGAGAAGGGGTGAGTGGTGACATAGGAGAGAGCGGGAACACACTCCACGGTACACTCGTAGGCGACAATGACAATCCATTCAGCGCCTCTGATGCATCTTCCTTCTTAATTTCAACATCCCCACACGCACCCGCCCAGCCGCTATCAAACTCCCACTCCCACATCTCAAGTTCCTCCACTTTGACCTCTGGAGTAACCGTATGGCGACTTTCATTTTCCCGCACCACCGAAGCGAACCCAGACTCCGGGCATGAATATGACCGCGCACGATTAAGATCCAGGTCCTCCCAGGCATCTAGCATATCTCTCACGTTTTGACTTGTGTCAATGCTATTATCTTCTGCTTCGTCTTCTACTTTCACGCTCACACCTCGAGATTCCTCTTCATCGCTTGAGAAATCAAAATCGATATCCTCCTCGTGGTCAGAATCTGGCGGAGGTGATGCGCTTCCTCTGGATTGGTCGATGGGCGGCGGGGGAAATATGTATTGGAGGGAGGGAGGGGATACGGGGGTGTAACATGGGACTGCGATTGATCTGCGAGGGTAAGGTGGGAGGCACGATGGTTCTGGACTGGGCTCTGCTGGGGACATGTCAACATCCTCGTCAGAGGATGTATCATGGGAGAGATCGATGATGTCTGTGGAATCTGTAGCAGTGGGAGAGGGACGGAGACGTAGGGTAAGTTTGACTTTTGGAGGTCTTTCAGGTTCGTCTTCTTCTTCATCAGAAGAACTGGAGGCACTCTCTGCATAACCGCTATCTACAGGACTTGAGCTGGGCGATAGACTGGCCCTCTCTGAGAGTCTGTCAGTGGCGCGACAGCGTCTTGAGATGAGTCTTTTGCGTTTCTCTCCGCACTTTTCCATTGGATCGTGAGATTGTTTTCGAGGCTTTGTATTTGAAGTGGAAGCGGGGTAATTTGAAAGAAGAATACCAGCACGAGAGAAAGGACAGGATACGCCACTAGCTTTTGAAAGATACCATACGATTGTGCCACGACGAAAGTTTGTGTGGCGACCAGGAGGGATGTTCTGATTTGAACACGTGGAGTCGAGTGGCTGCCTTTGTAGGGGTGCGCCTCCTACACGAGAATGAAGTGCAGGGACGAGATCGTCGTCAACGGGTGTGCCAGAGAGGGTGTGACGAAGAAGAAGAGGGTGATCCTGTTGAGCCTCGCATCGAGAGAGATGATTTCGGATGTAAGTAGTTATTGCTTGCGACGCAGCAGAAACACTAGGGTAATTGTGAGTAGGGTGAAGAGAGAGAGGAGAGGAGAGCATACTTCTGACACACGAGGCCGAAGTTTAAAGTCATTTCCGCAAGGTCCTTGATCGTCATGGCACGATTGTCCTAGAAACACACGCGTGAAGGTATGGATAGGAACGAGGAAAAGGGACTGACCACGCTGAGGAAGCAACGTCCGATAGCATGAAATACTTTACTAGTGGCGTCTTCAGGGTGTAGCATGACATTTGGTAGTGGAAATATTGGGAAGTGAGACTGATTTGGAGATGGTTCTGCTGTTGTTGGATGTGGTACAGGTTTTATACGCCTTGGTTGGGGTGATTGACGAAGACGAGCGCTTGGTTTAAGGATTGAATTGTTCCTTATTCTTGTACCGTAATTGTGTGAATGTGAAGTATCAGACATTATAAAGCATTAGTTGTTGAATTCGTTAAGTCGACCAGCGAAGAAGGGGCCTTAGTGAGTAAGTGAATGGATGGGTGGTGGTGGTAAGAGGAAGAGAGGCGTTACAGACCAAAAAAACTAGATTACTGCGTATCCCCCCGATCAAAATAACGTAAACCCCTTTTTGATTATGTAAATAAGTAACTCAACTTTAATTTCACACACAACGTGAATTGCTCCGTCTAATGCCGTCATAGAGAAAACTAATTTAATATTCCCTTTGTCACGTCCCTATTGTGTCTCACCCACGTTGTCCCTCAACCTTATCCTTCTCTCTTTTCGCTTCAAGTGGTAACCACGACATCCACTATTTGCACGACTCACCCCTTGCAGACTCACACCCATCTTACCATTCTCACAGCACCAGTATTAAATTTGGCACGTTCAGTCATATCCTCCGTGTCAAGCAAAATCTTAGTTTGGTGAACCGTGAGCGCGTTGATACTTGATGGTAGCACGTTGGATTTGATCATAGCGCGTGCAGTGAAATATCTACTGCATTCGTCTCGTCCTCTTACGACCCCACTTGGCGTGCTGCGATCTCGGTAATCTCCTGAGTGATGCGGATGGGATTGCCAAGCCGTACTACGCCCGTGCGTCACTCTTGAGGCGAATTTGCGCAATTAATGACGCCGTTCACAATGCCAGGTCATGATTCGGGGCAGAGGCTGTGTAACAGTACTGCGGCGGCTGCCTAGAGCGGATCGTCACTCGCTTAATATGTAGACCTTGTTAAACTTCTGCAGGGGTATGAAAGAATGCAACTCTTGAGGATCCGGAAAGAGAGATCGATACTCATATGAGTTAGTCTCCCAATAGAAGCAAGTCGTCGATCGACGATGATAGAAGGAATGACTGTCTTCTCGCCTGCATACAGGAGACTAGACGAATTCTCCATATAGAAGTAGAACCTAGAACTTATAAGATCAATAGTAGCACATTCTTCGCCCGGACGACCCTTTTGGAATGATGGTAAAAGCTCACTTAATCGCAGTACTCGGCTGTAAATACTCGACATGATAACTGAAACTGCATCAAAGTCTATGCGCCACTGATGTCCCTGGATGCTCATTAAAGGGTAGGCGTCTTTCAGCGGACCGCGGGTCTTCACCCGAACAAAAACAAAACTCAACTATGAATCGGTCGTGCAAAGACGGTCAAAGGCTGTGGACTAGTTATACTAACTGCTGCCCGGTAGGTCGGATAGATTGCAACTATAAAAGACATAGAACGCACGTGCCGCAGTATTTGGATTCTCACGAAAGGCCATTCGAGCAGAGATCAAAATGAAAGCGCAAAGCTAAAAAAAAATCACGAGTCATTCTGGATGTGTACGATACATCCCATTCGAAATAACGGCGAAGTCGCTCGCGGAAAAACGTAGCAAGTTGTGAGAATCCACCGGAATCTACTCACGTGCAATTTTTTCGGGCGACGAGCGAAACTGGTAAAAAGAATGAAACAAATTCAACGCTACCAAGAAATTAGAACACTACTGAGATATGTTCGTTGTTATGAATCCGCCCGCATGCTTCAGTACTTTCCCCAGATTACACGACGGAACTCAAAAATATCCCATGTACGGGTCGTAGCCCATTTGGTCCTGAGCAGGTGACCCTTCCGTTAGCTAATAGCAAATGGAACAATGATCAAAGAACGAACCTTGAATTCGCCTGTGTCAGAGCTGGTTTGACGCCGAGGTTTGGTTATCATTGGTCTCAGGGCAGGTGTAGATGACTCACTCAAAAAACAGGACCATGTAATAGTGATCATCCAGAGTGAAGTTGAACGCTTTTTGACCTTCTACCGCAGGAGGCGTGGGACGTCCGAGCATCAAGCCACACAGAATACTTATACCCTAGAGAATCAAAGTCAAATCAATCTTCTGCGAGAAAAGATGGATCGCTCGCATCTGCTTTGACATAATCACTGCCCGTTGTAGCGACAGCCAGCTTTGAATGCTGGACACGGCCAAAGTACATCGTCAGCTACCCGATGGTTAACCGGCATTGGAACAAAATGGTGAACCTGTGGCAGAATGGTCAGAGTCGTAGATGCCCTGGCGATAAGGGCGCTTCGGCATGTCTTTCCAAATCTGAGTGAAGAATCCGCGCGGAAAGATGAGATACCTGCCATTTCCGATTGTCAGCGATTGCTGACAGCGTAACAGGTTTGGTGGTGAAAAGTGATGCTTACTCTCCTTCAACTTGATAGGTATGAGTATAGAAGTCTCGGTAGCTATACAGTTTCTGCCATATAGCAGTCCGGATTTCTGCCCCAGAGCGACTGACTCGTTTAATGGACCACTCTGTGCGGAATTCTGTCTGGACCGAGGTCCCCAGTATGATCGACGCAGAACTGGCAGTATTCAAAACAATCAGCAGCCACTACAGCAGGATTCATTAGCTTACTCGTCCCGAATCCCGACCAACGCTATGTGAAGGGTATTTTTCATAAGAATCACATGACAAAATCGTTGAGTTGGACACACCACTAGAATTCGGATCCTTGATACTGCAGGCCATGACATGAGCCCCATATTATGCGAACACCGAACGAATATACTGACGTGCATCGATAGTAGCCATCCCAGGCTATTGTCCAGTGTTCAGTTGCGTTCGGCTTTCGGTCAACAGTGACAATGTTACTTCCATTGAATGGGGTCATATACTTTCCACTCGCAAGGTTTCGGATGGTATACGTATCGATCGGCTCGCCAGCTGCCTCGACGAGCCAAAGGCGGGTGAACACACCACGGTCCAATTGTGTCATTCCACGTGTCCATATTGTATTCATGTACTGTGATATTACCTACACCATAGAGAAAGAGGATCATTAGAAGCAGCTTTGACGGCTGTCCGAGTCTGAAATGAAGGTGCTCACTATTGTAATCCTCTTTCGAGAAGCCCACAGCCATGTGAACAAGCCAGCCAAGTGTCGGGTAAAGGGACACGCTTACCGGCGAGAACAAAGTCGCGGTATAGTATGGATCGCTTTGCACCCCAAAAAAGCACATGTATCTGAAAAAGATCTGCACGGCGATGACAATTAATAGGGATAAAGGTCATATAGGTCAATGAGCATACAAACACCAGGAATGAAAGGCGGCATGCTGTAAATGAGGCGCAGTGGGGATGTGCGGGTGTCATCTTTCAGGGTTATATAGCCCTCAAGAATAAGGTGATCATCCAGCATAACTAATCAGTGGAAGAGCCGAATGTGGCACACTCTAGGAGCGCTGACTCGGAGTAGCTTGAATCAATCATGACTCAGTCAAATACATACGTGGTTGCGCCCTGTATATCTTTGGAATGTTCCTATCACCTGAGATACGATGATTGCGGGGACCTTATGTCTTTGGAAAGTTCCTATCACCGATCCGTTGATTAAGTCAGTTCCGGAGTTTTTCTCAGTTGAGCCTCCTCGGACAAGATTACAAAGAACGCAGAGGCCCAGTCTAAGTACTACAGAAGAATTTTGGCGGTGTTAGTATTAACAGACCAGTTGGCCAGGTTGGACTCGACGACGGGAATAAGAATGTCTCTGGTCTGGTCGAAATCTATGATGACAACAAGCATTGAAGCATACCAACACCACGAAGGCAATGACGTTGTGGCTGAGGTGCAGTGAGGAAGTGCGGATGTCGTCGTTCAGAGTGGTGTACCAGGTCTGACGCAGGTCATCGGGAGTGCCAAGAGTACTGGTGAAGTGACAGGAGTCCCGGCTGGATGTGTTCAAGTTGTAGTCAGTCCTCGATAGATAGACTCGGAGCCGCAACCTCCCGCTATATAGAGGTTTGGGCTTGGGTTTCCCTTTGCAGGACTCCCCAGTACACTGGCCTATCAAGAAGAACGCAAAGGAGTTGCAATCCAGGAATTAAAGAATACCTCAGTGTGCAATCGGTCTGCAAGGTGACACGTCACTAGCAAATGCATTTCATTGACAAGGTGATTGCTCGGAATGAAGAATAAGCATCAAGACCACGATTACCATATGGGTGAGAGATGAGCGCTGGGACTGGGACAAGAATGTGGAAAAGTAAACTGACCGCGCCGCTGAGGAAACAGCGGCAGCCGATAGCAATATTAACATACCCGCATCTTCAGTATATGATTTAGCATAGCAAAAGAGATGAATGTGAGGAGCGTGGGATCCATTCCTGCGCTCAAATGTAGGTGTACCGTCTTGAAACGATATCCGTGTTCTCATCGTGTACGCAACATATGACTCATAATTCTGATACATGGGATGAAAGTAGTCTGTACGAATTTGAATATATATATATACATATTGTATCCATTTCTTCAAGGGCATCTACGGGCCATAGTAGCCAGAAGCCGGCTGTGGGTTGGTAAAGCAGCTCATCGAAGGTTATCCACATGCGAACTGACCTATCGACGCGGCATGGTTCTGCAATACGCTCCGGGGTTCCACCAGCGTATGACATAACTCAAAAAAGTGCCAAAACTGGGTCATAGCCCATGTCTTCCTGAACAGGTGAACCATCTATTAGGCGACAACAAACGCAACAGCGATCAAGAAACAAACCATGAATTCGCCTGTCTCGGGCCTTGTTTGACACCAAGTCTGGGTTATTATTGATCTGAAAACAAGGTATAGGCCGGGCACTCACTCGAAAAACACAATTTTCTCATAGTCGTCCTCTAACGTGAAGTTGACTGCTTTTTGTCCTTCTACCGCAGGAGGCCTGGCACGTCCAAGCATCCAGCCACAGAGAATGCCTATATCCTGGGGAATTAGTGTCAAATCCATCCCTTGTGAGAAGAGCTGTAAGTGAATCGCGACTCACATCCGCCCCGATTTTGTCACTTCCCCAAGTGGCAACAGCTGCTTTGAATACTGGACATGGTCAAGGAAATACTCAGCTACTTGCCAAACAATGGGCGCCAGAACAGAATGATGAACCTATCGCAAAACTGTCAGAGTCGTAAATCTCCGGGCGCAATTTGCGCTCCTGGATGCTCTTCCAGATAACCGAGAAGAATCCGCGCGGAAGGATGAGATAACTGTTCCCGAAAGATTGTGTCAGCGATCCATGGCAGAGTGTCACGTCGGGTCACGCGAAAGCCGCTCACTCTCTGTCAACTTGGTAGGCATGAATATCAAAGAGATTATTTTCGAAGTGATATTTGAGACTGGGGTTCTGCCACATAGCAATTCGGGTTTCGGCCCCAGACTGGCTGACCCGTTGAAAGGACCACCGTTTGTGAGACTTCGGCCCACGTAGGGCGTGAAGACTGTATACCAGGAGGTATTAAAAACAATCAGGCCCAGGGGGAGTTCCGTGCGCTTACCCAATCAATTCTGCACGAAGGATGATTACTTTCAATAAGAATCACGTACAGCAAACTTAGACGCACTCTTGGAAGATGCATGTGTGAGGCTGCAAACTATGCTATGAGCTTCGCATTATGCATACATCAAATGAATGCACAGACTTGTATGCCTGTGAGCCAGCTGGGACTCCCGTTGGGACTTCTGTTATTATCCAATTTCCGGATGTCTTGAGGAGTCGCTTATGACGCATGTGAGGAGAGAGAATTTTGACAAGTCAATATATTTCACACAAGAGATTAATACGAGGGACGCGATGTGAAGACAAGGTACTGAGTAAATGGGCAAAGGCGCGAAGCGCTTCCAGCCCCGATCGAAGATCTGCCTAGGAGAAAAAGGTGAGCTGCGAATCCCCAAACGGTTAGGAGTCCGTAACGACGCAATAGCAGCGAAGCCGTGACAAACCCATCAAGGTAGGAGGGAAGGGCTACTCACAAGGGAAGGTATAGCTAATGAGTCCTGGGCATTGAAAAACGGATGAATTCTCCATGGAGGGCTGGGGTGGCTTGCATGAAGGGAGCCATAATTTGCGCATGTTTTCGTAGATACAATTGAAATGCGTCGCTGGCCCAGCGGCCCTTTGTCTTGACGACCTCGAAAGGTATGTTCCGCAGTAGGTACTCCAGGGTTGAGCCGATCTGAATTCCGTGTCCCTGGAGGGGATCTAGACCGGCACCTCTGGCTGCTTGGGCTAAGCAGTTGATGAACTTGGCTTTTGTGAGGGGGCAGTGGCCGTTTTTGTGACGATATGCAAAGAGGGCGCCTCCTGCTGGAGGGTTGTTGATGGCCAGGTGGTGGAGAAGTGCTGCCTCTGGGTCGGAGATGCCATTTTGCCTGGCGAACGAGACATCTTCGCCCTCCATTGAAGTTTTCGTTCGCGGGAGGTGGAAGACTCTCATTTTGAGCTGGTTGCGGTCATGCTCGATGGACGAGTCTGAGGGTTTGACATGGTGGTTGGGATTGAAGGACGTTAGGGTGGGAACGGTAAATTCGCCGACCCTGGCAGTACAATAGAAGGCGGTTGTCAAGCAACTGTAAACTGATGAGTCAAGGGGGGAATTGATGTCGAGTTGACCACGAAGTGTGCAAATGAATTCGACTGTGAACGGGCGCCTCTTCTTGCATTTCGAGGATGGTGGGGCTAAGTTCTCGGCTGCTTTGAGGAGTGCATCAGTTTCCTTGTCATTGAGAGCCCAGCGCATACCGTGCAAAATGTGCCATGCTCGCACACCGAAGATATAATTGGCTATTGTCTTTCCAGAGTATGAGCCTGCGACGAAGGCGATGAAGGTGGAGATGAGGGTTGAGTCTGCGGGTGCACGATCGTGTTCGGGAATTGAGCGTGAGTCACAGTAGACGTGAAAAACCAGCAGCCCGGAGCCGTAGGACTCGCGGGTGCTTTCAGCCCATGCATGCAGCATGACCTCTTGTACCCTGGCCATGTCACTTGGAACGAGGGCGCTGGGGGTGGGCCTTGGCATGAACGGTGTCCATAAACGAAGCCTGTCTTTTGCTGCGCAGTGAGGGCGAAGGATGGAGGGGGTTGGGGTAAGGTCAGCAGGGTAAGCTAATCGTGGATGGAGAAAAATGTTTCGTCAGTGGTTGGGGGTTATAACTCGACAAGTTTGCAGTGGGGGAAACATACTAAGCTTCCGCTGCTTTGTTAAGCTCTTCTCCTTCTCTCTTGAGCCAGCGGTTTGTGCCGATGCGCTCGATGCGACTTGGGGAGAGATGTCCTTTGGGGGGAGCATGAATCGTGACGACATGGTTGCGCTCTGAGTACGGTCGGCAGGTCTCATTGGCCTGTAGAGGGGCGTCGAAGTCAACAATGAGGCTCCTGAGAGAGGGATGGATAGGAAGGGGGGGCAGAAGTAAGGAGTGAGGGGGGTATTTTCCACGGGAGGGTTCATCGGCTGGGTTGGATGCGCTGGGTACATAGCGGGGGAGGATGGTGCATGCGGCCGCTTCTGCGATGCTGTGGACACGCTTAAACACGCCATTGGTTGCCCGGTTACGGCTACAGCCCTTCCACCATCCCTCAACGACTCCTCGGTTGTCTCCGTAAACCTTAAAGCAAGGTATTGGGCTGGGTGCAGGTGCTCGGGTGACGGCGAGGACGAGGAATTCGAAGCCGACGGCTTCAGCCCATCCAATGTCGCGGCTGTCAGCTTTCCAGCCAGGAATGAGTCGCCAAGCTCGCCACCAGCCGTTAATCCAAATTGCGATTCCCATGCCTGAGCTAGCATCCGAGAAGGCGTTGGGGTCGAAGACTTTGCAGGGTCCTGGGATGGTTCTGCTGACGGAGGGTTGGCATAGAGTTGCGGACCACCATCTGAGGTCAGCAGCGCAATTATGAGGTGGGGTATGTGGCACGAGAGGGTGGTCACCGAATAGGGGGAGCATGGCTTCCAGTTCTGTGAGGTAGGCTCATCTGGCGGGAACAACAAGAGAAGCATGTAAGAGCTTCCCGAAGAGTTTTTGGACTTCGATGAGGGGGTGGCGGGGGAGGGCTTCCCAGGAAGATATTGCCGCCAGGTACTTCTCCTTCTTGCTTGCCAAGATCTCGACAGTGCATGTTTCGAGGTTCCACATGAAGCCTGTGAACAGGGGCTTTGAGCTGAAGGGAACATCTTTTGCAGGTTCCCAGGGGGTGCCTGTTTGCGTGGAGAAGAAGTTGATGTCATCCAGACAGCAGGAAAATTCTGCGTCTCGTGGGGAACGTGGGGAACGATGGGAGAGATCGCGAATCGGGAACGAGCAGTCCTCATCAAACTCTTCAGAGCTGTCATCTGGGAGCTTGACCCCTTGGTACCATCTCCTGCCACCATCAGTGCGAAGGCCGCCGGCATCCTGGATTCCACGAGCCCACACTCCTCTCTGCTGGTTGAACTTCTTGAGGTATTCGAGGCGTAGTCGGAAGAAGAGGTGGTCGTCGACCCACTTTGAAAGTGGGCCAACTCCCTCACTGTGGAGCAGGTCTGCCCCTGCATCGGCCAGGCCTCCATACGTGCCGGCTGCAGAAGAGCAACCAAAACAGAAGCTAGTGTCAATAGCGAATTCGTTATCGCCTGTGCAAACCACTGTACCTGGGTATTGGGAGGGATGCAGAGGTATTGTCCTGTAAGCTTCTGCCACGTCGCATGTTGCGCCTTCTGATCCAGGAGGCAAGCGCCAAACCAATAAGCATATCGTGGTGAAGGTTCCATATGTGCACGGGTAGAGATTCGAGTCGATAAACGAGTTGATGGATGGGATGGGGTGTGGTAGGGATCTTGCGATGTGCGACAAGTTTTGGATAAGCCTGAATTTTCCTGGCCTCCCTGGTTTCGGGATGAGAGAGAGGGGGGCTGTCTGGAAGGGACCGATGAGGGCCTCGACGTCTGTAGCAGATAGTGGGCCCAGATAACAGCCAGCTTCGAACTCACGGGAAAGAATTGTGGCAAACGCATCAGCGTGCTTGGTGATGGAAGGGTGATTAGGGGGGGTATGGGTATTTGTAATGCTAGGAATACTGCCATGAAAACCGTATTGTAATGAATGTGGGATGTGAGGGTATTTAAGTATGAGGCACGACTTGGTGAGTGCGAGAAGCCAAGTGCTGGGATTATATGGGGTGAGAGCTCTGATTTTTCTGTCCTCGAGGACAGCCTTGAGCGCCGTGATCCGCACTCCCGCAGCCTGAACATGCGTGGATGTGCTCTTTGCTGGTGTTTGCGCAGCCGTTGGGGTGTTGCCAATCGTAGCAGAGCTGCAGGCCTTGGGTGTTGATGAGGCGACCCTCCGCATTTCGTCGGCAGAATGTGGGAGTCTTTCCATCCCACAGGAACTCGCTTTTGCATTTGTGGATGTTGTGGGGGAAGCGGCCGAGGCATAGAGCGCAGGCGAAGAGGCCAACTGACGTCGCGCTGTTCTGAAAAAGCTGCTTGTCTTGGGTGAGCCACTTCTGGTCCTGACAGGGATGCTGGTGTGTGGATGGTGATGTGCAAGGGGGAGGACGCCCTTGTGTATTGCAGGTTGGGGATCGTGAGCGTGAGCGAGTCGCGTAATTGCTCCCCTGCGGTTGGTTATGGTGAGAGGATGCTTGATCGTGGCTGGATTGGCGATGGGTCTGCGAAGCGAGTTGGAACTGGGATGAGGGGGGAGCAGTGGATGGTTAAGGGCCGTTGGTGTTACAGGAGTGGGAGCATGGCAGTGAGCGCCGTTGGGGGCAGTGGCAGCGTTTTTGGAAGTGGGTGTGGAAGCGATAATGGAAGCGGGAGCAAAACGTTGCGAGTGGAAGTGAAGTGAGTCAGGGTCAGCTATTGTGGTTCTGTTGGGTGGTAAAGGGGGGGGGAGACTGACCTCCACAAGGGTTTCTTGGCGAACTTTGTTCCATACTTCTTCGCCCATGTTCTTCAAGAGGGTGAGGTTGAAGACGCTAATGTCGAAGGCATTGTCGAGGACAAGGGTGTCGTGCCAATCGCGACGGACGCGAGCTGCATATAAGAGAAGTGCTTGTTCTCCGTATGGTTCAGAGCAGGAGGGATGAGACACAATGTTCATGAAGAACATCGTGAGAGCTCGCTGATGCTTGTCTGGCCATTTGAGCTTGTTGATGTACAACAGGAAGCTGTTCTTGGCGAGGTCGAATTGGCGCCACTCAAGACTGTGGTCTTGGATGGCTTTGCGGGAGGCTTTGAAGGATGCGACTGGTTTGAGGGCAATGAAGTCTTCAACTTTGGTGAGGCCAAAGGTGTCGTCTGCGCTGGTCTTGGCATCATCGGCTGTCTCTCTGCATCCATCTGGGCTGAAGTACCAGAGTTCAACATACTCAAAGGACTTGAGTTTATGGATCGCGTATTGGGAAGGGCGAGGGGTAAGGGTGTCGCCAACGGCCGCCCCAATTTTGAAATCGTTGATCTTTGGTTTCTTCTTCTCTGCTTCGCAAAGTTCTGCTTCGCAAAGTTCTGCTTCGGCTTCTTGTTCCAGGCGCAAGCATTCCTGGTCTACTCATTCCCACTCTGTTTGTGCTGCGTGAGCTGCAAGACGCTGGTCTTCGTCAACTTGCCTTGTCCATGCAACAACTCTGAGGTCACGATCTTGTTCCCATGCAGTGGCAAGCTCGTTGGTGACTTCTTCGTGTGTCATCTGAGTTCCTCCGATGATGCGATTTCTAAGACCCTCGAAGGTGGGTGAAGCAAAATCAGGCTGGATGTCTAGAACCGGGTCCGAAGCGATACGGGCCATATCGGATTAATGGGAATGGTTTGGGGTGATATTTATTAAGAGGTAGAAATAAGGAACACCAGTAGGTATGTTGGTGCTGATAGGGAACAGAAAATAGCTCGAATAGACTTAGATGTCTACGAGCGTGGTGGGGGAGCGGAAACGAGAGACGCTACCGGCGTCTTCCGCTCGCCCAAAGACAATACTCTAATCCTGCGCTCGTGCCTCGCTACGTAATAGAGTGGCAATGACCCTCGTTGTGTGGGAAATCTGAGCTCCGTCGGGTGAGGTTATATACTTTCCGCTATTGAGGTTCCGGATTATATATGTGCCCTCGTCACGGTCACCGAGCTCGACAAGCCAGAGCATGCGAAACACCGCTGGATCACTGGCATCATTCCACGGCTGGTTCATCTTGACGAGTCTTACATATTCTAGTAGAAAAAGGTTTTGATTAATGACGGCTTCGACGGCTGTCTGAAATGAAGACGCTCACGCCGAGCGTCGAACGGATCTTTAAAGGATTCCAAGTTCACGTCAAAATGTAAGTCAAATCCTAGGTACAGTGACACGCTTGCCAGAGATGAAAAGTGGTTCATCTACGTTCTTAATAAAATCTGTGCAATGATGACAATCAGCAGGGGTCTGGATCATACAGGTGAACGAACATACAAACACCACGGACCAACGACTCAGGCATGCTGTAGATGAGGCGCAGCGAGGATGTGCGGAAGTCGTTATGCGAATTGGGGTTATATAGCCCTCCAGAAGAAGGTAATCATCGACAAAGTGGATTGTGACTCGCCTGATCAGTAGAAGACTCTATTATTGTGTGATTCAAGAGGGATGGATGACAGCTTGACTGTAATTTGACAAAGCCATATACGGATTCCGTCCAGTGGTGAGTGCTCTGGAGTATTCTTATCGCAGATACGATAGTAACGGGGATTTTGACACAGCCATGGACGTGATATTGATATTATTACCCCAGATCTGCCGGTTAACTGCGCCAGCGACAGGGGTCAGCGTCTGGAAGAGAACCCTTATTAAGAGACAATCCTAGAGATAAACGATCGTAAGTAACTAGTGTTAATGAAAGACGACGCGCTGCATACGACAGAGACAAACATACCTCTTGGGTACACAAACATGAGCGACACGACTCAAACTGCAGAGTCCGTGAAGAAATCGGAATGGAACAAGTCGATTGTGCCATCCCACCTTGATCCAGTCTCCCGTAGTCACGTTAGACCTTGAAAGGAAAGGGAAAAGCTGGAAACCTGCCGTAGTCGCAGGAAAAGGCAATACTTGTAAAAAGGTTTTGACAGAGAAATGTATATTTCATTTGCGCATCAAAGGATTAACTAATAACCATATCTATAAGGGAATCTACGCATAATTGAAACCCATCATTCCAGAATTGATAATACACACCAACAGATTTCAATGGCATTTGGGAATTTGGAATGTTGCCAAAAAATAGTCTCTATATGACTTCATGTCACATTTCACGGCTTCACCCAGGGCATGATAGAGCTCAAAAAAATGCCACGATCGGTTGGTAGTCTTGAAACTCCTAAACCTTCTTTTAGCCAACAACAATGAGGAACGGGGGGGTCTAGGAACGAACCTCGAAATCGCCTGCCTCAGGCCCGGGGCTGATTTAACACCGGGGTTTAGTTATCATTAGGCTCAAGGCGGTATAAATACACTGACTCAAAATACCGGATTTGGTTATAGCCATCATTATCAGAAAGAGTGAAGTTGTAGTGCATATATTTTTCAAGATCCCCCGGGTCCGAGTCATCACCCGTATCTGAGGATTCCTTGAGCTCTGCGATCACAAAGCCACAGAGAATGGCTGGACCCTACAATACCAAAGTCAGACGAATCCTTGGTGCGAGAAGAATTGCTCACATCCTCTGCGTTGGGGTCATACCCGGGTAGTTTGAAACCCGATTTGATATTGAGGCTCCCCCAGGTGGTGACAGCCGCTTTGAAGACTGGATGGTCAAAGCAAATAGGCAAATAGTCAGCTACCTGGCGGGTAATGGGCATCAGAACAAAGTGATGAACCTGTCGCAATTTCGGAAGAGTCATATATACCAGGCCGCGATGGTAGCTTCGGGATGCTATTCCAAATGGCTCGGAAGTATCCCTCTGGGAGGATGAGATAACTATATTCACAAGAATTTGTCATTGATAGTTAACATCGCATTTGGTCATGCACAAAGTTGCTTACATTTTGTCAACTTGAGGTTCATTGAATTTCAAGTTGATACTCTTCAGAATTTCCTTGATATATTCCCCAGAGCGGCTGACTTGCTGGAACAGCCAGCGTCGGTTGTTCTGCCCCAGAAGGGCAGGGCTACCATTCATCAGGCCTAGGGCCTTTTAAAACCAATCAGTGGAATGCAAGTTTCGTGAGCTTACGAACTCACGCGAACGCCTACCAATGCTGCGCGAAAAATGGGTTCTTCATAAGAATCACATTTAACAAAGCCATTAAGTCGAACACACATTTAGATCGAACATTCCTAATGCTGTAACCATGCATAAAACATGCTATTAGCCCCGCATGATGTGAACACAGAATGATTGTACTCACCCATACAACCTCGAGCCAGGTGGGTCACCTGTGATTGTCCAAATGTGGGATTGGTCCTGCGGGTCCCCGACACTAATGTGAAGTCCGTTACGGTTGGCAATCATATACTTTCCGCTTTTCAGGTTCCGAAGGGTATACATGGTGTTGTTGGACGCTTTGACGAACCAGAGCTCTTGGAACACGTCTGAGTCCAGATCCTTTGCATTCGGCCCATTCCATGGAAGCTTTGCACAGACTGATACTAGTAGACAAATGTGATGGTTAGCGTCAACTTCGACGGGTGTCTGAAATGAAAATACACACCGCCGGTACTCGGCACTTCAGTAAGCCCGAGTCCTTGTCAATGTGTTGGTCAAATGCTGAGTAAAGTGACGAGCTCACTATCCCAGCAGAGGACACCACCAACGTCTGCATTCTGAATAAAATCTGCGCAATGATGACTATAAGCAAGAGTAATAGTTACAGGGAGCGATGAACATACAAACACCATTATGGAGGAACATCGTGACTCGCAGTGAGGATGTCTTTCAGAGTTGTGACAAATGGGTTATACAGCCTTCAAGAAGGCACATGCGAAAAGTGAATTGTAACAAATCGTAACTCACCTGAACAAGGATCTATTATGGTGGAGGGCTGGATGACCGCTGAATCGCTGTCATATACTGACGTGGTTCTATCCGGTGCGGCGGTGCAACCCCGGAATGTCCTTGTCGCAGATACGATGGTCGCGGGGGCGTAGTATATGCCGTAGACGTCTTATTGATATTCTTACCACACTGGAATGAGCTAGGGGTCCCTACTCCAACACCGCAGATCTGCAGATCTGCCGATTCACTTTCAACTGTGGTTCGGGGGCACCAGGCCAATGCTGTGTACGATGGCTGTGTTAGTCTCTCCTAATGTACACACGCTGAATAGCCAAGTTTAGGACGACAGATCCTCCTCATCACTCGAGAATCAAGGCCACTCTCTTCTTCATGGTTAGAGTTTGCGGGGGTGGTGCACTTCGTCTGCTCCTCTGGGTTGATCATGGGTGACGCATGTTGAAGTGAATACAGGGTGTAACGTGAGACTGCGGAGTTGATCTGCCAAGGTAGGGTGGGAGGCAAAAGAGTTCAGGTTTTATCCCGGGTTTTGCTGTGGACATGTCGACGCCATAATGGTCTTCATCATCAGAAGGGGACGTCTCGTGAGAGATCGATGATGGGGTTTGTGGCAGCGGGAGACGAAATATGAGTTTGCTTTTGGGGGTCTGTACCACTGTCCTCCAAGAGAGCTGGAGGCACTCTCTGCATAACGACAGGACTCGAACTGGGAAATGGACTGGAGGAGATATGCTACATCTATAGCGGTGTGCCTCCGGTGTACGGTAAACAGACACGAGATCATCCGAGTCCTCAGCGGGGTGCCAGAGAGGTTCGGGGGTGACTAGTAACGGAGGAGAAGGAGTTGGTCATCATGATGATGTTGAGCTTCGGGTGAGACAGCCGTGAATGTAACTTAGTAGTAATCATGGGTCGGCAGTCGGAATGCTGGGTATGCGATATGAACATTCCATCGGGAGGGATGAATAGTAGTGCTAGTGAGATGAAAGGAGCCTGGAGAACTGACATATGAAGTCGTAGTTGAAACGTTGAGGGTCGTCTTTCGAAATCCCTGGATCTAGATGAATGCCAGAGAGATTAAGTAGAATAGAAAGACAAGTCTGCATGTTTTGGGATGGGGGATGTCACTATGTCCGAGTCAGCACTCCCGGCCTGACCAGTACTCCTGGTACTCAGCCGCCGGCCAGACAGACACTAAGTCGTTCCTTCCATCAAGGTGAGCTAGTACGTCCGTGACATAGGTCTCTCAATGACATCAATATTTGTTCGGACGTGCACCTAGTGACCTCCATCAGTGAACGCATGAATACTCGATATTGTAGCTGTGAAAATTATATGAGGGTTTATTTTTGCTCCTGCCAAAGATGATCATGTATACTGGGTGACTATCCGTAGGCTGAAATATTGCGGAATAAAATAAGATAGAATAAAAAAGACCATTTAAGGAAATTGTGCCGCGATGCCGCTGTCCATTTGCGTCGAATTTGCAAAACATTATTTTCTGACCCCCTTACAGATTATTCCGGATTATAAACGACGGATTAAAACCGTTTTGGGCCACTACGCCCAAGCTATCCGCTGACTAATCATACTTGAAGGTCCCCGCCTGACACATGTTCAGCATGGCGATAGTCGCTACCTGGTCCAAACATTTTCCAATATACGCAGTCCAATCCCTGAGCTCCCTGGTGAAGTTTTCAGCTGAAGTTTTAAGATTACTATCAGCAGACGACGCCAACACGTACCACTGCGACCGGCCAGGGTACGAGGTGAGCAGTGCCAACACCATTCTCTCCCTATAAGTCTAGAGTCGCAAAAACCATTCGTTCCCCAAGTTACTGCGACTGTTTTTTTGTCATTAAATACTTTATTCCATGTGTGTACTAACGTATTCGTGCGACCACCACAGGGCCGTTCTACTAACTACAAACGTCTAGAATCATTTATGCATCTGACAGTTCAGGTTTTTGAGACGTATAAAAGCACACATTGGAGGACAACAAGGTAAGCATTATTTTCATTAAAACTACAGCGTGCAATGTCTGACATTCCCCCTCCACAATCCATGATGATACCTCCTGGTAGTACCCCATCTTACCCCAAATTACGCTATGACCACGCTGGAAATGCATTCGCCCGTGATAATTTTGGCGCTTGGGTGTCTCATCCAGGCATCTGCAAAGTAAGTCTTATCAAACGATTGTTTACTGGTGGCTGATACTCGACTTACTATAGACTCTTACAACTGATCGGTCCTTTCGGTTCGAACATGGCGACGGTCCGGGTTATCAGGTACGTCGAGTATCATATGATGTTTTTGACTCAACTAACTATATACATGCAGCCTGCTTCTACCTACGCACTCACTCCAGCCTTCCAGTCCCACGAAGGCACACCTCCACCCTTGCTGGTGTCCAGTTCTCGCCCTGCTCTACGTGAGGCGCCAACCATGAATATAGCTAACCCTGCGCTCCTCCCCCTACCTCACTCTGACGATATGGACTTGATTTACCCTGCCAGTATTGCGGAGGCCTGCGGCTATACTCCAGCCACCAAAACAGCAGGCGCTCGTCGCAAGGCCAAAGCCCCAAGGGGCAAAGGCAAGGAGAAGGAGAATGCTGGATACGCTAACCCAAAGAAGCGTTCTCGAGAGGACAGAGACAAGGATGATGAAGCGGAAGCACGAGCGAGGCGAGGCCGCCCTCAGGGGTCCAACAATTATACTGCCTTGGACATTAAAAGTCTCCTCGACGTAGTCCATGATGAGCTCCCTCTCGGTCAACGCGGGTGGCAGACTGTTCAAGTTAAGTTCGGCCAATGGGCCAAGGTGAACCACCGGCCTGAACGCAAACTCACTTCACTCGAAACAAAGTTCAAACAGGTAAGATTCAACTTGTCTCATGACTGTGACATTGCTCACAAGTAGAACTACAGTTGGTCAAGACTACGAAGCCGACTGGAGATGGTGTGTGCCCTCCAGAAGTCACACGTGCCCATCACATCGAACAACTCATTAACGAGCGCACAGGAACCCGTGACCTGCATGACACGGATTATGACGCCATGGAAGATGGTGACAGTCACTCTGTCGTCTCTGACCAGAACCAGGATGAGCATACCTCCCCCCCAATTCAGCATACAGCGATTGCCCGCTCCACTCCTCATACAGACGCCCCAGCTCCACGTTGCAATACTCGAGGAGCGGCAGCTACGGATTTACTCACTCAACTTTCCACCGCATTTGACCCAGCCACCCAACGCAACCGTGACGAAGATCGTGCCAATCGCAGCCTTGCCACCACGCAACTACTTACCCAAAGTCAGCAGCTCCGTGATTCCCAAGCCACTATGGAAACCCTGCATGGCCAACTCTTCGATTTGCATGCTCGCATGTACGACATTGAACGTGAACGTGATCGGGCCGAGCTTCGCATCGAGATGATGCAGATGAGCAGATCCACGCGCTGTCAGCATGTTCGGATGCCCAAATGCAAGAATTTGCATCAAGAGTGGTACCCTGAGGGTGGGGGATCCATTAGGTGGCTTACTGATGAAGGTGAAAGTACCGCATCTGAGGGGCCCAAGCCACCACGCCTTCAAAGATGTGGCCCCTCTGGACGTCCCAAGTATTCTGATCGCCCATATTTCGAGGACTTCGCTGATGAGCCTATCAAGCCCATTCAAAAGGAGGGGTCAGTAGAGATTTGATTGTGCTACAATGCTTACAATGTACCATGCAAAGATTGCTGCTTCTCACCATTCTGCGTCTTGCGCTCATTCCATCTTGAACGTCTTTCCTGTCTGCCTTCTCGTCCGTCTCATCATCTCCATTGAAATTGGCATTGCAGGTACTGGACAGTTGGACGCTACAACATTCTACGTCTTGCGCTCGTTCCGTCTCGAACGTCTTTTCCTTTGTCTTCCCCTTTGTCTGACCTCTCGTCTGTCTCATCATCTTCGTCAAAATCGGCATTGCAGGTACTGGATGGTTGGATGCTACAACGTTCTACGTCCTGCGCTCGTTCCGTCTCGAACGTCTTTCCTGTCTGCCTTCTCATCCATCTCATCTGCATTGAAACCAGCATTGCATTCCTCATCTGATATCATCATTACAAGTTTTACATGTTGTATCTACTGGAATTCCAATATGACATGGAAGCGCGAGACTCGATCCTTCTTCCTCTGCTCTGAAAATAGCATGTTTTCGAAGTCTCGCCACACATCTAGATCATCCTCAGTAGCCTGCCAATGCTTCATGTACACAGTCCGTATCTGATTGATCCCAACACATATGGCATGCAGGTTGTGCAGCCGAAGACAGATTTCGATAAGGTCACTGCGAGCTTCTTGGTTAGCGATGTCGAGTGGTATGTGTAGCCTTCCAAAGGCACCTTGGATAGCTCGCATGCCCCATTCTGCTGTTTGACGGTAAGAGAGTAGTTCGCGGTTGAATGCCATATGCTCCTCTATCTTGGCAGCTGAGCCACGCAAAACTTGGCCATGTTTCAGAGGTGCGCGAATGCGTCCGTCAATGGAAGTCGTCCCATGAGGGAACGCAGTATCTGCGACGATGTAGTAGTCAGGAGGTGTGTTGAGTCGAAGTTGAGTATAGATGTGAGAGGCAAGACGAGAGTCATGCCAGCTGCCAGGTGCATTCGTCCTTGCCGCAATCACAATGCCTTTGTAAAGTAACTATTGAGTACAAATTGTTGGAGAAAGACCAAAAAACGCACCTTCAGCAGAAAATGCTATGACTGAACTGATAAAATGTTCGGAAAGCCATCTGTTGTAGGTAGCATTTTCAATATCAACATCGTCTGAAGTCTGCACAGGGAGTTTGAGCCCGTCGATGCTTCCGAAAGCACCTTGCAAGCGTGAGTGACACGCAACTACGAGGGTACTACAACGCTCGAAATCAGGTCCCCGTGGCCATTGAATTGCGGCATCAACCATAGAGCGTAGAGTTTGTAAGAGCATGGGCAGTCCAGAGGTGAGATAGCGAGAAACAGTGGCAGGGATCAACACAAAAATTTGTTGGAGGCTAGTCTCATGCATGGTGGAGTTGAGATAGTGGAGCATGAGGCCAAGTGCTCCACCAGCATCGAGTGAACAGCGATTCAGGCGTGGAATGCCATGCGAGTTGGTATCAGGACGTGTGATGGGCTTATGGTACCACAGACTGGCAAAGCCGGAAGTAAGGATGAATTCAAATGTTCGAACATCAATGCCCATGGTTGTAATAAATGCGCGATCAGTCTGACTCGCGTACAACACTTGCCACGGGGTATTCCAATGTGGGTCAGGAAGTAGCTGGGCATGACAAAGGTACAGTCGCTTAGGGTTCCGGGTTTCGACACGATCAAGTCGAGCAAGCTCTATTCCAGCAACCAGTGTAGCTGCTAACATCCTCGCGTCCTCTTTGTCGTCAAGAAATGCTGTCTCTTCTCCGTCATTCACCAGATTATGATACTGTAGTAGATCGTCCATTGCAGTTTTGACTGAATTATTTTATTCCAGATGCGTTATGGTTGTGTTTTCTGTACAGATTATCTTTCGTAAATATATTTCAAAGTCCGTCATAATCTATTCCGCATTATTTTGCCTACGGATAGTCACCCACTAACGACGTTTTTTACTTGTTCCTACGTAGCCATGGATGGTTACCAACATAGACTAGCAGGAAGAGTTAGTGCCTCAATTGTGACATGCTGCAATCGCAGCTAACAAGGGATGCGAGCGCCAATGCACCATGGTTGTCAGGCGATCTCATTTACCTTCATCTATGTTTTCCATTGATTCAAGGATTATTCAAGACTTTTCAAAGGACTGTCAGAGTCCGTGACCTCCGAGTCACTGGCATATCAGGCCGCACAAATTCCCGCAAGTTGATCATGAGATACTAGTCACAATTTCATGATACGTTTAATTTTAGTACTAGTAGCCTGATGAGCACGCAGCATCATATCCAAGCAAGCGAAATGCCTATCCTTCCTAGTCAAATGTTGAGAATCCAGATTCCATTGCACATCAAAATCTAACTAGTGATACAAGTACTGAACAATATCCAATATCTGGATACATAGCGCAACCCGAAGAACTTAACAGTTGCTGTATGTGTTCTTAAGGGCAACACAACTCAAAAATATGCCGCAACCGGGTAATAATGGTAGCCCTCATCGTTCTGAGCAGGTGAACATTTCCGTCAGTTGACACCAAATGAAACAACGATGAAGGCACGAACATCAAACCTGCCGACCTCAGCCCTAGTTTGACGCCGAGTTTTGGGTCATCATTGGTCTCAAGACAGGTGAAAATGAAACACTCACTGAAAATACTGGATTCGTCTATTTTCATCGGCAGGGTCGTTGGAATCTTCATCCGACAGAGTGAAGTTGTACGCATGTGCGCCCCCCTCAACTCTAGGCCTGGGTTGTCCAAGCATGACGCCACAAAGAATCGCTACACCCTGAAGAATCAAAGTCAGATCAGTCCTCTCAACGACAAGAGTCACTCGCATCCACACGGATATTCTTTTCCCCCCAAATGACGACAACCACTTTGAACACTAGTCATAGTTAAAGTAAACAAGTCAGCTACCTAGCAGTCAACGGCAATGTGAACAGAACGATAAACCTGTTGCAAAATCATCGCAGTCATATATCTCCGGGCGCCATTGGCGCTGCTCCGGAATGTCACCCCAGACGTTTGACATAAATCCGTGCTCATGGTATTCCTTCCAAATGAGTGACCACAATCCGCGCGAGAGGATGAGATACCTGTTTCCGAAAGATCTTGTCAGGGATTGTGGGCACATATCGCGTTTGGTATTGCTTACTCGGTGTCAGATTGGTAACTTATGAAGATTTCGGGAACTGAGTCATTGGTACTCCAGCTCTGTGACACAACTTCGTGAATTTCTCCCCCAGAGCGGCTGAGTCGTTGAAAGATCCAGGGTTGGCACTGCCTCTTCAGAACGATGTCGCGACTGCATATCAGGGCATATTAAAAATAATCAGCAGGGTAGTGAGACGGGTCTGGTGAGCTTACCCAGTGGGGTCAGTGTACCCGAGGGATTCAACACCAAAGCTGAATGCACCTTCGGAGTTCGCAGGACTGATACTGCCGACCATGCACAAAATATGTTATAAGCCCCGCGTTATACGAACGCTGAAGAAATGTACTGACCGGTATGCCTGTGAGCCACCTGCGCTTCGGATCTGCTCACCGCATGGGACTATGTTCCACTGTTCAGATAGATGCATAGCTGAGTCGCCGAGGATAATGCTATCTTCATCCTGTAGAATCATATTCTTTCCGTTTTTCAGGTTCCGGATGGTACACGTGGCACTGCCTGTGGAGAGAGGCTCGACGAGCCAGAGCTCCCGGAACACCTCTGTGTTCCTTACCGGGGCAGGACCCCACGGCCACTTTGCAGCGAGTGTTACGACATCTAAACAAAAGTGATTATTAACGGTGGCTTCGACGGCTGCATGATATGAAAATGTTCACCGGTCTTGTTCAATGTGTCTTGGAAGCCCACATCCGATCTGCGTCAGGAAAATGTTAGATAAAGTGACACACTCACCACCCCAGGCGAGGGCGCGAGGGACGTTGTCCACGGTCTGAATAAAATCTGTGCAGTGATGACATTAGTAGGAGTGGTAAAGGTCATAGGGGGCGATGAGCATACAAACTCCATACGACAAAGACATAGTGTGGATGAGACCTAATAAGGACGTGTGTATGTTGTCTCTCAGAGTGGTAGCTATATAGCCCTCAAGAAGAAGGTAACCATATCCGAAAAGTTGAACGTAACCCACCCGATCAGGAGAAGGATCTGTGATTGTGTAGGCACATCCGTATACATGTAGGGTTCCGGTACGACCCTGGAATGTTCTTATCACAGATACGATAGTTGCGGGGTATAAATGCGGACGTTTAATTTACTCAAGGAATCATCTTCTTCCTCACATCGCGCTGGGACCTGTGTGACGCAACGCGAGAAGTTGGGCTAGGCGCAAAGTGTTAGCTCTAGGTGGGACACGAGCGCAGAAGACGCAAAACGGGCGGGTTTATGTTTGCGGATCACACATGCCATTTGAAACATCTGAAGGATGAGTGCAACAGCAACAATTTGACCATGAGCATGACACCGATTTTAACTGACAAATACGTTTATACCTGTGACTTCCACTGAGGCTGGGATCACTTACATTGATATAAGGAAGCATTACCTCCAAAGTCCAGTACAAAACGCTGGGGTAATGAATGAAATCGACATGCTCAACGTGAGTAGAGTGGCACCCGAGTACGAGCAGTAAGCACGGATAAGTGCGTTTACCAGTGGGGTCTCCTTTCCTCTTCCAGTCACGACGCCATCACCAAGCCAGGAATAAAATCATACTTCGCAGGCTCTGGCATGTTTTACTGCCGTCACAAGGAACCAGGTTCGATTTCGAAACAGTGGTACAAACGGATATAGTGAGTAATATTTGTGGGGGTGACTGGGGGTGAAGAGGGCGAGATTTGCGAACAGGGTCGCAAGAGGTGACAGATCAGCGCTGAGAGGGTCGGGATTGAATATTGACCGCGCTTACCCCCGTGTCACCGAACCACGCGTCGACAGCAACCTACGCATCACCATAGTGTCGCAACGGTTTCTCAAGACCATACAAGAGAAGCTGGGTACACTTACTTTTAACGTATGCCCAACAATCTGAGCTCGCCCTCCGATTTCAGTTCGATCGCGCAATTGTGGTAATTCGCTTTCCTGTTGTAAGTCAGCATACGATGTGATACAAAATGCCCAAAATGCCTAGATGAATTGTTCCACGTAGGTGCTGTCAAGGTATGAATGAAAACGTGACAGGTATATCCCTTCTTCGAGATGTAGACAGCTACAATATCTCTAGCGTTCTGACGTTCATCATGTTATCAACAACAGTCCTGTCCTTCACCTGTGCAGTGATATTGCAGTCCGAAACAATTCTCTTATATACGCCACCACGTTGCTGCGCCAACAAAAGTGCGCTAAAAGGCTGTCCAAGGTGAACGATGAACGTCAACGCTCGGAGAAATTCCAAATTAGCCGCCTCATGGTCTCTAGGGGGCCAGAGAGGTAAATCATCCGAAGGAGATAAAGGCTCGGGCAAATCGTCCAAATCTTGCGACTCGTCTTCAGAGTCAGGCAGGTCGAGATCATAACGATTCCACGGACGGATGAGGAATATCTACCGTGCAGGCCTTCCAGGCGAGGATTGAACCAGTTTGTCTGCCGTTGTGATTTGTAGGTCTCGGAGGCCGTCTGCCTTGACATCATAGACAAAACTTGTATCCTGGGTTTGAACACGCCTCAATCTGACTTCTGTGAGAAGAAAGGCAATGCAAGGAAGTTGCAGTCTGGAGTTTGCGAAACGAGGGGAACCAAGGTTGTCAAGGAGGGAATACAGTTTCAAAGCTGAGCTCACAGCCACAGCATCTCGCAGCGCGGAGACTGATATTTTCATTTCATCTTCAGATGGAGGTGGCGGCATGCATGGTGGAGCTTTGTATGATGTGATGTCAGCCGGGAGACAGCTATTGAAGTCGGATGATTTTCCAACCCAGTCCAGGGCAGTTATTTCGCCCGACCGAGCGATGATCTCCTGTAAGAGCCGCCCGAGCGCATTTTGTCTGTTCTCGCCGTAGATGACAGGTAAATGGGTGTCAAAGATGCCAAACAAGAAGTACGCGATGTCTTCCTGCAGCGTAGTGACACGGCTCGACGACCATTGGAGTTTCTCTCGCGCACCCGTCAACCCCGGACGGAAAGTGACGAGGGATTGTCTATTTATGCCGGTTGCATCTGCCAGCTCCTGCATGATAGTGGCAGACTCCTTGTGGTTGGAAGAGCGGTCATCAAGGTAGAGGGTCCAATCTTGTGTATAAAAGAGAATGATTTTGGGTGCGAGGAATTCCTGAACAGTCCATCCTCGCGTGTTCCAAGTGCAGTCTGCAAGTGCGCCAGGCTTCGACGAAGGCGGGACGTCTGACAAGTAGACTATCGTAAGAGCTGAATTGCGATACCAGACAAACATGGAGTTGACCGATCGTGTGACCTCGACATGGTTACTCTGGTCGATGCAACAGGTGTCGCTCCACGCCCAGAAATACCCAGCATCACGAGCGACTTCGCAGAACTTCTGCAACTTCACAGTTTCTCCGACTGGATCCAAGTTGTATACGCCTTTGACCTGAACATCATGCAGCAGCGGCTCCTTGCTCCCCCACCTATGTGATAACATAGCCCAACTGAAGTATTTCTCGACCGCTTCTTTGATGGGCCCCGTTTGGAGGGGCGTATACGTCATCGATGATGACAAGATCTTCTTGTACTCTGTAGTTTCCCTGAAGGCATCGATTTGTTCATCTCGGTTGTATAAATGACCAGTGGAGGTATTGAGTAGATGAAGTGGGGAATTTTCTAGCTTAGCATTAATGGCTTCTCGAATAGCACGAAGTACTTCAGGTGGTGTGATATACTGCTGGCGCAGTTCTAGAGATATAGAGTTAGTCGTATTCAAGTCGGTGCGCGAGTTCCTTGGGGCTTACGTGCACCATCCAACTTGGAGAGCATGATGTTGAAGACTTCAATTGCTTCATCATAGCGTTCAGCTTTGTGAAGCGCTCTATGCTTCACTTCGTACCCAAGATACGACGAAGGGTTGAGTTCAATGACCTGTACATTTGCGGCATTAGAATAATTACTACATAAATGATAGATATCATTAACACCTTTTCCGCGTCCTGAAGGGCCTTCACATAGAGATTTCGTCCTACATAGGCCTCACTGCGGAGCACAAGGAGGGACTCGCATGAGGGGTCTAGTACGAGCGCTGCCGAATACAGTCCGATAGCCGTCTCATAATTTCTCCCATCATAAGCCTCGTCTCCCTTTGTGACACAGCGTACAGTACAGTTTTTCTTGAAGGCTAATCCACCCCAGAGTAAGTCTCACACTCAAGTCATCTAAGACCTCCAGCACTCACCAGTGGACCATTCGAGGTACCTGTCTTTCGCATCCTCGTCAATCATCCGCATCATGTATTGGTGAGATTCGACCGCTTCGACCACTCGATCGACGTGGAGGAATACGTCACACCGTCTTTGGTTGACAGTTTGCCACAACGAATCAAGGTCCCAGCCAAAGAGCTGTCCAGTACATCATCAGTCAGTGGAAGTTTGCTCTGCGACATTATAATGACGCACCACCGCGAATAGCTTTAATTCGGGTTCAAAAAGTGTTCTGCGAGAGAACCAGTCAGCTATACTGAGAACACTATCGTTGAGTCGATCGGCGGCTTCGCTGTACCGCCTGTCCTCAAAAGCAGCTAATGCAAGCAGTGCACGTAGATATGACTGAAGAGTGTTTCGGCACGAGAAAACTCATGAGGTCTAGCATAAAGCTCACATTAACGATGCTGCGCGAGCGTGTATGTGAATGTTGATAAGCGGTGGTGAGGTCTGTAAGTCGTCGCATTGCCTCATCGTGACAATTGGCATTAAAAAGTGCGACGGCCTGGAAAGAAATGACATCGTTAGAGAAAGATATCAGCGAATAGTGACGAGAGTACCTTGATCAACAGTACAAAATCGATAGCAATCGGATCACGATTCAAAAATACGAAAGAGAGATCAAAAGCCTCCATGGCATCACAGAGTTGGTCATTGCCGCAGAGGGCGATGCCCTTGGAAATGTAGCCCAATAACGAGGGCTGGATGGCAATGGACTACGCCAACAAGTTCAGTCAGACTGTGTTCAACAGTATCATGATAGGCAAGGCATCCGACCTTGGCCGCGTCTTGAAGTGCATCGTCCCACTCAAAATGTCGCGCCCTTAAAAGTGAGCGATTGGCATAGGTGTCGTGGCCGTTGTCACCTTCGCTGATTTTTTTGGACAGTAGCTCTTTAGCGGTATCCAGATCCCCGGTAATGGATGCATCACGGACCGTCGTATTTATAGCGAGGATCTACACGAAGGAAGCTCTCATTCCGTGATAAGCAGACGCATCAAAAGTAAAAGGCTCACGTCAAGTAATGAGTGATTGTCATCACTGCCAGATACTTCATCGCTTTCCGAGGGATGATTGCTCAAACTGCCGTGATCCTCTGCGGGATGTTGCTCGAGTATGTCCTTAATAGACCAGAGCCAAACCTTCCCTTGAACATCTCCGCTGACAAGCAGTTCTCCATCGGGAGAAATTGCAACACAGTTAACCCCCGTCGTGTGTACGAGCGCTTTTGCTATGTGCTGATGCGTCTTTGTGTTCCACAGCCGCACAGTAGTGTCATCCGAGGCAGTGGCAATGAAGGAGCCATCAGACGAAATGGCGAGTGAGAGGACCCAAGCATCATGACCAATACAAGGCTGACCGATCTGCAAATACCCAGTCGATGAGTCCCAGAACTTGACTGTTTTATCATATGATGTGGAGACAAGTTGCTGGCCGTCAGCTGACCAGACAACGCTTCGAACCAAATCTTGGTGAGCGTATATTTCGAGAAGAATTTCGGCGCTATTGGTGCGCCAAACCCGGATGGTACGGTCAGCTGATCCAGTGGCTAATTTTAGCCCATCTGGGCTGAACGCGACACTGAACACCGAATTACGATGACCCTTGAGTGTTTCGAGGACAGCGCCAGTCTCTATATCCCATACAACAACCGTTTTATCTTCTGACCCGCTAGCGACTCTCTTTCCGTCGGGGGAGAAGCACACCGATAAAATCCAACTTCTATGTTTTATCAGTGACGACTTGATTACCATCTGGTTGTTCAAGTTCTCGACGTCCCAGGTGATGGTGGTGTTATCGCGTCCACCGCTCACAATTCGCGTCTCGTCTGGCGATATGTCCACTGCTTGTACTCCGTCCTTATGTCCCTCGAATGGCCCGCCTACCGATGTTCCATTCTGCACATCCCATATTCGTAGGGTGCCGTCCATTGATCCAGTGACGACCCGTCGGCCGTCTTTGAAGAATGCAGATGCTTGCACTGATTCCGTGTGCCCTTGCATTGTCCGAATTGGCGTTGGTTGCCCTTGTATTATTGGCACCGGCTGCCTTTTCAAATTGGGATACGCATCTCTTGCGGCATCAGGCATCCCTGACATGTTGCATTGACCTAGGCACAGAGGATGACGGTCAGTGGCATTTGAGGTGGATGAGGGGCATACTTTGTGAATATAGGTACGTCGTGGATATTGTGTGGTGTGAGTAGAGTATCTCTGCCTATAAGCAACTCACGTAGGCGCTTGTACACGGTTATTGTTGCTTCCGTATTACTACCGCTGCTACGGCGTTGATCCCTTTGCGCTTCTTCCGTCAGTTGTCACTGCCCCTCTTTATAATCACCTGATATACCATAGCCCCTCCATTCTGTGCACAGTGAACTCACTCAATGCGGCTGGTGTGATTCTGCACCACGGTCATTTCTGCAGCTAAATATTTCTTCTACTAACCTTGTCTTTGATCAACCTTTGTAGTGCACCCTGCCTCGCCACGAGATCAAAAAGGCCGCCAGGTACGCGCTCAATTCTTATTATTTCGAAGTTGTGGTATTGATGTGATGTTACATATGCATGTCACATGCGCCGGGTGACCGTCAGACCAGCGCATCAGATTACCGGTGCGCGCCCATTTGTACGATAACATCGTATCTGTACCGCCTGGACCTGCCTGGCACCAAATTGTGTGTCTTATCCGCTTATCCCCATGAGGTATCTGATGGACTGCCAGGACCAATATCAGCTGACGCAGTGGAGCAAACCTTCAAGATATCTCATGTGACCTATCGAAAAGGTCATTGCTCTGGATAACTCTATACGTCATCGTAAGCAAAGGTCTGGTTTCTCTCTGGCGCTGTTTCACAGATTATATAATTGGATTTTTGCTCATCGTATCCACATGCTTAACCATTGTATTGTTAGGATTGTGTGATGTGATTGTTGACTGAACGGCAGTATGAAAAGATTCAAGACCAGTTGGTGTACCAGAGGCTCCGTGCATCATAACATGTCAGAGTCAGAGTTGCGAACAATTTCGAATTGAAAGTGGTACGCCACTCAACCATATGGAATTGTGGTTGCGAGCAAGAGAAATGCATAACCGATACTACGTATGTAACCTTTTCCGACCGAATACGAATCAAGCTCAAATCATCGAATGAAGGCTATCTAAAGTCCCGGAGGATAACAGACTGACAAGAGTACATGAGAAGGAAGGAGGTGCAAATCAGGGTAACGTCGACAACTCGGGCAATTGCCGCGATGTGGAGCTGAATGGCTTGGCTTCAAGCCGCATTCAATTCCTCCCAAGAAATGAAATGACTGCCTCCCCCGCACCGGAAACCACGCGCTTCTGGAAACCAAACATATCCCGCACTACATTTTCGGTCTTCTGCAAGACGGCTGAGTGTACTATTGATCTTTGCCTGCACATTGGCATCCGTGACACCCTCCTCTCCTGCATGAAGTCCACGTTCAGCTTCTTCTCGTGAACGTTTCTCTGCCTCCGCCATGGCTTCTGCCGACCGTCTTTCCGAGCTCGCTTTATCGGCTTTAGCTTCTGCCTCGTTTCTCGCCCTTGCATCTACTGCCGACTGCCTCTCGGCTTCACGCTGCCTCTCCTTGGCTTCTTCTTCGGCCAGCTCATCAGTTGCCTGCTGAGTTTCTGCCACCTTTCTGGCTCGTTCCTCGGCAGCTGCCTGTACCTCCGCATCATCGGCTTGCATCTCATATTCATGAAGTTCACGAAGCAGGCGCCCTCCTTCCTGGTCATCAAGCCAAGTTGCAGAGACATCCACTGAAAGAGAGCGTAGCATGACTGAGGTAGGATACTCTGAGACGTGGAACTGCAGGTACAAGTGGCTGCTCTGGACAATGCGAACATCAAGAATGATCTGTTGGCGATCCACGAAGTGGTTCCACTGGTCCTGCAGGTCGTTCTTCTTGATGGCCAGCACGGATGAAAGACACATAGTGTCGGCGCCCTCGCGAGTCTGAGGCACGACAGTTATTCCACCGCGGTAGCTACCGTTGGTATTCGAATTCGTGCTGATCCCTTCCGGGATTGCTCCTGAATCAGCTGTGGCAAGTAGAATATTAGATTGAACCACAGAAGCCCAGTGATCATTTGCTGTGCTATATTTAACCGTATACGAGAACGAAGTGAGTGTTGGGTGGACCTTATCCTCTGGGATAGGGACGTTTAATGTGAGTGTCCAGTTCCCATCCTTATTGCTGATAAGTTCGGGAATGGACTGCACGGAATATGACGCATGTGTATGAATCATGTGTATGTCCTGGGGTGGGAAGATGCTTGACGCCTGAATGGTATCCGTAGAGGGTGGGGTGGTTAGGGATGAGGTCGCGGAATATTGAGCGACTGTCCGGGAATTGATGGTGGGTTGGATATACACTCCATGCGACCCCAACAGCTGGGCGAGTGCAGTGGTGAGGGCTGGGTGTATACAGCCGCATTGCTGGTCGCGGGGGGCATCGGGCTGGTTCATTGGTTGTCTCTGCGTTGGATGTTTCACTGGCCGAGACGAAGGCCAGCGGTCGTTTAGCTGGAGGTGGTGGGAACGCTGGACTTCATGAGAAGAGGAACCATATAATTGTCGAGATGAGGAGATCTTCTGGTACGTACCTTGACCCCAGACTTGGATAGGTAGCAGGATATATTGTTAATGTCTGCGGTCACAATCCTCCGGTCAGATACAGCAAAAGTAGCAATGTTTATCTGGACTTCGACGTACCCTGTGATGTTCCCACTCAGCGGCCCACCGTTTGACAAGAATGAGAATCGTCTATGAGAATAGGCTACTGGTACGTTCGATCGTATCATGGAGGTAATAGTATTCATTTTGCGTGCACATAACCATGGGCGTTAAATTTCCGGCTCCGAGATCTGAAGGACGATAAATGCAAGAAATGTGACATTCTACAGATCTAGGCTTGATAAAATTCCAAGGAAAGCACAGCTCAGAAATCACGCGCCAGCTTATCGCCCATCTCATGCCAATGACTGTGTAAGCAAATCGGATCCAGAAATGGTACGACAGGAAGGTGGACTTCGTGCAGGGAAAGGGCGCCTGCTGTCAGTCACAGGATGGCCGATCACGGCAGGACAAGCCCTTGATCACACGGTGGGCGTCTGATAATGGTCCTGTTAAAACAGTATTAGTATAACTATAATGAACACATTAAGAACATAAACGCCCCATGAACATTAAATTCTGGAATCAGAAACCAATGGGGCTGTGCTTTGGATGCAGTGGTTCTTGCTGCGGACCTAGGCGCTTGTTTGATTGTTATTCGGGGTTCTGAGCGACAATTCACCCGAGGCGAGAGGAGTGGTTATCGGCATTCCACTTTCACTACCAGAGTTCAGTCACATGCATTGAGGAAGATCAATTATCACATACCATGCTCCCTGTCGAACATATGGCTCTGGCAGTTCAATCATTCAGTCCTCCACCTTCATTTACTCCGACTCCAGTCATCTTTCCACCTGAAGATATCAGTGAGATTTACACTCATGCATCGTATTCCAAGGAGTCCATTCCTGAGCTTGTCAACAACGACCAGGGTAATTGGATGTTCTCGCTGAATGTTCCCATCCCAGACGAGATGGTCTACCCAACCCTCACGTCACTTGAATATACGATCAAATATGGCACAGCGAACGGCCAGGGCACATCTACGATTCAAACAAGCATATTACTCACCAAGGTCCTCTAACTCCAGCTCAAACGTCGACTCCACGCGCGTTCCTGATGGGATTATCACCAATACACCCAAGATATCCATTTATCGCACTGGGGTAGGATTCCCTCCACAAATACTCAATGGTGTGCCCACCATGTGCCTCTTATCGGTACCAGCCGTCAAGGAGAACTGCAGCACTAGTCAGTGGGGCCACTACGTCGACCGACAGCAACTCCTCCCTCACGTCCGCATCATCGAGGCCAGCCGCTTGTACTTGCAGTTGCACGTTGCTGAAAGTCCATCTCCAATCATGCTACGCTCCCTCGTTGCGGAGGTGTCTGCTACTTGGGTTGAGGATCTGCAGGGGAAGGTCTTGCACGACAAGATCCTGGCAACTCGAATGAGGAAAGCGGTCGCGGAGAGTAAGAGAGCAGAGGATGAGCAAGCGAGGTTGCAAGCTGAACGCAAGTCTGCTCAGGCTAAAATGGCGAGACACAAAGCCGAAGAGGAAGAGAAGTCAGCCAAGAAGAAGTCAGAATATGACCAGCTGGCGAAAAAGCTGGCGGATGAGCAGGCAGACAGACATAGAATCGTCAAAGAGCAGGCGGTCGCCCTCGCTGAAACCCATAGTGTTGCGAAAAAGGCCGCTGACATCGCTGCTTATCAGCTGAACATTAGGAAGGGTAGCAGCGAACGCCAGAAGTAGAGCCCAGAAGCAGAGGAACGGTGGGTCTACAGTTGAGTAGTTCCGCCAAGTGCCAGTGCGGATAGGACGCTAAGCCCCAGCACACCTAATGATACATAGTAGCGCTCCTCGAAATTTCAATCATTTTGCGTTGCGCGTCGTCTTGTCCGAATCCTTTGTACACTGGCAGCAAGTACTAGTTTTGTATAAGAATCGCCAGAACTTCAGTTGAATTCGTGGGGTGAAATGAACCATCAGACACTGAACTGGATTCAACCTTTGAGCAAACGCGTTTAGTTTCGGATATGCAGATCACTCTATGAGCGGCACTGAGACGATTAATCCAAGGCCAATTCTGATGGGTGTAGTGACTAGTAAATCCTTGTTCGAATCAGTCGTTTGTACATAATTAAGTGATCGCTCATCATACGATAATATTCTTAGCCAAGTTCAAATGCGTAGCTGCGCGACGAAAATGCGCCGGAACCGAAGAGTATTGAACAACAATACCACGATATTCAGCTGGGGTAGTCCAGGATGTTTTTGACACTTGTTGGATGGTTTGTCTTACCGTCGCTAGCAGCGCAAGTCCCGTTGGGCTTGTCGCCTCATGGCAAGCCATCACTGGAACTCGGAACTGCGTCTGCGATAGCTCAACCATATAACTCTGCTAACCCTCTGGACTCGGATAGCCTCGATCGTTCATCTTGGCGGCTTGATGAGCCACCTCCTGCTAATGAAACAGGTCACTTTGTTTTTGAAACTGTGAACTCGCTGCTCCAGCATTGGCCGAACACGCGCTATCGGAATGGTCAGTCCTATCATGACCTTTGCACGGATGGATGTCTGATGTATATTGCTATTGTTGCGACCTACCAGGCCATACAATGGTTCCTGGTGTAATTCCCAAAGGCACCTTGTTATATCATGGAGCTGTCAATGACACAATCCCTACGGTCCCCGAGTGGACGGCCACAGATCCAGAACACTCCATCCTCTTCTGCGAAGGCTCTCCAGATACAGGATGTTGGCACTTGACACTTGCAGCAACTCGTCCTCTCAAAGTCCTTTATTTTGATGGAACTAGCGCAGGCAATACCTTAAATGGTACTCTTGACACTCAGGATATCATTGCATGGGGAGAATTGAGACCTGACTGGCGGTTCGAAGAGGACCAGCGCATCGAGGACTTGTGCAAATGGGGAGTACAGTATGCTGTTGATGGGTTTGTTCGGTAAGCCATTTTATCTGGCATCATCTCGTTATGATATTGAGCTCTTTTTACAGAATGGAAATGGACTTGTATGTTCTCGATTTTCGCCTTATGCTCTTGAACTGATTGGTTTGCGTAAGTGAAGTCATGCTCTGTGATTTTACGGCTGGCCTGGAAGTCGTCTCCTGGTCTCACCTTGCCAGCATCGTTGAACCCGTGTCTACGGTCCCAACAATACCAAACCCCTTTCGCAAGTCTCTGTGGTTTTCGTCTTTCTCATATCTTCCTAATGTATATTTCTAGTGCTCCGCATGTTTGAAGTGATGCACGCAGGGTCATGGCACAATCGATACCCTGGGGATACACGGATAAACCTTGATCTGGCCGGAATCGTCTCACTATACGATACTGCCCTCGCACCGTCACTCATAGGTTCACGCGACGGCCAGGAACGGTGTGACCACGGCATAAGAGCCATATCTTCTGCGGATATTGAGGCGGTCAGGCGTAGCGTCTCTCACACATTAGAGCGAGATCAGGGTGACACCAGTGGCATTGACTGGAAAACCCTTTTCAGAGTTATCGTAGAACGTTATTCGGAGCGCTTCGACTTGATGGACTACCTTCTCAACTCGGAAAATAGCACAATTGTGGATCGGGCACTAAAGGTGCATGTCCAGTTACGCGTGATGCTCACGCCATACATTTTCCACTCTACTGTGCCCCCCCGCACACCGTATGACTTATCTAACTCTTGGGCAGCACCAGTATTCAAAGCATGCGGGACTGCGCACACGTCGCCAATGGTATCATATATTTCGAGCTTGAACCCCTCAGAACGCCTTCTGTTGCAGGCAGTACAGGAGACTGCACGTGAGATATGTCGCGTTATCACAAAAATGTGGGCGTCCGGCGTCCTTGCAGGTCTTGATATATACCATCCCCGCGATTCCACTCCGGATGCTGCGCAAATGGTCCACCTGATGGGTTCGTGGAGGCAAGAATTAAGTGCTTTGATGACATGGCTAGACTGGAGCGTGTGGGTTAGGTGTCGTCCAGCTTGCGGGCCTGAGGTAAATGTCTTGACATTATGTGCTGTCTATATACATCTTACTTACGTGTTCCTTAGGAAATGTGTTACCTTCCTTCCTGGCCCATAAACGTGCCAAGGGGTCGGCGGCCACGCCATCCTCCGCACAGACAATTTGAAAGCAGTGATATTATCAATACATCCTTTCCAGACAGCCTACCTCTCACGCACGGGCTCCTCATGCAACTGACGAGTCCGCAGGATGATGACTGGAGGAAGCCCCAGCCCAGGTGCATTAGGCGAGTTGCGCCATATGGTTTCTAGGTTTTCATCTAATGCTAGTATCTAATGTCATCCTTCTGGTGATAACCAGAGACTTGTTACCACTTAGATGTCGTAATACGCACAGCTACTATCCACGCCCTTTCTTACCAGTTTTCCTCGCGCAGCCATTAATGTCACGCTCCCCATATGTGATATCCGATTGTATATGCATCACCCATTCATGAGTATCTCTCCATGTGCCATACGGCACTGTGTCTTGTCCTGACCTGCCTGATGCGCACAGCAAAACATCAACTCCCTGGTGCATGAGTAACGCCCCGACGCCCCCGCCCAACATTGATCATTTTTTTCTGCGAAACGCTTGGATCCTCGTTGTCGTTCTTGTGGACATTCGAGACTGATTCATCAAAGAATATATAGCGGAAGAGTTGGAAACCTCAATTCCCGCGGGTGCTATGGAAGGGGATTAACCGATAGCGAAGGCACGACAAAAGCAACTAGAAGCAGGCGGAAAGAAGTGGCTAATACCACATCTTTGCTGCCGCTGGCTGGTGTCACATAAGTTAATCCATAGCTGGAGGTGTTGATCTTGAGATGACAGAAGCAATACGCAAAGATCCCTATCTCCTGTAACGTACCGGGTGTAGCATATACCCCGGATATACGTGCTACCTTCTGAGCATGAGATGGAGATACGGCTTGACCCAAAACCCGTCTCCTGTACGATTGCCTTGTTCCATCAAGTAAATTGATTTTGGAATCGGCAATTTTTCCCCGCTTGGAAACTCGGACCGCAGGTGAGTCCTCCTGACATCCGAGCTCATCTGCTGGTCCATTCTGTTTTCTCGTGGACCAATTACAAGATGCATAAATTTGGGTGGAAGGCATTAGTATATATCAAAAATAATCCCTATGAGTTTATATAAGAGACTCCTGACCTCTTCTGACATTTCCCAACACTCTGAACTCGAGTTCCCCTACCATGTCGCTCACAGTGAGTCGTAAACATATTACATTAATGTGAACATCACTGCTAAGACATCCAAGGTTGAATCAGTCACTACCCAAGAGGAAGCGTGCCAACTCCGCTCATTCGACAGCAATGTTGCCTGGGAGATCGGGAACATCATCCGCGCCAATGCCCAACAAAAGTTCACGCGTCCCGTCGTTATCTACATCGCGCACGCGAACTCATCCCAGCTCCTCTTCTTCGCCACCTCAGGACCTGGTACACTTCCGGACAATATGCACTGGGTGAAGCGCAAGGAGGCAGTAGTGCTCCGTTGGGGATGCTCGACGATGCGCATGAGGTTGTCAATGCAGGCCAAAGCAAAGACACTGCAGGAAGTATATGAGATGAGCGATCCGAGCATATATGCAGTGCACGGCGGAGGTTTCCCAGTGAAGGTAAAGGGCGTGGAAGGGGTCGTGGGTGTGATAGTGGTTAGTGGTCTCGCGCAGGAGGACGACCATAGTGTCATTGTGGATGGTATCCAAGAATACCTTGCGAGGAATCCTTGAGGAATCAGCCCGTAAGTCATACGCCATTGGCAGCCGTGTCCCGTTGACAAAGCGATCATCCAGAATCAAAGAAAAATATCGAGGATGTGACACCGTGATTTGATTTCTAACTTGAATGCAAAACCATAGGTCTGATGCGGTCGGCGTTCTGGGGCGTGCGCAAGCTGAATAGTGATCTGACTCGTCCCCAAAGTGCATGACAATCTTGCATCCCGCACAGCGATGCACGACGATTAGAGCGAAAGCTCAATGGCTTCATAGATGATTTATGCCTTGTTTGAGGTTTAGTATCCTGCACGTCGAAAATATCAGTTCGGCAAGACTTCGAAATCTCCACATGAACAAATTTACGTTCACCATGGAAATCCTTGAATCAACTTTGTCGGCAGGCAACGATTGATTCATCCCCGGCAGTTTCCTACCGTCGACATCGCCCCTCGGAGTGTGATCTGTAAGAGTCGCTTCTACGACCGAAGTTTGTTCTGCGTCGTCCAGCTCCTTGCGACTCGGAGGAAACTGATCTCCTTGAGGTAGATCGGAAACAGGGGACACTAACACTTCGTCGTGATCGGCGTTTGGAGAGTTGATGAAAGAAAGGCCATCGTCTTCACAACTGTGAAGCGAGACTACAAAAGATGAACAATCTGAAAAAGAGTGGCAGCCAACACCAAGGCTGGGATGTCGTAGCACCTTGGGCACATTTAACACACATGTTCGTCAGGAAAGTACGAGATCAGACCTTGCCGCTGAGTGCTCCGAGATCTGTGTTGGAGAGATTCGGTGCTGCAATGAGCTCACCGACGTCCTCTATAAATGACTCCTCCGAATGAATCGAAGATGATGGATCAGTGGTAGGATCTGGGTCTAACAACTGAAGCTTCAAGGTCACGCTAGCCTGGTATATGGAAGGCTCTCCATTCCGCCCTCGTACGTGCACATCTCTCAAGATTTGCGAGACAACTAGTAAATTATAAGTGAATGTTTATGATGACTTATGAAGGCTGCAGGACCTTTTGTTTGTGCTGATGTAGGTAACTGCATATAGTCACGAGACGATGCAATGGGTACATCCTTGCAGAACCAACTCAGCGTGCCGCAAGACAACAAGGCATGTTTTGCTATTAAGTCGATGCATATAGACCAGTCCTCCCTCACTGAACTATTGAAGAGGGGCCGTTGAGTTATGACCACCCACACGATAGGTAATGTCGCTTACAATTCAAATGACTCATTCCAGGCGTACTTTCCGGGGGCGGAAACTTGTGTTCGCTTGCGAACAGTGTCGACGCCAACTTCCACGTAGCATTTATAAGGCCCAGGCGGGCATTCTGGATCATCTGGTTCTATGGAAACACTGATATCTGTGAGGTACGGGTGAGCATCCTGCAGGGTCTATCATTGCGATTCACTTACCAGAAACCTGGATGTGGTAATGAAGTTTCCGCCTTCCACCATACGATCGCATTGGGAGAGAATCCATCTACAGCAGGTAGCAGCAACTCGTTGCACACGATGGTTGGAGCAGTTTTAAGGGAAGGAGTCACATCTTGGTCAGATGCTATGTCCGATGTTGTATGTCCGCCGGTGCTCACGCACAGCAACGGTTTGATGCCTTCCCAGGGTCGTATGTAGAACAAGTACTGCCAGTGTTAGCTAAAAGTTATACAGAGGATCTGGCAACGTTCGACAAGTGATCCTGATTAGATCCATCTTCAACAGAATCACCAAGTTGATATTCCTAACTGACAGAACGTGGTAGGATAACGTCGTGATCAGAGCAACTGCCCTAATAAGTCTAAGATTCCGTACAAATATGTATCAACACAACGCGCGTCCGCCAGTGCACGCGGTCATGAAGGCCCTTAGCTTTAGTACTATTACAGACCATGGTGGCATCAACAAGCGAGCAGGTGAGTTGTAATACCACGCACGCAGATTATGATGGTGCTCATTTGATTTGCAGTTAACAGCACTTGCTGGAACGACAGTTGGTGAGTGACCACTCGATCGAATACTCCCGCATATAATTAACACCTCCAGTCGTTCATCCATTGGTCCTACTCTCCGTTACTGATCACCATGCACGTACGGTCTCGCGTACTTCATCAAAGCGTGTTGTTGGCGTTCTTTTGGGCCAGGACAATGGCAAGACCGTTAACGTTGCCAATTCATTTGGAATCCCTTTTGAGGAGGATGAAAGAGACAGCAAGACATGGTTCCTAGACCATAACTATATTGAGGGGATGTATGATATGTTCAAGAAAGTAAATGGTATGTTCCTCTTTACCTGAGTAACCATCATAGATGTTGAGTGAGATCGCAGCAAAGGAACGGATGATTGGATGGTACCACACGGGGCCAAAACTACGAGCTTCGGACCAAGAAATTAATGATCTTTTTAAGCGGTACATTGCGAAACCAGTTATGGTTATCGTTGATGTACGACCACAGGCCGTCGGAATCCCGACGGATGCGTACTTTGCAGTAGAAGAGATCAAAGATGTATGCCTTTCCTCCTTTGCAATCTATAGTCGTACCGATTTTTTGGCTTCAGGATGGCACGGAAACACGAAAGACATTTCTTCACGTCCCTTCTGCAATAGAAGCTGAGGAAGCTGAGGAGATCGGTGTCGAACATCTCCTACGCGATATCAAAGACTCAACGACCACCACCCTCTCAACACGCGTTTCTGAGCAACTCGCATCACTTCAAGGACTTCAATCCCGACTACGAGACGTGCACAAGTATCTGCTAGATGTTGCGGCGGGTACGATGCCAGTCAATCACCAAATAATCTACCACCTGCAAGACGCACTCAACCTACTTCCTGACTTGAGCAATCCGGTAACAACACAGAGCTTTGCATCGAGCACAAATGATCAACTACTCGTGGTGTATCTGAGTAGTCTTCTACGTGCCGTTATCGCGTTACATGCTCTAGTGGACAACAAAGCCACGATAGGGCGAGCAGAGCAAGAAGAAGGTATGGATGAAAAAGACAAGGATAAAAAGACGGCCAACGGTGACGCGAAAAAGTCAGAGGATACCAAGAAGGATGGGGAAAAGGGAAAAGACTCGAATAAGAAGGATGCGGACAAAGGACTATGATTCAGTCACTATATGTTCTATCGTTGCTATTACCGCAGTGTGCAGAAGCAGCTACATAGTTTTCCCAAAATTGGTTGAACATGTGATGAGCACGTGCCCGATGAAGTGCCGTTGTGATTATGGAAGCGCTTTTCTTTTTTCATTCACCACCTCGAGGCTCTTTTTCGTGTTCTCCTCTTCACTCCAAAATTTTTTAAAGAAAAGTGCGTCAGATCTTGTCTAGGATGTTTACCTTGTCCAATACACTTTTCGCGCCGAGATCACCAACGGCTGCGTCAATCGTGCACGGACCCCTAACATTGATTTTTCCCTGACAGGTTCTCTACACGACATGTCAGGCGCTCGTGGATGTTTCAACTGTGGAGGCTGTGCGTGGTGTTTCTGTGTTGTCTGTTCCCCGGCTTTTGAGCAATTCCTCGTCGATATGGCGAAGGCAAGGCCCCGTAGCCATTGCTATTGCCTTCGTTCTTATTTACATTTTCGAATTTCGGTGTGCGGTACTGACGTGGATCGCTATGGTCTTTTGCTCATATCTACCGATGACAAATGTTATCATCGACGACTCGCACAAAATCGCAATATATTGCATTGCCCGTCATCTGACTATCTGCCTTGCTTGGTTCCGTACCTCCGATCTTCATGGAGACAGTCGGACATCAAGCTGCTAACTGCCCCAAGGCAGGGACTCCTACTTGGTAACTATTGATCTTGCTTATTCCGGGCATCGTCTCATTCTCGTTCGCCTTATTTAGCTACAATTGTATGTCATGTTGTTACTGAGTTCATTTTTACATGGTATTCACGATTTCTGCAGGTGGCATGGAGGGTCATGTTTCTCGTGATTGCACGATGGAAGTCAAGGCCAAGTCTTGCTACAAATGTGGTCAAGAGGGTCACATCGTATGTTTTCTGTGGATGCTAGTCAATCTTTTTACTCACTGGAATCAGTCTCGCGATTGCCCCGACGGTGGTGCAAGTGGTGGTGGAGGCGGTGGCAGCTATGGTGGGGGATTCTCCGGCCAGGAGTGCTACCGCTGCGGCAAGCCCGGCCACATCGCCCGCTCGTGTCCTGAGGCCGCAGGAGGCAACTCTAGCTACGGAGGCGGAGGCGGAGGCAGCTATTCTGCTTTTGGTGGTGGAGGCTCCAAGTCTTGGTTTGTCTTTATGATGTTCATCTTATATTTGCACTGATTTGCCATATGTAGCTATACCTGCGGTGGTGTAGGTCATTTGTCGCGCGATTGCGTTCAAGGTTCCAAGTGCTATAACTGCTCGGGCGTGGTACGTTATTCCGCATATATGAGGTTCTCTAATTTACATTCGCCGATTTAGGGTCACATCAGCCGTGACTGCCCCCAACCTCAGAGGCGCGCCTGCTACACGTGTGGTTCAGAAGGGTGAGCAACTCCAGTTGTCCTGGTCGTTCTCTTATTAAACCACATCTTAGCCACATTTCTCGTGATTGTCCCGGTGTGGCCGCCACTGAGGATGCTTGAGTGATGCGATATCCATGTATTCCTAGCTGCTTAATGTTGATCTCTTTCTGGTTTGCTGTTGAAATGTTTGGATCTGTTACTTCGTACGCGTATCTGTTGGCAGAATTCTAGCAGTTATTTGCAGCACACCATTAATATCATTGTACAAGTTCATTATGCACGTCAGAACTTTGCAGGAAGTTGCGGGATGTGTGCTATCAACCCGGTTCATGCCGATTGCGCAAAATCCGCTGCAGGGCCAACCGAGCTTATTTTTTCCACGCCCTGTTATTCGTTAATTTGCACTTGCTCAACCTCTCTCCTCCGTCTACCGACAACTCGCTTTCATTGTCCTCCATGCAAGCCATTCGCCTGGCGCGCCCTAGAGTCTCCTTGCGCCGTCTGGCGACCACCGCTCAGGTGCCCACGTCCGGACCCTCGTCCGTGACCGCGTCTGTTATTCCTCTCTCCAACGTCGAGGCACAATGGGAAAATATGTCTAAGAGCGAGCAGGCAGTTGTCCACCGGCAGCTCGAGGAGTTGCAGAAGAAGGACTGGAAGACGCTCTCTATGGACGAGAAAAAAGCGGGTGCGTGTTGTTGTCCTTCCGTTCTTCGGCTGCCCCCGTTGACGTGTCTTACTGATGTGCTCTTGGCTTGCTGTTTTATTCCAAATCATGCATTATCGTGACGTTGGTCTTGATGAAACACTGTTCCTCTGTGTGTAATATGTGTCAATAGCATACTATGTTGCCTTTGGCCCGCATGGACCCCGGGCTCCTGTCAGCCCTCCTGGCCAGGGCCTCAAGGTTTTCCTTTTCACCATGGGCCTTGTAGGTGTCGCTGGATTGCTCACCATGGCCCTCCGTTCACAATGTATGTTTTTCTCATTTTTTGTGTGCTTGAACTCTAATATATGTACCCCTGAACCTTAGCTCCACCTCCACCGAAAACGCTTACACGTGAATGGGAGGAAGCAACTAATGAACGCGCACGCGAGCAAAAGTTGAACCCTATTACCGGTCTGTCTTTCCTTCTGGAGATGTATTTTCATAGTACTAATGTCCGGCTTGATGCACAGGCATATCGTCGGAAGGGTACTCTGGGAAGGGTTTCGTTGTGTCGAAATAAATGCACTTTGGGCTTCCTTATCTGGCTGCTTACACACACGCGCTGCGGTCATTGTTCCGTGCGTCTGTCCTGAAGAGAAAAGACTTACATTATTTGCATATACCGTAGAGTCTGCCTTCCTTGTCTTTACTTCCGCAATTGCAACACTGCATCCGCCAGAATCCATTTTGAAGTGCGATCAATTCGGGAATTGATGTTTAGATTGTGCAGACATCAATAAAAGCACTGCTCGTAGCGCTTAGCATGGTAACCTCTGGTACCTTGCGTTTACAGACCAATAAGTAGGAAATTACTAAAATTACCAAACTACAAGTACGGCTAAGGCCATGATATGTAAACGGTGCATTGATAGACAGCCGCATAAGTTTCCGCCGTACAATCATGTTCCGGGTTCGGGACACATGATTCTACGCCACCAATATTCGGCACCATAGCAAAGAAACACTCCAGGATATCACCATGCACTACAAAGCGACGGTTGAAAGGCAGTGAGAGGCATGTAGAAAACAAGCGACGAAAAATGGAAACCGACCGACCGATAGCGAGCAACCGATAAAGCTTCCAAGGCGCCTGGCCAACAGATCTAATGCACCCATATGTGGCACCAGCCACCTAGCATTGCAGCCTTAGTGCAGTGCAAGGTCAGATCATCTTGATGTCGTGATGCAATGATGAGTTCAAAGGCAATTAAAGAATGACTGGTAGATTGTTTTATAGCCTTGGGCGGGGCAAGGCACAGGGGTACCGCGACGACACGAAAATCTTCCCGATCATTTGGAAGGGGGAACGGTGATCAGAATGGGAAAGCAGGACAGAAATATAAAGCGAATAACCGCTTCCAAGACTTTGCTCGAGTTCTGAGTCTCAATGCATGCTTCCGCAACGGGCGGTTCCGATCTGAGGTGTCACCTCAGTACGACAATGGCACTAGCCAAGCAATGCACACACCATGGCAAGAGTTTGCGCCTACAAATGTATCTAATCACTACCGAGTAGATGGCGTACTGACACATGTAGGCACTGCTGAACCTTCTATGTTGGGTGCTATATTATTCTGGGGCTGTGAAACTTCACCGTTGGAACGTATGATGTGATGGCGATCAGTAGCGACATACTTCAAGTGTGATGCTGTTGGTACATTTAGGGATAAATTGCATGTCTGATGGGCCAAGCTGGAACAACCCTTGGACACAACAGCAAAATGGCATCTCGCACCCAAAAATCAGACTTTGCAAACTGATGGAGGTTCCTGCAATGGCAGTGGGCTCCAAACAGATCTGATCGCACACGAGTGACATGGACAAACAAATATATGCTAGGCAGGTTCTAAATCTTCATCGGAGATAGTGAACCTGTCGCACTCGCCGTCTTGCGAACTTGTTTCAAATTGAGGTCCGCATGATAAAATAGACCTGGAGTTCTGATTGTCGTTACCCACTCTATAGCCACCTCTGGCAGCCCGATTGTAAGAGGCAGAAATATAAAACGTCGGAGTAAGCCATGGTGGTGATGGAACCCCCAGCCCCCAGTGATGGAGCGGGTTGCGCGGGTTGGAAGCCAAGGAATACGGACAGCTTACAAGAGACCCGCGCAATACGTATCAACGTTCATTGAAGAAGAAAAACCTCCTCTCGGGGTAGGCAAACCGCTCGCTGATCGGGCACCTCGGGAGAGACCTCCTGCAAATCTATTTCGGATATATGATCACATTGGGAATTAAGGCATGCCGTTGCTAGTCAAGCAAAAAGCCGACATTCGACTAGACCGCAGCGCTTTTCCTTATTTCTTGTCCTCCTCGGAGTTCAAGAATACCTGTGTGGAACAACACATCATCAGAAATGCGCCAGTCAAGATTGGGCAAGTATGAAGGACGCACCTGCGGTCCGCCAACACCATTTTCCCATTGTTGGTATTTTAGAGCGGTCGTGCCTCTCTTCTCAGCTACGACACGCTCAGACTCTTTCAACGACTGACGAACAGCCCGTGCGGTAATTTGGGCATACTTGTTGTACCTTCAGAGATGAGTCAATAAACGAATATGGATAGAATGTACTGAACACGAACGTGAAAAAATTTCGCCAAGTTGCACTGCTCATTGTGGAGGATGTTGAAGTTGAAGAATACTGTTCGTGCTTGAAATTCTGGTGCAGTCAAACGCTAAGTTCTTCCGGAAATGTCCGTTCATCGTGTATTGCCTAATGTGGCGACTATTATTGATTTGGACTGTGGGGGCCGCCACGGTTGCTCATACCTCCACTCTCACCCTTGCTTGGTTGCTTAACTGTTGTATCTGTTTTTCTAGACTACGCTGAAGGACACGGAATATCAAGAGAGCCCTAATGGCAGGAATTACTTGGCACTATGTCCTGAAGTTTATCATTACAGGTGCGTCACACGGCACTTGCATTCCGGCAGAGGGTTCATTTCTCAATAACCGCATCCACAAGGCGATGCTGGAGTGGGCAAGTCATCTTTACTTATCCGCTTGACAGACCAACGTTTTCTTGCGAACCCCGACCCAACTGTGCGTGGCCTTTCGCATGCCCGATAAGCTGAATTTGACACACTGCCCCCGTTACCCCTAGCTAGGAGTAGAATTCGGCTCGAAACTAATTGAGATACCCGAAGAAGGGAAGGTTATCAAGCTTCAATGTCCGTCTCCTTCTCCGTTCCCCTCTGACACGTATTTCATGTAGTGGGTTAATATGTAGGCTGGGATACCTGCTGGAACCGAATCCTTCAGGTCAATTACACGGTCATACTACCGTGGTGCCGCGGGCTGCTTGCTGGTCTATGACGTGACATCTCGAAAAAGTACGCCCAGTATGACCGATTCATCCCCGGCCGCCTACTAATCATCGTACACAGGTTTTAAAAACGCGCAGTCTTGGCTTGCAGACGTACGAGAGCATGCTGACCCTCATTTAACTTGCATACTGGTCGGAAATAAAATTGATCTATGCAACGAAGAAGGAGAAGGCTCGTCGAATCGACAAAGAGAAGTTTCAACGGACGAAGCGGACGAATGGGCGAGGAAAGAGGGATTGCTATTCTTGGAAGCAAGCGCGAAATCGGGGAGCAACGTTGATTTGGCATTTGAGAAAGCTTCGTGCGATATCCTTCATAAGATCAATCGTGGCGTTTTTGATGATAATCGGGTGAGTTATTATTTCAAGACGACAACCCCCTGACGTCCTCTATCTCTGACATCTTGATCTAGTCCCCAGGAGTGAAGCTGTCAAACCCAACGAATGGAAGCGTCGCCCTGAATCAAGCCTCAAATAAACAGGGATGCTGTTCATGATGGCTACTATATTATGTGCAATATTATACATAAAGTTGCTGTACTCTATTCTACTGTGGTTACTGAGACTATAGTTATTACTCTGTATTGCCGAAAATGCGCAGGACATTATGAGACTCGTACTCTATCTGGAATGTTCAATGAAATCCCGCGCTAGGGTATCCTGGGCATACAGATGATACAGAACTTTTGTGTATGTGTGAATGCAAGGGAGTGATGCAAGCTCTGTCAAACAACCTTCTAACACGCTTTCTGATGGCCGTCGGAATCACATGTCCATATTTCCTGCCCTCCGCCACTATCATGATCAACGCCGTAGCGTGTCTGCATACTCCTGCAGCTGCTGCACAAATCCAAAATTAGGTTCGGCAGATCTTCGTCTCGTTTTGACGTATTGGATAGCTTGTGCTGGAGTCCAGCCGTACTCTGATATGAGAAATGCGCAAACCACGCTGGTGCTGCGGCTCACTCCTTCCATGCAGTGCACAAGGATTCGTGCATTTGGATCGTGCAGTGCACTGCGGATGAAGGCGGTTGCGGATGGAAGATGGGCGGCGAGCTCGGAAAATGGAAGGTCCTCGAGGGGGTATTGAGCACGATGGATGGGTAGCTCATGTGGTATTGCAACGTATCCGCGCATTGCGGAGAGGATGTGGGTTATACCCAGTGTGGCGAGTGCAGCAGGGTTCTCTGCGAAAGAGAGATCTGAGACATATAGTCTTGGCAATATTTCTGATGCACCAGGTGTTCGCAGCTGGTAAGGGATTTGGGACATGGGTGATGGTGACCAGTTGGACATGCTAGAAGGATGACCGCCGTTATGTGATGATAATGTGAGCCTCCCGAGGTGCTAGGATATATATAAGCATAATGGGAATCAAACGAAGATGTGGACGCAACCACCAAGTGTGGATGTAGGAAGGACCATTTAAAACACGACTCACCATGACAACTTTGACAAGCGCAGCAGTTGACGTCGAGAGTGCACAAGTTTAGAACCGTGAAATTGAATAAAAGCGACGGAGGCAAGTGGTTTGGGTAAGAGGAGCTATAGGTGCGAGAATAGTACCACGGGGCAGAGACCCTTACTAGATTAGCCGGCCGAGATAGCCTTCTTTATGAATGAAGTAGCAGGCAAACAGCCTTGGCGTAACTGTTCGAGACCTGGGCTAGATTTGCCCGGTCCTGAGCCGATACCAGGATAGAACGGCGTCCTCAACGGACGTCGGGAAGGCACGGCTCTTGGGCGGGGTTGGTCAGGCTTAGTGAGCTCGTAAGGGCAAGCAGAGCTTTTTGGTTGAAACTAAAGTAGGACAAAGTCTGTACACTGTGAGAGCTCACGAGATTTATAATGTACAGCCTTGCGCGACCTCGATCATCAAATGGAATTTTATCCACACTGGCAGGTTCAGGGACGACCGAACACGCGGTCGAGGCTATGCAATGACACTAGCACTGCTTCACCATGGGTCTTGGCCCCGGCTATCGTCTCTCAGGAAGCCGCATCTGGGGGGGCAACTGCAGTGCAAAGTGTAGAAACGATTTCCACAAACAGGTACGATATGCATGCAGCTAACACACGATGCGAAAGAAGAGAGGTACGAAAAAATTTGAAACATAAGCTTGGCAGAACCAAAACATTTTACATGGCATACTGTCAAGAAAATTTCGCGATCATAGAATGGACGTAACAGTTTCGGAGCGGCATCGTAACAGTCTGGCCTATAAAACATATAGCAGTCTAAATGAGATCGCTGGAAAAGCATTTGTCAGAGTCTAGATCTAGTCAATCTCGTAGTAAGATACTCACGCGACATTAAGAGGCATTTCGTCAATCTGAGTGTTGTAGAATTCTGCCCGCAATCTCAGCATCAATCATGCAGTAGCAAAATGTACTCACGTTCAATATCTCTCAGCATTCTGACATCTTCTGTTGTCACAAAGTTGATGGCAACACCTTTACGGCCGAAACGTCCGCCGCGACCAATGCGGTGAATGTAGTTCTCTCTGTTTGTAGGCAGGTCATAGTTAATGACTAGAGACACTTGTTGCACGTCGATTCCACGGGCCAAGAGATCTGTCGTGATCAGGACACGAGATGAACCTGACCGGAACTCCTTCATCAAAACTTCACGCTGCTTCTGCTCCATGTCTCCGTGCTGGGTAAAAGATGCGATCAGACGGGACGCAACTGAGATAATACCGCAATTACTGACCATAGCAGATACCGTGAACTCACGAGAGTGCATCTTCTCCGTCAACCAGTCGACCTTCCGCCTTGTGTTGCAGAAGATGACGGCTTGCGTGATCGTTACAGTCTCGTAAAGATCGCAAAGGGTGTCTAACTTCCATTCCTCCTTCTCCACAGCGATGTAAAATTGCTTGATACCTTCAAGCGTCAATTCGTCCCTCTTGACGAGAATTCGAACAGGGTCACGCATGAACTTCTTCGTCACTTCCAAAACGTCGGCGGGCATGGTGGCGGAAAGGAGTACTACTTGAGTCTCCTGCGGTAACAGCTGGAACAACTCGTAGATCTGGTCCTTGAACCCACGGGACAACATCTCATCAGCCTCGTCGAGACAGAAAATCTTGATGGTGTCAGTGCGGAGAGCTCTCCGGTTGATCATGTCATATACACGTCCTGGAGTGCCGACAACGACTTGCACACCCTCCTGGAGCTTGGCCATGTCCTCGCGAACATTTGTGCCTCCAACACACGCATGACATTCGATGTTCATGTAGTCACCGAGCGCGATGACAACTTTCTGGATCTGTTGAGCCAGCTCACGGGTGGGTGCCAAAATAAGGGCTTGGCACCCTTTGATAGACATATCCAACTGCTGAAGGATGGAGATGGAGAACGTGGCGGTCTTGCCAGTACCAGATTGTGCTTGAGCAATGACGTCGTGGCCTTTTACAACGGGGACGATAGCACGCTGCTGAATCGCGGAGGGCCTCTCAAAACTACGAAATATTGATGATATAATAGTTATTAAAGGCTGAAGACACTTACCCGTAAGCGTAGACACCACGGAGAAGCTCAGCTTTCAATTCCATGTTGTCAAAGCTGTTTTACACTGAATCAGAACTTGATTCTGTAAAATCGGGACACCTGTTTGACGCACTTGTCTACGACCTGGTCCCAGTTGGACTCGATCTCATTCTCTGCAACATCCTGGAGCGCTTCTTCTCTAAATCCACACGAGTGACATATTAGTAAATAGATGAAATCGCAACAGCAGCAGGACGGATTACTCACGCTGACATGAGTATAGTCTATTTTTTTTGTATCCAAGGCTCGACTACTGTAGTCGATTATGCTTGGATTGTAGTGGGTTGTGTCCGGTGAGCGTATCGATTAACTTCTGCGAAATGATCAAATTTTCCGCATCTTCCTTGGGTCGGTGGCTGAAGCGGCAAAAGCCGACGTGTTTAAAGCTCCGATATTTACCTCCACATGGCAAGGGCCGGTCGGTGAGATGAAACGTTATGAAAGTCTGCTTCAAACTCTGTTCTTTCACAAGTACTGCACTGAACTAATATCGCCTGGAATTTGTTATGTAAATGACATGAAGGCTATGTACGTTATGTGAAGACTGACGTGACATTGCAGACGAGCATAGCTTTCATGTCAATCTCCTTGTGGACTCTGACAAATCTCTACCACATGCACAGTATGATATATATCCCATGCCAATCACAAGTCTGCCGTGACTAGCTTACAGTACAAGTAACCTATATATCGCTGACAATCGAACGCTGACGAGTCCAGTATGTATCACATGACGTTCGTTATACTCTTTCAATCGACCAACCCTCCCATCCTTCCCGTTTCCCAATGCAAGGTCCTTCCTGCAGCGTGAACGCGACGCCGTCCAACTTGGCCATGATTTTCGCGCTGATGACAGCTGCAGCTGGTGGTGCCCAGCTTGCCGCTACGCACTTCAGCTTTCCGTGCCCGAAGGCATACAGCTGATCCCTCTTAGGAGCGGAATGGCTCGCGTGGAACCGCATGGGATTGAAGGATTCAGGATCACTTCCGAAGACAAGAGATTTCTGTGCCTCTTCGACATCTGCCACATCTACGGATGGGACGAAGGGCCGCTTCCACCATGGGACGACCACGGCGCGAGTGATGTGACGAGTCGGGGGATGGAGTCGGAGAACCTCACTGACGATCGCCTCTACACTAGGCTGCGCGCCTGTCCCTTCGTTTGCAAAGGCGCGGAACTGATCGTCAGTGGGGTTCTCATTATATGTCATAAATGCATCGCGCAGCAGACAATTGCGGTTAGAATATACCACCGCAATTGCCTGCTACGCGCCACATTGTCTCGTACGCGGGGATGATGAGGTTGAGGGGATTGGTTCTGTCTGGAACCCATCTGATGATGTGATGGTTGATACGATCGAGCACTTCCGTAGTAAGACCAGTGCTCGATTTGGATTGTGCCCAACGATCATTGATGGCTTTGGTCACGAATGCCACGTCCGCAGGGTCAAGATCTTCAATATCTGTGCCCAGCAGACCTGCCAATACGACACTGAGCGTGACAGATCGCACGAAGGTGGCGTAGTCGAGGCTTTCTGCATCAAGGAACCTGTTTACGCAGGATTCGGTGACGTCAACGAGCCTCGACCATCCATCTTTCGCGGTGACGGCGGTTATTAGAACTTTCGCTTCGCGAGTGAAGACATCATGGATGCCTGGGTCATCACTGACGAATGTGCTGGATATACCGAGCGCTTTCACTAAACGCTGATTGGGTATGGATCTTGCGCGTAATAACGCGGAAATGGGAATATCAGGGGGATTCAGCAATGTCCTGACGGCGCGGACACTGGTGTGTATCCTTGTTCTTGGGGCCATGAAAACTTTGGCGAGGGTTGCCGCGACGGCGACGGCAGCGGAGAAAATCAACAAGATACTAGTATGAGGCATTGCGGAAGTCAACTGAATGGAACTTCTATGCACCTGTTACCTCAGTATTTATCCAGGCGGCTCGTATCATCTATTCTCCGATCGCTAGCTTTTGAACCATGCGTGCGTAACTTTCTGACTAGAGTTCAACACGTTTGTGACTCGGATTCTGATATCACGCGTTGTTTTCTCAATTGTGTTTTAATAACCGGAGCTCGAGAACATTCGAGCTAACGACTAAGTATACACACTTTCAGGGAACCTTCACTTTGTTGTTGCTGTAGAATTCATTCGTGACCTTTCCCGTCATCAAAACTCTCACGAAATGATGTTTCTGTAGGCGTATTGCCCGCAGCAATGATAACTATGGCACTTTCTGGTATGTTCTGCAGCATGCGCTTGTGACCATCAATTCAAATCCTACAAAGTCCTCCTTGGATTCCCGCCGAACCCTAATCTATTAACACGAGGTGCGCAAAGAAGCAGCCTACAGTATGTAATACTCGGGTCCATGCATCTGTACCCCTCTGTAACCGTTGCTTTCACGTTAGATTTCATTTCCTGTGCAAAACATGACCCCATAGCAAGTAGACAATTTACCTGGAAAGGGACTGTGGGCGTGTTTTAGGCTCTAGAATCCAGGAGTGCTACGCTCATAGTGACTATGAGTGTTTATTACGTTCTCCCTCCATATGATCATGATACCTCCACAGTCAGCCCCGCATTCAACTCGGACATGATCTGACTTTATCACTAGTCAAGTGATGCACTCCGAAAAGAGGTGAATCAGCGCTGACGAGTCGCGGCTGTCAAAACTGGAACAAGAAACTCACATCAATAAGTCCGCCTTATCGGAGCCTCCGCTGCGGGGTGCTGTATTACGTAGCCTTATCACTGCAGTCAGTGGAGTCTGAATGATGAGGATAGGAAGTGCCGTGATTCAGTGGGCTTAAACGGATCCCCAGTTCTTTTTCAAGACAAATTGTTCCGTTTGCGCTTATCCATTGGCTACTCTTGAATATGATCTAGGATCTTGCCGGCGACAGAGAGGTGGCAATGGGCTAAAGAAACGTGCCCTCTTGCAGTGATATGTTGGATCTGCTCAGTGGACTTCAGACTGTTCTGAAATGGTTTAAGGGTACTCATATCGTAGATCTGCAAGACGCATCTGATGATCACGATGTTATGTGTCTAACTCCATACGGGCATGCCGTTAACAGATGCTGCGGATCACCTCAGGAGTATGCGCCAATCAACTCAGTCCGCCGCGAATTCCTCGCTTTCCTCTTCTAACCCGAAGATAGCCCACAGCACTCCAGCCTGTCCAAACGGCCTCTCCATGCCCAACAAGGTACTCGCAGCTTCGTATCTGTTCTCCGGTTTTCTTACTTCCTCACAGAGTTGTGCGTAGGCCTTTGTCACGCGAGCCAGAGACACGCGGTGGATGGTAGAAGTGCAGGGACGGAGATGTCAATGCTGATAGACGTGGTGAATGCACAACTTCGGGGCTGGAGAGCCAGAGAGAGAATCTCGCAAGGGTAGGCTGCAGCTGCTGCGCAGGAAGCACGTGGGAAAGCCGATCCTGTAACTGGTCTAGTGGTGCACGAGTTGCGAATAAGATAGTGAACTTACAGAAGGTGACTTGGACTTGATGATAGCGACAGTGTCGTATAACGAGGCATCCCTGAGGATGTTCTCGTACTGTATGACAGCTGAGTAAAAAGTGGACACAACATGAAGAAATAATCCTACATGCTCGTCCTCCAAAAACTTCACCCTTTTGTCGATTTTTTCTTGGATGGTGCGTCGTTTCTCTGAAGTGAACTCGAACGCCTCCAGCACGTTCTAGTTCGATTAGCTAGCTGTAACAAGAGTGCAACAGGTGTAGAAACATACCTGGAGATAACACCAACAATTAAGTACGAACACCGCCCGATCCCACTGCGGGCGATACCTCGCCTTCTCCTCAGCCGCAGCAGCACACATTTCCATAGCAGGATCGAGCATCACATCTAAGATGCGGTTGAAGGTCTGTCCAGGCTCTGCAGTGGTGTCATCGAGAAGAGAGGAGTCATAAACCTGCATGATTTCGCGGAGCAGCTGGGCATGCTCTAGGATTGGGAGCGGTGGCGTCAAAGATGAGTCGTCTGGGTCCTGGTAATCGCTTGAAAAAAATGAAACAACACATTGTAAATAACTTACCAAGGAAATTCTCAAGAGTGCACGACCATGGGCTTCGATAGCGTCGAAGAAGACTTTGTAGCTCACATCTGTGATTCTACCAGGAAGAATGAGTAAGTGCCAAGTGGGCTAGAGCAAGCAACTCACTCGCTCAGAGTCGTTGACAGAAGAGCATCCTCCCCGATAGTGCGCCGCATCGTAAGCATGTAGTATTGAAGTAGATTCGCAACTTTGTATGATACTATGCTACTTTCCTGCGAACGCACAGTCTGCTGCACGCGCACCTGTGAACACATGTGAGACTCATTTTACTGTATGACAAACGACAGACAGACCTTGAGTGGCACGCACAATTTCGTTACTGCAGAGTTAAGCAGTTCCTTCACCCATCCCTCTTCTTCACTCCCTCTAAATGTCCGTACGGCGCCGACCATTCTCCTTGTCCTGCCGTCGTCTTCTTGCCCTCCTCCAAGACCAAACAGGCTTTCCAGGAATTCACATTCTGCAGCGATAGCTTGATGGACCCACGCAAGCATATCACCAACGTATCTGATAGGGTCATGCGCGTGCAATTCAATGGGACGCGGAAGACCCGACGGGCCACCTCGAGTCAATGCATCCAGGAATGCACTCAGCAGACCTGTCTGGCGGGTCTGCGTCAGGAAAGCAAGAGCTTCACTGTGGACAGATATTGAAGAGAGACTACAAATCTACCAATAGTGGGCACATACGAGAGTAACTCTGGACGCTGAGAGAGGCGGCAAATGGCTTGCTGCATAGTCGAGTCAACTTCCAGCTGGGTGTCGCGTCCCATCTGACGGAATTCAAAAGAACACCAGCGATATATCTTCTCGTAGCCTTGTTCCAGGTAGGAAGAAGTGGATGCCATAATGTCCAGTCTGCAAGAACGCTATTCACATAACATCACTTGGAGTCGCAGAACACTGCTTACCCAGCTTTCGTTGGTCCGTCTTCGCCCGACATGAGTACTCTGCAGTCATTACGGATATGCTCTGTCTTGTTCATTGCCTCAAAGAAGCGGGGGCCAATGGGAACATCTCGCGAGGTCATGGCTTCTGCCTCTTCATCGTTTAGCGTGAAGCGATTTAGGAAGAGCATAACAATAGATTTGCGTATTTCAACCTCCTCCCTGTATTATTCGTCAGGAAATACCTTCCAAGGCACAAATATCATACCTTTCACTCCTCAAGCTCTCCGCGCGATCAAGTAGAGACTGGCTCGCCTCGCTTGATAGCCTCAGCTGCGTCTCCGCTTCGTCACAAGCAACGCGCATGGCAGCGACATGATTCTGCAGCTCATCAAGTTTCTAAAGCTTTGTTAGACGAATCTCAATGATGCATTTGACCAACACACTTGATCCACTTCGCTGAATGCTTGAAGAAACTGCTGGCTTCCTTGTGCAAGTTTGTTCTCTAGATCTCGACGAAGATTCTTGCGTGCCCTTGACGCGGTCTCGTTCAAGCATTCCCTGTGGTCCTCTCCGACTGGCCCGACATCTGCATCCTCATCACTCCAATCATTGTCTGAATCTGTGCCGTTGGTCTGTGCTTTAGAACCTGATACTGACACTATGGTCTGGGTTCCATATAGTTCTGACAGTGTCCGGAGCGCTTCTGTTGTTGCCTCATCAGTAAAATTTGTACCCAAGATCTTACGCAGGCGGATTGTTATTGGGTTCCGAGTCTGCGACGCAGAAACTGGGGTGCCTGCATTTCGAGACGGGACAGACAAGGAACTGGGTGAAGGTGCAGGTGAGCGTGCTTGAACGGACATACAGTTCCAGTTCGGCAAAGTCTCCACAATATGAAGACCGTCATCAGAATTCATTTACAAATTCCACGAGGCTGTACATCGAAATCAAAACATTCATAGCGCAAACATAAGGCGTTCATTGGTGGGGGTCCATCGATGAGTATACCTAACGTAGAACATAGCAAATGATAAAGTCTAATGTATTACTAACGAGAAACCCGCCAATCAGTAGTGGTGCACCTCCTCACGCTCACGACCACGCATGGATGATGGCGCCGTGCCCTTGTAGTAGATGTCTGTCCAGAGGTCCTTGGCCAATGGCTCAGGGGATTGTTTAGCTTCCTCAACAGCCTGGTCAACCTCGGCCTTGGCGTCCTTGTCAAGTTGCTACGCGAACATGATTGTCAATATAATTCAATGAGAAGCAAGTTTCGACAGACCTTGAGCTCCTGCTCAGTGGCAAGACCCCACTCCTCGATGTAGCGTTGGAGACCGCGAATAGGATCCTGGGTGCTACGCATCCGCTGAACCTCCTCACGGGTACGGTAGGTGGTACCGGGGTCGGACATCGAGTGACCGCCGTAGCGGTAAGTGACGAACTCCATGAGAAGCGGGCCATTGCCTTCCGTTACCCACTTGCGAGCGTATTGCACAGCGTGCTTGGAGGCGATGATATCCATACCGTTGACCTGAAGACATTCGAAGATAAGTGAATATTCAAGTCTTGCAAGGACGAGAGGAAATGTGTTTACCTGGATACCGGGATCTTGTCACCGCGAGTGAAGTATTCGGTGTTGGATGAACTGCGCTCGGCAGAGGTACCCATTCCATACTTGTTGTTCTCGCAAACGAAGACAGCGGGGAGACCCCAAAGTTTAGCCTATGCGCGAGAATCTTTATCAGACAGAGTTCACCCATCACCAAAAACATTCATACCATGTTGAATGCCTCGAACACCTGTCCTTGGTTACTTGCGCCATCACCATAAAGAGCAAATGTCGCGGTGTTCTTGCCCAGGTACTTTTGTGCGAACGCGATACCAGCTCCTATGGGAACCTGGGCACCGACGATACCGTTGCCACCGAAGAACGAGGGTGTGAAGATGTGCATAGAGCCACCCTTGCCGTGAGACATACCAGCCTGGCGACCAAGCAGCTCAGCAATAACACCCTTAATGGTGCCGCCACGCATAACAGCGAAGGGGTGACACCGGTATGCAGTAATGACACGGTCTTCAGGCTTAATGCCATACTCAAGACCAACGGAGACAGCTTCCTGGGAACGTGGTCAGCAATACTATGTTGTTCGACTGAGAATACTGAATACCTGGCCAATAGCTAAATGGCAGAAACCGCGAATAAGCTTAGCCTTATAGAGGGCATCAGCAGCCATTTCCATCCGACGCATCGTTTGCATGTCCTTGTACATTTTCAGAAGCTCATCCTTTTTCACCTCAACCTCAAGAGATGGAGTCTCGCATTGATATGTGCGGAAGGACTCCTCATGGAGTTTTACGGTAAATGGTTTTGAGTGATCCTCGATGGTTTCTTGCAGTTGAGTGGTGTCTGCGGACGTTTGAATGGCCCGCGCAAAGGCAGGCTGTTAAAGAAAGACACATGAAGTTAGTTTTCTTATAAAATAAGGAGATTGGTTAGACTGACGATACGGCGAACAGCAGGACGGAACCGTGCAAGAGAGGCCATTGCTAAGGACGGCGACGAGGAGGAGGACTAGGGAATAGAAAAGAGCTGGAAGAGAGGAGGACGTGTATGAACCGACGAGGGGGACGCGAACTTTGACCTCCCAAAACTGAGTACGTAAAGTCGGGCTCGAGCGGAAGGAAATAATTCTGTCTTGCACAGCCACAATCCACACCATATCCAGAAATATTAATAAATCTAAATCGGCCGCCTGCAGAGCATACTTAATTACTAGTGGTGCGATCCTACATTATCATGACTCCATATTCGAATTATTGTTGTATAAGTCTTGTCTAAGCACTCAACACCCTCAGGCTGACGATGGTCTTATCAAAATCATCACATCGCTTTCTATCACATTGCTGGTGAGAGCTGTCGCACGTCCCATGTGAGTATTGAGCTGCTTTGCATGTGACCTGGCGCCCGCCTCGGGAGACATTGGTTGGTCATGCGGTCGGCAGGGTTCTATACCAAACTTCCTCCTCAAAGCCATCGATGTATTTGAACGCAGTAGTATCATTCAAAGCCGCTGAGCTTTGATGCTTCACGAGCGAAACCAGCGAAATTGGGATGATTCATTGCACATAGTAGCAAACATATCAGGCCTCTCACTGAGCAGGCACTGTTGATAAACAGAGTCCGCCTGAGAACAAATCTATGCATTATATATGTTCCATGTCTATCAATCGGAAGTTAACCGAGTCCTCGGAAATAAACAAGACATCGACTTACTTTGCGCCACAGGAGGCCCCAGTGGTCATTGATTGGTCCATCAATACCCCATGCCATTCCCCTGAACCACCAGAAGTTTCCGACGATCAGGAATGCGCAAATGCCGAAAGCAACACGCTTTGTACTCTCCTTCCAGCGTGCGGAGAAAATGAAATGGTCAAGAAGGTGAGCGAGCATGAGAACGGAAAAGTAAAGAGTGGGAAGCTAATCGATTGGTTAATAGGAGCCTTCCAACTTCAACACAGACACGTACATAGTGATGAAGATATGTGACACGGCCCATGATAAAGAACGGGGCTTTAAAGCGAGTTGTGAGTCTCTAAATTGAACAGAGATGTTCAAGGCTCACTGTAATGCAAGAACCACCCATAACCAGCAATCTTTCCAACATACAAGAAATGATCCCATTGTTCTGAAACGACGGATCAGCGCATGCTTGTGAGATAGATAGTAAGTGAGCTTACGAGGAGTCATATCAACGTACTTGCGTTGGTGGCGCAGTAGGTAAACAGCGAGGGCAATAGCAGAAACTATCAAGCTGGCTCCACCGCCCCACCAGATCACAGGCGTGCCAAGAAGGTAGTACTTTGTTTGATTATCGCCCCAGCCACACATCCTGAGGCCTAGCCGCAACCAAGGCCAGTCGGTGGGAGTCGACGCAAGGATATCTTGCATGTCCGGATCGGGGATAAGTGCATTGTTGGAAGTCATCATGGCCACATTGAGATGCCAGAAATCGCGGAGGAATGGGGACTTGTAAAATTTCGCATCACCAGAAGGCACTGAAACAATAACGTCAGGGCTACATCAGAAAATGGCACTGTGGCTCACAGCGGTCGTTCCAGTGACTCTCCACGTTCCAGTATGTGTGCATGTCTTCTGGGTTGTTCTCCTTGGTGCAGCTGACCTCAAGCTGTTTAAAGCCCCACTGAGGTAGGACTGCATTCGCAGCGTACAGGTAGCATCCCAGTGCCTGGTGTTTGAACCTCAATCTCGTTGTGAGTGAATGGATTCTCGTCACGTGCTCCTTGGTGCCCTGCTTGATATCATCGACGACCTCGACGACCCAATAGTCGTGGAAATCTCCAACAGTCGAGTTACCATAGCCAGAGACTTCATTGTTAAGCTTCGTCACGGGTGCTGCCACTGTGTGCGAGTGCAAATTTCGCGTTGTCGGAACATGCTGCAAGCGGATGACGTCACCATCCTGGAGGAACTGCAACTCGCCGTTTGGGTTGTATTCAGGCGCTTCCCAAGTGGGAAGGACAGTCCAATGGTTGTTGTCATCTTTGTAGTGATAGCAAGTAATCTGCTGCTGGCCTGAACCAACGGGATAGGTTTGAACGTGGGAGTGCAGGAGACCTCCACCCCAGCCCATGCCTTTCAAGGTAATTTTTGAGCCAAATGCAATCTCTGGGTGTCTCGTCAATGGTGTTATTCCAATGTACGCAAGGAATCAAACCAACCCCTTGGGTTCTTGCCAAAATCATTACCGACCAAGTGGGCTTGGAATAGTGAACTCATCGTAGAGTCGCCAGGCCCCGAATGGTTTAGGATCATGAAATGTAGCTTGAAGGACAACATATATACCAAGATCGGGAGGATAATTAGGCAGAGCACGCGAGCCGCCCAGTGTCGAATTTGATCTCGCTATTGAAGGTGTCAGCTTATAAGAGCAGCTTCACAAAAAGTGGCCAGCCTGACATTGGTCATACGAAGATCGCCAAATTTCTCCCAGAGATCCTCGATGGTGTACAAGCCAACCACAGCAGTCACGAACAATCCGATCCATTTCACACTGGAATAAGTCAACAAAAACGCAATTGGGAAACGGAGAAGGTGCCAGACCTAGTCACACAGCCGATGGAAATACCTGTAAATGCAAGCCACATCCACCAATCGAAAGAGAATGGCCTGTTGCAAGTTTAAGTATTAAGCCGCATGCATGACGCATCCGATACATACTGATATTGTTGGTTGTGAAATTTGGTGAGCAAAAAGACCGTTGTGAAAGTAAAGAACAGGAGCATGGAATCCAGTAGAATGAACCGCGATATACACAACCAGGCAACATCTGCAGGCGGAACATGAAGCGCCAGCGGCGTTTATTTTCAGACCTGACACTCACCGCACAAAACCATAAGCGCAACCAGATGGCAAGACCATGAGCTCATTCCCAACTCAATTGCAGTATACCACCCCAGCGGAACCAAGGCCACACCGAATGTCGCCATCATAACCCGCATAGCCACGTACGGGACATTTTCGTCGTACTCCACTCCGCTTTTAAACTCGAAGTGTCCATTGTAACCCGACAGCAAACCTGCAAGGCCGACAAGCATCTTCCCGAGCGGAGGGTGAACATCAAAGTAAAACTCGCGTTTGAGGTAATGCGACCCGAACTTGCCAAAGTGCGCCTCGTCCCAAACAACGATGTTAGCATGACCTATTTTGTGGAAGCGGGTCCAACACGAGAGCAAAGTGTAGATGACAGGCGGGAGGTGCTCCAGGTTCTGATAAATGAATTCACTCTGAGCGACGTTCAAAGTCAGGATGCGCAGTAGGTCTTAGCAACGAGGGGTACGTACGATCGAAGTTGGAGGCGGAGGCGGAGGCCTGTGGATACGTCCGCTGCTGACACGACTCCTGGCAGGCCTTGTTTTTGAGTATACATCCTTTCCGTCGTCGTCGTAGTGCATTTCACTTTCATGTTCATCACCACTCATAAACCCGCCGCTGCTTCCGGGTCCTCTAGCCACCCTCCGCCTTGTCGACGTATCCTCGTTCATGTGGTGTAACGGCAATGATTCCTCGTGTTTGTAGTTTTGAGAGGTTTTAGAGTAAGATGGATGCGTGGCAGGATAAGGAATTTCTTCAAATTCAGAAGACGTGCGTAGAGGTGTACCAGGTGGTGTACCAAAGTCTATTTGGACTTGAGGGGGTCTCATTTGCCCTCTTCTCAGTTCTGCGATATTTTTTTCCCCGACCGAACAGCTCTATGGAGCCTTTAGGAAGTTGATAGAGAATCTTGCGGAAGTGACTAACTGGCCCCGGTTCAAACGTTCACGCATTCCCGAAGCGTCACAACCTTACATGATACCAACCATTATATATGAATTGGAGCATTGCCTATTGATGTGACACGGCGCGGATTCACATCCACAAAGGCTTGTAGTTCAGATCAGATACAGAAGTTTCCAATAATTAGATAAAAACACAAATTCGTATCGATGGTATGAGCACAAATACTTTTTACGAAAAACGATGATACCAGCTACTGAACAAGATAGCCAGCAAGTGCATGTACATTTTATACGTGTCGTTGGTATTGAGCTATGTGATCAAGCAATGTCAGGCATAAATAGCAACCAAAAAGATGAGGAAACTACTAACCGGCAACCATAGCGTGGTCACGCTCGTACGGCTCGAGCGTAATTTGTTCAATAGGCTTGAACTTGTTTTCTCGTAGTTTTTGTACTTCCTGCACAAAAACGGCGGAGGGTGCTGCTGTTGAATCTATACAGCTAGCTTTGATGGAGATGACCACATGGCCACCATCTTTGAGGAAGAATTGCGCATTATGGATAACAATACGTGCTTGATCAGGTTGTGCAACGTCTGCGAATATAACGTCTACAGTTGACACCAGCATGCGGTACCTGTTAGGAAGGCGAGCGTCCTCCACGATAGCTATAGAAAACATTGTTCTCCTCAGCTGCAGCGGGCGGTTTGGAAGTACTCACGAATGACGTTTGTTCGCTTTTTGGCCATGTTGATCAAATCGCGCCCCGATCGTGGCGAAAATTCGACAGCATAAACAACACCTTCCTATAACCATGTTTAACACCAGCATTGTTAGAAAATGAGGAGCGTGACTCACGGGCCCAACAATATCTGCTACGTGACTTACACTCGTGCCGCTAGCAGCACCGAGGTACAGAACCTTCTTTCCAGGTTCAATGAAAATCTTATCCATACCGCCCAATACACCTGCTGCCAACTTACTCCGGAAAGGATTCCATACGCGATACTCGACCTTTGTATCATCGACACCACCTTCAATGGATATCCGCTTCTCACCATAAACACTTTCTCCTGGGACAAGGTTCTTCGTGACAAGTAGATGGTCTTTCCCTTTGGCGATGAAGACACCTGGATGTCTATGAGGCTCGAGAATAACCTTCGCACCACCTCTGGCTCCACCACCGGGGCCTCCACGACCACGACCACGACCACCGCCCCGGCCACCTCCACCTCGACCGCCGCGATCTCCACCCCGCCCACCACGACTTTGGAAACCTCCACCGCGACCACCGCCTGAAGAGATTAGTTCAAAAAGGCATGATATAAAGTGAAACACCAACGTACCACGACCGCCTCCTCTACCTCCTCCGCCTCCTCCTCCACGTCCACCACCACCTCCCCCGCGTCCTCCCCCTCTACCAAATCCACCACGATTTCCTGATGCTCCTACAAGTCATAGATTAGACAAAGAATACAATCAGAAGATTTCCTAGACAACATATAATATGCAAACATACCAAATGCCATTACAAGGTGTGCAAATGACCTTACAGTGTGGTCTTCAAAAATTTTAGCGAAAGTTCGTGCCTGTTCGTGCGTGATTGATACATACTGTGACGTTTCGTCACGCTCGAGTTAAGTCGGGATAGGTCACGGTGCTCTTTGGCTGCTCTCTCGACAATCTCTCAGTTGACAAATCAACAACCTCTTATTTGATATGATTTTGGCGCTGTAGAACGGAAGATTACTGGTCATAACTGGTTCGACGTTAACCATGCACAGACTTGCTACATGGGAATGGATATTACAGTCATCCCACACCAAATTACCAATTTGCAAGGAAGGTCTGAGGTAGCAATCTGCTGGCGTTGCAGATATCTTCTATTTAAAAGGGGATTCTGTGTCACTGGTCAGGTTCTAGTCGCCATGAAGAGCAATTCCAGCACATAAAATCAAGGTGTCTTCCTACTGTCCTCTTCAGACTGATTTCATTCCATATATCGCATCCTCACAAACAATGCGTTTCCCAATTGTCCTCGCCGTTGTTGCTGCTTTGACAGCATCAATATCTGCCAGGCCTGCCGACGCCGACATCGACGCTAAAGTATGTCCTCTCTTTTGCGTGCGGCAATCAAATTGCCAGAACTGCCCTGATAAAAACTGCGTGAGTATGAGTAGTTTGCATCCTGAATTTATCTACATAACTCACCGGCGCGGTAGATCATCTATATATGTTTCTAGTGCGACAGTGAGTCGTGTTTCTACTATCACATTGTGCAGTATGATTGATGGCACGACGCGTGAGTTAGTACCAGCAATTTGTTGCTCGGTTGATCAACGGAATTGTTTCTGAACAAATTTTACTGCCGGTCGAGCGATGGAGATTTGGAAATAGAGGACTCACTTTAAATTGCTACGTTTGTCACCTAGATGATGACGCTCAATTGTTTGGAATGGGGGAATCGCTTCCAAATGCTGAAAACCACGTCGAAAGAAATGCGAAACGCCGAACAATTTACTACATCTCCGGTCTTGATTTCGTTAACTGATCAGACAGGCAAAGGTGGAATAAAACAATAACAACAAGAAAGACTAAAGAACTCTGGAGTCTAAACCTACCTTCCATGATCAGCAAATTATTGTACGAGTTTGTTATGAATGGCATGGAGCATCGATGGTGCCCGGCACCATACATGAATCATTCACTCCTCTGTCGTGCTAGAGCCCATTGATTCATTCGGACATGCGCACTTGTATAAGACTATCCATCATGTAGTTATATTCATTGATGTGCTACATGCTAGGATACAAATAACACAACACCCTAACGAAGTTTAACTGCTACGTCAGCAACAGAAAGCGCCATGTCAAGTAACGAAGGAGAGACATTAACGAAGAAAAGACGGTAGCGGCGGAGGGAGGGCGGGAGTCAGCGTGCGGGCAGTGGGGATACATGGTTGTCCGGACTTTATGTGCTCAGGGTTTGAAGTCGTTCGAGACCGAGAAGGGTCCGAATGATAACACGTTACCAGACACTGGCTGATTTCTGAACGAATTTACTGCCGGTCGAACAATCCAGATCCGGGAATAGAGGATTCGCTTCCAAATGCTACGTTTGTCAGCTTACATGATGGCGCTCAATTGCTTGGAATGGGGAACTCGCTTTCGAATGCTGAAAACCATGTCGAAAGAAACGCGAAGTGCCGGACAATGTACTGCATCTCTGGCCTTGATTTTGTCAACCGATCAGACAGGCAAAGATAGAATAAAGCAAGAGCAACAGGAAAGACTAAAGAGCTCTGGAGTCTGGACTTACAAGGTCAACAAATTATTACACGAGTTCGTTATGGATATGGTATGCAGGGTTGACGGTGGCCGGCACCACACATAAATCATTCACTTCTTCTCTACCGTTCTAGAACACATTGTCACTGCTATATTCGCCTCACTGGATGATCATTCAAAATTTGCCCCATAGCCGTCCAAGATGGAGGTACCGCGCCACAAGTAGCAAGTGCAACACCAAATATAATGCTGCCACCTGAGCAAGGTCAATGTTCACTCAAAGATCGCGTGTGTCATAAACTTGCCTGAATAATAACCCGCAGCAACGAACCCCCCTGTCGCGGTACTGATAGCACCTGATATCGGAGGACCTGCAACGCCCCCAAAAGCAATGAGGGACATGAACATTCCCACTCGGCGTCCTGCGTCTTCCATCTGCCCCATTGCTACAAGAGGTGCAGAATACAGAGATACGTATGCTCCGAGGGAGAATCTGGATGAGTGAGTCGAACAGCTAGTTGTGAATAAGTGCAGCGCGTACCCGTAAATGGCAGCAATTGCAATAAGTTGGGATTCATTTTTAGCAAGTGGCCAAACTATCGTCGCGATTCCTGTTATAGCAGTCGAAACTGCTATGGTGTTGATAGCGCCTGTCAAAATATCAACTGATATTACCACGCTCCGCAGCTATCGAGACCTTACCGATTTTATCTGATATCAGCCCAAATAACACACGCAATGCAGATGCCGCATTGGCGATAGCGAGTATATAGAACGAAAAGTCTTTCGAGACGCCAATTGCTACGGCGCTCACAGAGAGATATGTTAACTCTGATGAAACCAAAATATCAGGAGCCACTATGATAAGCACAACGGTCGTACCTGTATAAAAACCTAAAAGTATCATAACTCCTGAGATGCAATAGATGGTAAATGCTTTGTTGCGAAATGCTTTGAGATTGAAGAATCCCCCACGAACGTTAGTGGGCGGGAGCCGTCGTTTCAGTAACTTGAGGAAAATGCGTCAAAGAAAGAGGTATTTACAGATACTGACGACATACTAGGTTGGCTGTCCCCAGGGTAGCCATCAAAATGAATCCAAACACGCGGACTGTCCATTTAAACCTGTAATTGTATGAGCGTATATAAATTGCCCCACGACTAATCGAACGAACTCACCCAATTAATGGAATCAAATTTTGTGCCGCTACAGGAAACGCGATGCTACCGAACGCAGTCCCAACGGTGGTGAGCGACAAAGCCAAGCCACGTCTCTTGGAGAACCAATGTGACACAATGACCACCACAGGATTCCACATGATACCACAGCCCACCCCAACGCCGACGCCCTGTGTTAGGAATAACTGCCAGAATTGAGTACATTCTGCAGTTAGGAAAGTGCACGCGAAGAGGACGCAGGTAGCGACGAAGAACGGTATTTTGAAATATCCCAGGTCAAACATTCGTCCCGTTGCAAGCGATGGAAGGCACGCGAGCGCATACTAGCAGCACAAGTGAGCTACGCAGGTTTGCTAGACCGAAAAGTAAACACACCTGCGTAGAACCGATCCATGCTCTGGATGGTGCAAGAAATCAGCCATGCAAGGTTGTGACATCAAACACACCTAGCGCCTTACATAGTTGAAGGAGAAGTGTGAAGTAGTAGATTTTCCTCGTAATACGCTTGGAAGATCTGAAAGATAGAAAATTGTAGAAATTGCAAGTGTGTGGTGATAAACCTTACTCACACCCCATGAAAGTAGAAAACCAAGCCTGGTGAGACCCTCTTGAGTCGAAATATGGAAAGAATTGGGAACAGCTTACGTAGAGAACATAACCAATGCGGCACTGCAATCCGAAGGCGTCAGTGACTGTTTAATGGATTGAAAGTGTACTCACGCAAAAGCCACAAGCCATGCCCTTAATCCTCCATCTGGTGCTTCACCGAGATGTGTTACGTGCTTTTGAGAAACTTGTTCATCCAGAATTTTCAGATCAACAGCCGCTCTTGTCTTCTGCCTATGGTAAGACAAGATATGGCTGATTTCGGACGCAGAGCCAATGCCCTGCAAGGCCTCTATACTCAGTGACTTTTCGGACATGGCTTCTCCTGTTAATAGTACGCAGAGAAGAAGTCAGGCCCAACAGAAAGCAGGAGGGAGGGAGTAACTGTACTGGTATGTGAAAACCATGCTTCCGACGTTACTTACATATAGTATTCAAGACACCTGGCTCCTTCCTATAGCTATTTGCAAACCTTGAGGGACCATCGGGACTGGTAGCGCTGTATTTCATTCTTGTTTAATAAAGCCACGCATATAATGACCAAATTGGACTTGCTGGCCTTCGCTGGTCAAGGTGAGGAATCGAGCCAATTCGCAGGCATGCCCATTGTATCTAGCCTATGCTTTGCTAATGAAACTGTCATTGCGATTCGAACGCCAGACCTGATTGTATAGCCTCCACTGATTAGTCTCGTAGTGAAAAATGTGTCGACAGTTTCACCTTTCCAGGAACTGTATGGATATACCCACACGACTTCAAGTGCAACGTGCACTGGATCGTCATGTCGCGCGCATTCAAGTTGCAAGGCTGAAGCATTCGGGGATGCCAGCAAATCCAATTACTAGTATTTTGGGAGCTTGTGTTTGCAAATTTACCGTCATGATCATCCTGATCCCGTTCCAGCTTCGAGCCAGGGTAGTGGATGAGATCGCTGGCGCCCCTCCGATGCTTCCCAAGATCACTCGGTGCGTAGGTGGTCAAATAGAATACCTGGTAATGATCCTCAATTTTGCCAAAGACTTGAAGCAGCTCGATAGGCCAAGCTTATGTAAAGACGGCTTTCCTGACTTTGACTGAGTTTGTACATGTGACATGTAGTTTTCTTGGACTCCCTACTTTTTGCAGAGCGGTTTTGAGGAATTGCAATATAATCTACTCGACTCGCTCTTTGGACTTCTTGAGTACTCACTTTGCTGTCGTATCGAATATTTCTTCCGTCGGCGCGTACGTGGCCCCGTCCACCGTCGCTGGGACATGTCTGGATTGCGATGTTGTGATACATCCCGCCGTCATGAGCTTAAACCAAACTGGTGAACTGCAAGAGGGAAGCTGGTGCCCCGAAACATTCCCCTGTCGCCATTCAATCCATGCAACGGTGTGGCCACTGGCCAGCGTACATCACTCATGTCATAATCCTGAATGGCCTGCGCCAACGATTACACCCCAAGAAGTCGCATAGATTCAGTTGACCATCACGATCCATAATTGACCCATCATGAGTACCTCCATCATATCTGCCAATGTCGTCGAATCTGCTGGCGAGCAGGACTAATTACTGGCAACTCCGGGAAAATTCAACACTTTCAGACTCCTCTGTAAATTCAGATGTACTTCGGGTTCATTCGGAGGGTGTATTCAGTATAGGTATGTGATACTCTCGCCCTTGAAAAGTATTTCGCTCCCTCAGTTGATCCCGAAATTTGAAGATAAACTATGTACTTGACATGCCCGACGACTTGCGGTCCTTTAAAACATCGCTGTGTGTCATGAAGGATCTCGCAGCGAGTATTTGCCTTAGTCACTCTTGTACAGCCATAATGCTCTAGACACATATGGACCAGGCCAAGCCAGGCCCTCAATGCTTTACGAACAAGAAATCGTATTTCCTGCTGTTACCGTGCGATCTCTCCTTTCTGTTTCAAGCTAGGGATGGGCGGCCCCCATGGCATCATACATTCAGACTAATCATAAATATCAATCGGGATGTGCACTTGGCCAATGACTATGCATATTGATCGATGCAGCGCCGATGTCATCAACTGCGAGTGGATCAGATCGATCAGATGCAGTGCTTTTGCACTGTTCCTGTCAATCAGAGTCATACTACCCTTATTTTGGCATCCGCATGTTATTATCGCCCGAGGCCGGGACTGCCTGTTTCTGTGCTGGATGGCGGCATATCCAAACCCCATCATCATTACGTTCGCCAAGCTTTCCGGTTACTACTCGCTCATGTCTATCCTTCTGAATATGACCATAGTCTTAGATGACCCCAGTTAGTGGCCTCAAATCAGTTTCTCTCGTTCTATGAGCTACTTTGTAGGTCTGTGGAGAATCAGTTGGGTGACCATGCCTCAATGTAATTTTGACTGCGGTTTTGCAGTTGCCTCCTTTTACGTGAAAAATAACGTCGGCAGTTTCACCTTTCAGAACAACTTTATAGATAAATGTCCATGACTTCAAATGCGCGCTGTAGGATCGTGGTTCAGCTAATGTTGCGTCACAAAGTAGAGGCGTCAATAACAATAATACCGAGAAGGCCAGCAAGTTCAATTACAAAGCTTCAACTCACCAGCAGAAGTCAGAACAAGTTGTAGAGAAGAATGAGCAGGCAGCGGTCCGTATGGCTGATTGCGATACAACTCCGGGTACAATGTTTGGGCTTGGATGGACGCGTGAAGTTAACAAACGGTCTACCGAGTGTCATTGCAACTTTCGTTCGAGACGCTTCTATCATTGCTTGCCTGATCTGAAGGAATTACACCCCTCATTTTCGAGTGCTCTACGAGCAAGTTTTGTGAGAACCCTCAATGATGATCTTGACACGACAGTAAAACTATTGACAAGCTTGCTACCGAGCGGCCTCCAGGAGCCTGCCATATTTGAGTCTGGATGGACATTCCAGCCCAGTCGGTTGTTCCTGTCACGGAGGTTATGTTACAAGAGACGCGAAGTGCCGGACAGTGTATATCTCTCACGTCGCTTTCGCCAGTCAATCAGACGGGAAAAGGTCAAGTAGGAAAGACTCGAGGTTCTCTGCCTAGCTTCAATGTACAAGCTAAGACTATAACGAAAGTGACTAGTGCTCGGCGCACGCTTGAATCATGTCACATCCACTCCTGTGCCGTTCAAGAGCACATTGACCCAACGGCAGATTCATTTCACTAAACGATCATTCAAAATTTGCCCCACAGTCGTCCGAGGTGAAGGTACTGCGCCACGAATAGCAACGCGACACCAAATATAATGGTGCCACCTGGGCAATGTCAATGCTCACTCAAAGATCACACGTGCCATAAACTTACCTCCGTAATAACCCGCAGCGATGAACCCTCCTGTCGCGGTACGGATCGCACCTGATATTGGAGGACCTACAATGCCTCCGAAACCGATGAGGGACATGAACATTCCCACTCGACGCCCCGCATCTTCCATCTCGCCCATTCCTACGGCAGGTGCAGAATACAGAGATATATATGCTCCGATGGAAAATCTGGATGGTCAGTCGGCTGGGCAGCTAGCGGTGAAAAAGAGCAATGCATACCCGTGAATGGTAGCAATAGCGATAAGCTGGGACTCATCTTTAGCAAACGGCCAAGCGATTGTCGTGATTCCAGTAATAGCAGTGAAAATTGCCATGGTGTTGAGTGCGCCTGTCAAATATCAACTGATGTTCCCATAGTCCACAGCTATCAAGTCTACCAATTTTATCTCCCAACAGCCCAGATGACACACGTCCAAACGCAGATGCCGCATTGGCAATCGCAATTAGATAAAATGAAAAATCTTTCGAGACGCCAATTTCTACGGCGCTCACAGAGATATATGTTAACTCTGATGAAACCAAAATATTAGGAGCCACTATGATAAGCACAACGGTCGTACCTGTATAAAGACCTAGAAGTATCACAATTCCTGAAACGCAATAGATGGAATATGCATTGTTGCGGAATGCTTTGAGATTGAAGAGTCCCCCGCGCACGTTGACGGCCGGAAGCCGCCGTTGAAGGAACTGAGGAAATACGTCGGTCAGGGAGATGTCCTCAGGTGCTAACGACATACTATGTTGGCTATCCCCATTGCAGCTATCAGCATGAATCCAAATACACGAACTGTCCATCTAAACCTGAAAGTGTATGAGTGAATATGAATTGCCCCATGATCGACTAAACGAACTCACCCAATTAACGGAATTAATTTTTGTGCCGCTACAGGAAACACGATGCTGCCGAGGGCAGCCCCAAGGGTGGTGGCAGACAAAGCAAGGCCACGTCTCTTGGAGAACCAATGTGACACGATGACGACTGCGGGACTAAATACGAAACCGCAGCCCACTCCAAGTCCGACGCCCTGTGTCAGGAAGAGCTGCCAGAATTGAGTGCACTCCGCGGTTAGGAAAGTGCAAGCGACGAGAACACAGCTAGCGGCAAAGAACGGTATTTTGAAGTATCCCAAGTCAAACAGTCGCCCCGATACAAGTGACGGAAGGTACGAGAGTGCATACTAGCAGCACAAGTGAGCTTAGAAGGCTTGCTAGAACCAGAATTAGACACGCCTGCGTAGAACCGATCCATGCTCTAGAGAGTGCAAGAGATCAGCTATTCAACGTTAGATCAAACAGACCTAGCACCTTACATAGTTGAAGGTGGAGTATGAGGCAGAAGGTTTTCCTCGTAATACGCTTGGAAGACCTGAAAGGCAGAAATTTGTAGGAACTGCAAGTGTGTCGCGACAAACCTCACTTACACCCCATGAATTTGAAAAACCAAACCTGGTACACCTTCTTGAGTCAAACTATGGAAAGAATTAAGAACGGCTTACGTAGAGAATGTAACCATTGCCGTACTGCAATCCAAAGAGGTCAGTGACTATTTCGATCAAATGAACTTGTACTTGCGCAAAAACTGTAAGCCATGCCCTTATTCCTCCATCTGGTGCTTCACTAAGATGCGCTTGAAATTTCTGATGAGAGCCTTGTTCATTCAATATTTCCTGGTCGAAGGCTACTGTTGTCTCCAGCCTATCGTAAGACAAGCTATGTTGGCTTCCAGAAACAGAGTCAATGCCCTGCAAAGACTCTATAGTTGGTAACTTCTCCGAGTCGGACATAGTGTCGTTCTCCTGTCAATATGGACAGAAGTGATCTGAATCAATAGACGGCTGGGGGGAAAGAGCAACTGCACTGGTGTGTGCAAATCATGCTCTCGGCGTTATGTACACATAGTATTCTCCGCGACATAGAGCTCCTTCCCATAGTTATTTGCAAAACTTTGATAGTCACAAACGCCATACCCGGTAGTGAAGCGTCATTTGATGACGAGGACAATTGGACTTGCTGGTCTTCGGGTAAGGAATCAGGCAGGTTCGTTGTATGTAGTGCTTGCCAATGAAACTTTGAAGGCCAAACCTATTGGTAATAGTATTTTGGTGAAAAATCGTATTGGTTTGGTCATCGTTTGAGAAATAAATACCTACAACTTCAAGTAGCTTCAAGACCAAATGCGCGCCATTAGCGTCGGTCAACTGCCGCAAAGTCGAGGCATCTCCGCAAACGCCACCATGGCACGAAATATTGAAGATTTTGGGATATGAGATACAGCTTGTAGAAGTTGTCTTGTGCACCACCAGAAAGCATATGGTACCATACTATGGAAGGAAATTGCTGACGTAGTGACCGAGCGGATTATGCCGAGAAGATCTACCTGCAAATCCAGTTGCTTGTGTTTGTATCATTCCTGAATACAGTTTTGAGTCTCAAGCCGGGATAGTGGATCATCGATACGGATTTCGCTGGCGCTTCCCAGCATAATTTGGTGGGTGGTCAAACAGAATGTCAATAGTTCTCAGTTTTGCAAATAGCTCGGAAAGAAGAATTGGGACAATTGAATGCTATTGATATCTGTTCCGAGTCTACATAACTTCGGCAGAATGGCTTGAATAAATCAATACAGTTTCCCCGGTCTCTCCCTCCCCTTATTTTCATTTTGATTTCTCTCTGTCTTGAGAGCGATGTCCGAGGAGTCCTCAAGCAAATTAGAGACTTGCCCGGCGTCTGAAGCCTTGCCTTTCGATGGGTGGAAACCGAAAGCGGATGATCGGGAAACACTGGATCAACACGTTTCTGAGAAGTCTGTACCACACCTTTCTGGAGCACCAGATGGAGGATTAACCGCGTGGCTGGTCGTTTTTGCGTAAGTACTAGAGCTACACGATCAGTTCTTTGAAATAATCACTGACATCTTCAAATTACAGTGTCAATTTAGTTTTATTTTCTACGTGAGCTGTCTCCATTTCTTCGCCCCCAGCTTAACTCAAGTGATCACTAGGATCGGTATAGCTAATACATGGGGGGTAAGTAAGGTTTCTTACCATATAGTCGCAGTTACTGCAAATCCCCCCCCCCCCTTTCAGGTCTTCCAAGCGTATTACGAGGAAAATACACTGCGTCACACTTCTCCTTCAAATATGTAAGGTGCTAGGTCGGATTAACGCGACCTCGTGACTGATTTATCGTGCAAATTTCACTCTAGAGCATGGATCGGTTCTGCGCAGGTATATTTATCTCTAGGTCCAGTAAACTTGTGTAACTCACGTATCTTTCTAGTACGCGCTCATTTACTTTCCAGCACTTGCTACGGGACGAATGTTTGACCTAGGATACTTCAAAATACCATGCCTTGCCGCTAGTTGTGTTATCATTGCATCCGCCTTCCTAACTGCAGAATGCACTCAATTTTGGCAGTTCTTTCTTGTGCAAGGTCTCAGTTTGGGAGTCTGCTGCGGTGTCATAGTTGGTCCGACACTGGTTGTCATCTCGCATTGGTTTGATGGGAAACGTGGCCTTGCTATGTCGTTCGCTGCTATTGGGGCTTCGACCGGCAGTACCGTGTTTCCTGCAGCAGCACAGAAATTGATTCCATTAATCGGGTCCGGTCGGCCGATCATTGATAATTCATGCTCGCTCATACAATTTCAGATTTAAATGGACAATGCGTGTGTTTGGATTCATTCTGCTTGCTACACTGGGGACAGCCAATATAGTATGTTGTCAGCACTGTAGATGCCCCTCTCTCTGAAGCATATTCTCCAAGTTACTGAAACGGCGTCTTCCACCCGTCAATGTTCGTGGAGGACTCTTTAATCTTAAAGCATTCTGCAACACAGCATATGCCATTTATTGCATTGCAGGAATACTGGCATTTTTAGGACTTTACACAGGTATTATCGTGGTGGTTACCACTGGCTTCCTGATATTCTGAATCGATTCACCAGAGCTAACATATATCTCTGTGAGCGCCGTGGAAATTGGCGTCTCCAGAGACCGTATATTCTATATAGTCGCGATCGCCAATGGAGCATCTACATTTGGACGTCTGTCATCTGGATTAATGGCGGATAGAATTGGTAAGTCTCGATGTTTGTGGGCTATGGTAACACCAGTTAATCCTTGACAGGTGCACTCAATACCATGACAGCTTTCACTGCGATGGCAGGAATTATGACATTCGCCTGGCCATTTGCTACAAATGAATCCCAGCTCATTGCAATAACGACTATTTACGGGTACGCGTGGCCTTTATTCGTTACTAGCTGCCAACTCACTCAATCCAGATTCTCCTCGGGAGGATTCGTAGCTCTCTTCGCTGTAGCTGTCGTAGCAATGGGGGATATGGAAGACGCAGGGCGCCGAGTGGGAATGTTCATGTCCCTCTCTGCCTTTGGAGCCATTGCAGGTCCTCCGATATCAGGCGCCATCAGTACCGCATCAGGAAGGTTCGTTGACGCGGGTTTCTATGCAGGCACGTTTATAAATTAGGCGGTCTGTGAGTGAACGCTGATCCTGTCCAGGTGGCATCATTATGCTTGCTGTTGGATTGCTACTTCTGGCGCGATACCTCCATCTTGGACTCCTATGGGGCAAGTGTTGAATTATCCATTCGGTGAAACAAATCAAGGCCTCTGTTCTAGAACGACACTTCCACCAGTGCAGCAAGAGATCTCCAAGGTGATTTATGCAGCGCTGTGTCTCGCACTTGGAGGAATAGAATCTGTTTTATATTAGAAAGCTGAGAGTAGCGCTCTCTAGTTTATCCTTCATATAACTGGTATCTGGCAGCATTACTTGTAAATAACTTCGTGACTAGCAAGCTACTGTATACTTAGCACCTTGCAGCCCACAACACTGTGCTCCGAGACGGAATATGCGAGCAAGAGATGAGATGCGTTATATCATGGAAGATTCAATAACTATAGCTTCCTATATAGGATACCATAAGGACCGGTATAGATGAACTTGAATATTTGGATTGGGAGATCGTCAACCTCGGAGGTCCTCGGATCCATCTGCACATTATCATAATAAGGTCCATTCGTGTCAAGATCTAATGTACTCCAAGACGCATCGCTGTAGTTGACATCTGGCAATTCAAATCGTAAGGAATCAGAGTCATTGAAGACACTATACTAGATTTCGTAACTATCGCGGGAAGTTCAAATTCTATGACAACTCAACGACGGGTCAGTTACTGTGCCACACTGCAGTGACTGGTCTTTTTACCTTTGGTCATCATTCTCTCCCTTCTGGTGGAAACCCGCCGGCCTATCCTTCACGCCTATTGGCAATAGCTGATGACGAGTTCTCCATAGAAGTTGATGCTTTTGATGGTTGTTTCATTCGCTAAAACAATTATGAGTAAGGGTAACACGAAGTCTTTGAAGCTGTTGTTACGCCCTGGTACAACTCAAAGCCACTGTCTTGTTAATTGCAGTTAGCATTACACATGAAACATAAAGTGCTGGAGACTCCAGGCGACAAATAGCACCCGCGATGAGCGAGGGGTGCTAGTGTAGGCTCATTGCCCACGAAAGTGGAGAGCTCACAACCAAGTTTTCAATATTAGCAAACCGCAAATACACCTATACATCTATCCCAGTCTCTCAGCCAGAATGAATGCAATGAGAAGGTACAACGACACCTCTGCTTATGTTGGAAAAGAACCGAGAGTAAACAAGGTCTGCTTCTGCTTCCCCTTCCCCTTCTTCCCCTTTCCACTAGCAGTCTCTTCAATAACACTCTGTTCTTCCGGTATCGGAGTACTGCCACCACTTGCAGTGCCGCCGCTTTTCCAAGCAGCAGTAGTCGGAACAGGTCTCACCAAGGATGTTTCGCAGAGACTGATTCCCGCTGACCAGCGGTTTCATACGAGAGTTACCAGACGAAGGCAGCACTGGGAAAGCAGCGGTGTGAGCGGCGGCGGCGGCGGACCTTTCTTCGCAGCAGCGCGTTGCTGGACTACGGGGGTCGGTATCGATGTCGGTGCTCGGGAACCTGTGCTAGAAGATCCAGACCCAGAAGCCCACGGGGTGTTCCGCTGTTGTTGGCGGAACGCAGGCTGAGAAGGACCTGCAAGAACCGGGAAACTAACTGGCGGTCGTGGTGTCGGAGTAGGAACGGAGCCAACGCGGGATGAAGAAGATCCAGCCGCCTGTGCAACGCGATCCCACACCTGTCTCGAAGATTGCGACGAAGACCGCGTAGCAGTAGCATGCTTCACGTTCAAGACACGACCGGATGCGATACCGGCGTAGCCCGACCCCACTTCCTGAGGTACAAGATCGGGAAACTGCTGACGTTGCTGCGATCTGTCAGATCTACCGCAACACAAAAATAGGGATTCGCAAAATACCTCAATTTTGAATCCGTTCCAAGAGGAGAGCAGGTTGGACTTCTTCTCTTCTTCGTCAAATAAGTCGACGATAGCATTGACAATACCCGCAGTATCATCTAAATTTCTGTCAAGAACATTCCATATCGTCGAGATGAGATCACGAGCGGTGGATTCGTTGAGTCGGAATCCTCGGACAGCAGCTTTAGTAGCGAGCACTGCAGTAATGGGGTTTGGTGCAACAGATTGTAACCGTGAAATGAACGCCGCATGACGCCTATAACGGAGTGAGAGAAAATCAGAGTTCCGAACAATATTCTTACTGAGCAACAAGGTCTACAGTCCTCCCCGTCTGGCTGTGGGGATGGCGACTGTCCGTGGGCTAGGTCCAGACGACTGCGGTGTTTGTGCCCCATTAGGCGCAGGAGAACTACTAGTCAGATGGCCACCAAATGCTTCCCTGCGCCTTGCCACTGCCCTAGGCTGCGCAGCAGGCGGCGGCTCATGTTCTCGATCTCGATCTCGGTCCCGTCTCCCCCTACGCCCACCACCAGCGTCCCCAAACTCGAATTCCGCCTCAACCCGCTGAGTATTCTTCTTATCCCTTGAGGTCATTTCTGTTCCATGTACTTCAACTTGATGCGCCTTGAGATCGATGGCAGATCCAAACACCACGAATTTTTGAGCTTGACAGGCGGGTTTTGAACACGCAAAATGCCCTTGATTAAAATGTTGTTCCTGACGAGGGAATCACTACAAGCGCCAATGTCAATACAGTCAAAAAGATCGTACGAGGGCCTCATAGTTTTGGAAGCTAGACAAAACAAACAACGGTGCATCAGCATAATTTGTCACCGAACGAATGTCATGAAAAGACCAACTATTGATCTCGTATTTCATTACGTTTGCAAATGAAGCACTCCTCGTGTCGTTCGCGCATATGAACATACAGCTCATCATCACTGAAAAAACATTCCTTGCAGAACCCGCATAATGGATGTACGCCGCCTTCAATCGGCTCTTTCGTCACTTGTTTATGAGACCGATGCAACATAGATGGCAAGTGCAAAGGTAGGACATTGGGGAGGTACAAAGCGTGCTCGTGACTGAAAACCTTCTTGGATCGAATACACAGGTCGCTTTCAAGGACATGAGAGGTCCGCGCTCAGTCCGTGAGCTTAAATATCTGATGCACGCACCACATCACCTTCCCGTGCGTACCCCGGACATGCAATTTAAGGTCACTCCATCCAGTCCCGGTATAATCGCACTGCGAATCAGGACAATTAAAGCGCAGAAGAATAAGCGTCTCTTCCATCATGTCGGTGGACTCGAAGTATATTAATAACTTAGAGTCTTTATGCGGGATCATGTCGGGGGTGTAGGAAGAAAAGAGCGCATCGGGGGAAGTCGTGAATATCACAGTTGTTTGAGGTTCCTAGTAAATGCCCCGACGTCAAAATTCGTAGATGGGACTAAGAAAAGCAAAAGGCAGACGCGCCTTGCAAAATGTGCAATCCAGCTTCTTATAAAGCGCTCTCAAGCGTAGAGCACAGACATGACACGTCCGGTGGTTGCACGCTGATACTGAGTAGTATTTGACGGGCTCTGCGCAGATCCAGCATACCACTGCGTCGTCTGTGGCTTCTGGGGCAGGCGCGACTTCGTTCTGGTTCGGCTGAGCAAAAACAGGGTCGGCTGGTGCAGCTGCACTTGAATTCTTGCGGCCTCGGGATTTACCACTGCCTCCGCGATGACCGCCTTGGCCTCTGTGTCCGCCTCGTTTGCCGCGCTTGGCTGATGGAGAAGTCTGAATCTGGGTCTGAGGCTGGGTAGCAGTTGCTGCAGACATGATTGTATTGTATGAAAAGGATTGGAGAAGGGTGCGAGGAGTGCACTGAGCAACTCCACGAAACGTTTTATCTACACGTGATCAAGTCATGTCCATCAATGACGGTCCCGACGTTGTAAGCGCTCGCAATCGGTGCACGTAATCAATGATCTATACAAAAGTAGGAGGTATGCAAAATGGTCCCAACCTAGGCAATTTATGTATCATACAGAGCAATAAACCAACCAAGCATAACATCAAATTGCGCGCATGGCAAGTGTCAAAACCTATCACTCGACATCACTTTCATCACGGTCGCGGCGGGTCTCACCAGCGAGCGGGGTCGTAACAAACCGACTCCTACCTCCCCCACTCTTCACAGGCGACATCCCAGGTATCCCCAATGACGACACCGACCCCAACGCCGAAGTCGAAACCGAAGACCCAATCCCCAACGAATACATCATTGACATTGTCCGTTGACGTCCCAACCCTGGTGAAAATTCTGCAGATCCCACTCCAAGACCAAGGCCCCCATACCCAGGTTGAGGTGTCGACGCAGGTAACGGCATAGGAATCCTCAACTCCAGCTCTGCAAGCGAAAAAAGCTGCTTCATTGAGGGAGAACGCCTCAATTGCGGTGAAGTCATCACAGAACCGAACGTAGGCGTTTGGGTTGGTGTGGGCGTGGATGAACGAGGGAGGAGGCTTGATGTCCATGCGGACCAGCTCTTGTCTTCCTCTGGCTCCCTCTCCTCATCAAGCTGAACCTGAAAGTCATGCACAGCTCGCTTAACAACCGCCACATCATGTTGCACATCCCCCAATTTCTCCTCAAGCCTTTCCCTAGCCTTCCTCACACCCGCATTACGCCCATCAATAAATGCACGCATTTCTTCAAGGTCCAAGTTCGAATCCGATGAAAGGGACAGCGCCCCTGGAACAGTGAGGAGGGTCTCGAAGCCGCGAATGGTGAGCGCTTCATCTGTGATACGGATTTCGAGCTCGACACGGGCATCTTCGGTATAGTCGGATATGCGGTCTAGGGCAGGTGCGGAGGAGGGATCGGGGAGAGTGAGAAGGTATTGGTGTCAGTGTCGGCGGAGAGGTGATAGCGATGGGAGGGAGCAAGCGTTTGAGGTCTTTGAGTGCGAGAGAGCAATCACGGAATGCGTGTTGGAGGGCATCATAGCGGTGGTTGACTTTGCTGAGGGAGGATAGTAAGAATAAGATTTCATCTGGGATGGAGGGGGATTGTAGATGAGGGAATGATGGTGACGGTTAAGTTGTTGGGTTCATTAGCTGGAGCGACTGCTTGAACTTCTGGAATTGGAGCAGCTGGGGTGAAGAAGACACCAGAATCTTTGTTTCTTTCCAGAAATTGGTTAGTGGGACTTTCTTCCTGTTTTGCAAGATTCGTTAGGGGAAGGAGTAGTGGGGTATCCTTAGTATCCGAAATTCCATTGGTGACATGCTCTGTAGTCGACTCATTCACAGAAGCCAAAGGGTTGCGTTCTCCAGCGGGGGTCCTGCATCAGATCGAGGATTGAGACTGCGGGCGACCGACTTGGTTCAACGGGTGAATCGAGAAGCAGCTGCGAAGTGCCAGGCGTGGTGTTGCCTATGACGGGTAAAGTTGTACCTTCAGTGTCAGGTGTTTGGGCGTCCAATTTAACTTTTTGAGTATGCGAAATTCCATCCATGTCAACAGGCTCCATAGTCAGCTCATTCGCGGAAGCCAAAGGCGTACGTAGTTCGGCAGACTGCGGTAAAATACACGCCTCTTGCCCAGTGGGGGTCTGTGTCAGATCGAGGATCGGGACGGCAGGCGACTGACTTGATTGAGTGGGCAGACCAAGAAGCAGCTGCGAAGTACCAGGCGTGATGTCGCCTATGACAGGTGAGGAAGTACTCCTGCTGTCTTCTGCTAGGAGACTTGGAAGAGGAGGACGTAGGTATTTGTGGAGAAGCGGGTATTAGATCCTGGGTATGTGAGATATCAGTGTTCGTGTCCTGTGTATGAGCCAGCTGTTCTGCAACATCAATGGGTGTTCTTTCGACTGCTGCAATGGTCTGCTCGTGGACAACCTCCGAGTCGTCGGGGGACCCCATGCCCAAAGAAAGCCTCCGCTCAGCAGCGACCCTTCTCCCAACCTCCACCCCAACCTCTTCACTCATCCTCATCACAGCATCCTTAGCAAGAACCAACCTCCCCAATACGCCAGTAACCAAACTCCCATCCCCCAAAGCCACTTCCGCATCCAGTGCCATCAAAAGACCCCCCGCATCTTTCACAGCCCGCTCAAAAGTTGCATACGTCTGACCATCTGCGTCTGTGCAGCGGTGTATACCTTCTTGGGCTCTTCGAACCCATCTGCGTAGGGCTTCGCCGAGCGCTTCTTCCCGTGCGAGAAGGGCAAGACGCAGTGCGACCTCCCTCCTCCGTCCATATGCTTCCCTGGTGACTTCTTCACCGAGTTCTTCTAAGGCGTCGCGAAGACGTGCGTTCTCGGTCATGTGAGCATGCATTCGTGCTTCGGTATCGTTGATTGTGGATTGGAGAGTATGTTGGGTGGATGCGTGTCGTGTTTGGAAAGTCGTGAGTGTGGATTGAAGGGCGTTAGTCTGGGATTGCGAGAATTTCCTGTGCGGTGCTCGAGTTTGTAGAAGCAATACATGTATGGGGCACGTACATGTATCGGGAGACCATCTTGGCTGCTGTGGTATCGTCTAGCTTGAGTGTCTCTAGTTCTAACTGCGCTTTTGCGAGGTGAGCACGGTCTTGAGCGGCTGTTTTACGCTCTGCATCGAGGATGCTCTCCAAATTCGCGATCTCATTTCGTAGCTGGGTAATACTCGTTTCTCGTTTCTCGTTCTCGGAAGCAAATTCAGTCATGAGGCGATGCAAGCTTGATTTACCCTCGTGGAGCCCTTCGACGAGAGTGAGAGAAGACGCAGACGCAGACGCGTTTTGCTGTACTGCACTCCCATTACCAAGTGAGCTCTTCCTTCCATCTAAACTGCGCACGAGATCAGCATACTCATGCACCACGAGCTCTATGAGCCTTCGTTCCTCCTCTGCAGCTTGGAGACGCGTTTCCAAGCCACGTTCGCGGACTTTACCTTCCTCTTCGCGGGCACGAGCACTTGCAGCGAGTTTAAACGCGCCTTCTGCATCGTGACGTGCTTTTTGGGCATCCATACGAGTGTTTACGAGTTCGGCTGTCCTTTCTGCTAATGCATGTTCTGTGAGGTCAAGTTTCTCGGAAGAGCGTCTTAGGGCGAGAGTGAGCTCTTGGACGACGTGGGTGTCTGATTGAGAGTTGGGTAATGGGTGAGCGCGGAGGATAGCTAGCTCAGATGCAAGTAAGGAATGTTGTGATTCGAGGAAATGTAAGCGGACGTTTGTTTGGGCTGCTGCTAGAGTGTGACGTTGAAGTTTGAGAGCAGCTTGGTGTGCTTCATGCTAATAAATATAAATAATTAATGCAGAGGTACATGAAATAAAAATTACCTGAAAGCGAGCTGCTATTTGCCTGAGACTGAAGAGTTCGAGGACGAGTGGGTGCTCGTCGTTGAGCTCGTTCTGCTCGACGCTCATCGTCAGTGACAGCGACAGTCTACTCGATTACAGTCTATTTCGGGATGTATACAAACAAAGTACAACACGAATGAGAATTTGAAGAGGCCCTTGACCTAGCCCAACCTAGACCTAGTCATCTCTGCTCGCTGCCAGGTGCGTTGAGCTCGTTATATTTTAGTGTTTGCTCAACGGCAATTTAGTTATGAGCGATCGTATGGCAGCTCATGCTGGCCCTCCTGGTCCTTCGAATTATTATCATTACCCTTACGGTGCTGCTGGGCCATTTCCTGGTCAATATCAGCGATATCCTGTCAATGTCAATGTACCAATGAATGGACACATTCACCGACCAATATTTCATCCTCATTACAATTATCATCATCCTCATCCTCAGCCTGCTCCTTATGTTCCAAGGTCTAGTTACTGGCAACAGCACAGCCAGCAGCCACTTTCTCCCTTACCAAAACAATTGTCAACTCTTCCTTCTCTTCAATCTAGCGGCGACCAGATCGGAAATAAAAATATAGAACCCGAGGAGGCGCCCAATCCACCACCAACTTCACCTCCTTCATCACCTATGCCTAGCACAGATCCAAAACTAGGTGGTTGGGTCATTTGGTCAAAACGTCCCACGGACCCATCAACAGCTCCTGGTATCATCATCTCTCCTCTAGCTCATCCTCCTCGCGATGTCATTCAATATGCACTCGATATTCCAACTCCTCCTCCATCTCCCACACCCGTCGTTATAGATCTATTAGCGCCAACCCCGCCCTCTGATATCCCAGACGGCACAGAATCAAATACGACTCCTGCGCTTTCCACAGCATTTGATACACCTGTGCCCGGCTCGCCGGACTCTTCTAACACTTCATTTTCTCTTGCAAAGGCTCCCGAACAACAACCGTTGGTAGAGGCCACGTCAGCCCTCATCGAACCAGAGCTTGAAGTATCATCCCCTGATCGCGTAGAGGCGCCTAAGCTACCTGAACCTGATTCAGAATCTTCTACGTCCGTCGCTGCGCCCTCCTTATCTGATGCAGAACCTTCTGCAATATCTGATGTAGATCCTTCTACCTCCACTGTTGCTCCTATTCCATCTGACGCAGAACCTGCTACTGCCCTCAAGCCATTCAACGCGGAAGCCTCCACATCAGCCCCCACACCCGCACTTGCACCCGCCCCAAAGCCCGCCGTATCATGGGCCTCTCTCCTCCGCAAACCCGGCCCCTCCAACCTCCCCGCATCCTCCGTCGTAGGCTTCTCCATCCCTGCCTCCCCTCCCCCAAACCCCACCTCTACAAAATCCCCATCGCACCCTAAAAAATCCGAGCTTCTGAATCTGCTCAACTCCGGTGGATCATCTGCAGCTCCCATGCGCATCAGGCCACGCGGCCTCGTCAACTCTGGCAACTTATGCTTCGCTAACGCGGTTCTTCAGGTCCTCGTGTACTGTCCTCCATTCTGGCGCTTCTTTACAGATCTCGGGCGGTTGCTTGAGCCTACAGAGGAGTCCAAGACCCCGCTGGTCGATGCCACTATTCGGTTTGTGAGGGAATTTTCGCCAAAAGAGAGGGTGCCTATTGAGGGCAAGGGCAAGGGTGTAGAGCGCTATGGATCGAATGGTCTTGTGCATGAGGAAGTGGATGAAGATATTATGGATTCGTTTATGCCGACTTATGTACATGATGCTTTGAAAGAGAAGAAGAGGTTTGATCATATGCGCGTGGGTGCTCTTTCCTGATTCTTTTGGCGATTTTGGTACTGAGTTGAATTGATAGGGCGGACATCAAGAAGATGCAGAAGAGTTCCTTGGATTTTATCTCGACACGCTCGAAGAAGAGCTCTTGACGCTTTCCTCGTCACTCACTAACCCCAACCCAGCTCCAGCTCAGCAGAACGACAACGCTGCGACAAACAACACACAAGAAGACGGCTGGCTCGAGGTGGGCAAGCGTAACCGCACCGTCATCACACGCTCCGTAAGGTCTCCCCTTCCTCCTTTGTATCCATACTCACCTTTCCTAGACGAAGACAGCCGACTCTCCCATGACCCGTATATTCGGTGGCAAATTCCGCTCCATCCTTCGCGTACCACACCAAAAGGACTCTGCGGTTGTCGAAGACTGGCGTAGTCTGCGGTTAGATATCCAAGTTTGTCGTTTTGCCATCCCTTCTAAGCTCACTGCTGACTAAGTTGACATTGATGCAGCGCGACACGATCCACACAATCAAAGACGCCCTAACGCACATCTCCACTCCCCAATCCGTCCAAGTCACTTCGGTAACGCGCCCCGGCGCCACCCTTGACGCGACTCAACAAGTACACATCGAGTCCCTCCCTCCGATCCTCATCCTCCATCTCAAGCGGTTTTTGTACGACGCTAATAAAGGGGGCGTTGCAAAGGTTGGGAAACAGGTTGCGTTTACGCCTGAGTTGGAGGTTGGGAGTGAGGTGATGGTACAGGGGAAGAAGGTGAATGGGACGAGGTATCGGTTGTTTGGAGGTGCGTTTCCGTCTCTTTCTATCAGCATTTGCCACAAATAACCTGACCAACTTACGCAGCGCTGTACCACCACGGCCTCTCGGCCTCAGGCGGACACTACACCCTCGACGTCCTTCATCCCAACATTGACATGTCAACTCCACCTACAAAGGCGCGCGAGGGGTGGATTCGCATTGACGATGAGTTGGTTTCGGATTTGAGAGCTGAGGATGTGTTTGGGAGTGGGGGCGTAGAGAAGGATGAGACGATGAGGTGTGCGTATTTGTTGTTTTACAGGAGGGTTGGGGCGGGGCGGGGTTAGGTTTACTAGTAGTAGGTGTAGGCAGCGACAGTGCTAGATTTTGTCGCTTTGAATGTGATGGTTTTTTTGTTTGGATCAAAATACATTATGTAATGTCACAGACAGGAGTATAACTAGCTTCACCTGAGTTCAACACGACCTTGGACCACATACTATGAAGTCTAGTTCATCTAATCTCTCGCTGATACCCATGACCACTCAGTCAAACGAATCGCCTGCTAGCATGACTGTTTCCCCGGCGTCGCCAAATGTTGAACCCCGGGCCCCTGGGTTCTTGGCCACGCTATTACTCATACTATTATTCATGATTCCACTCATCATTGCCGCCCTATCCCAACTTTCTCGGACCCTCAAAACACCGCTAATCCTTCCCATTTCAATGTCAACATCCCTCCTATTGACGATCACATTCGCGCACTTGTTCACAAAAGTCACAAGGTTCAGGCACCCTGGCGGGGTGCTTCTTCTATGTATTGACTGGCACGCTATAATTACATACTTCTTCATTGATATGTACACTGGTGAGTACACTAACTCCCGCGCTCACTTAAACTACTGACGCTATTGCTGACTCAGCGTTGCCCTGGAGTGGACTAGGAGCTACGTCTATTATCGTCATCGGCTGTGTCCTCTACATCTCGGTGATAGTTGTAGCGGATACAATCTTCTGGGTTGTTGTGGCTTACGGATGCAGCGAGGAGCAACTTGGATTGTACGCACATGTGCAAGGCGGGGTCTGGGCTGGGTTGGGTTGGATCTGGAACAGAGTTTCCCTTTTAGGGTTGGATTTATTTGCAGGTATGTATCTAAATATAACTTGGAGTTCCTGCTGACATCGTCTTCAGCGCTTTCTCGGCTGTTCATGTGTCATGTCGAGAACAGCCTAATATGACCCCTCCGCCTTACTCTGTAAGCGTTATCTTAATATTTCTGGCTATATGTTCACATTGTAATATTGTTTCAGCTCTATGATAATGTTAACACTGAATCCCCACTATACAGACTAGATAATGTTTGAATTGTACACCTGCAATTTCCCCAAAATCTTCCGTCTGAGTCCCACCCTGCTTTTGGCAAATGCTTAAGTAAGCTTGTGTGTCACCATCAATAGTTTGACCTTTGTGACGCCGAAAACTACATTAATGTTGTCGCATCATCATCTCTCCACTCAACTCCTGCCTTCTCATTCTCCACACACCGACTCATTGATGCATCTGATGTATCAATGCTCCTGTCGCCAGCATCATTTTTGGAGACTTGTTCGGTCATTTGGCCTCTTCGGTGCAGCATAGCAGTGGGGTTCTTCCTTCTGCACCACTCACGACATTTGCTATGGATGATTATACCATCGTTGCGCCTGGTTGTGGATTCATCGAGTATGATTTGTCTTTTTTCGTTGTTTCCCGGCTATGCTTATGCGTCAAACGACTCTCTCCACTCCACCCAAGCCTTGACTCTCGCCCCGTACGACCACTATCTCCTGCGTGACTTCCCACACACACGGGCATCTAGTTCATTCTTTGCCGCCATACAATTATATGCCCAGTCATCGCAACTGGACACCACGCAGGTGCAGCATCGTCGTTTTCGTGGTACATTGCCTCGGTGTCATTTTGGTTGTGATGCGTTTGAGAGCACACACCACATCTTTGCTCTCTGCTTGGCCTCCTCAGATATCCATCATGCGCAGTGTGCAACGCTTCTTGAGGCCAAAACTACAGATCGTGCCAGAGAGGTTTTCGGATAGGGCCGCAAGGCATTTGTTTTCTGACGACACAGGGCTGTGGCTACAATACCGAACGCGTTGTCATGCGGGTATACCACCCCCACTCGTGGATATTCTAGTTGACGTTGAGCCACAAGTGTGTGTTTTACCCCCACCGTCTATCTTCTCAGGTGATACTGCATCATTAGGCAATGTGGGTGCCTCATCCCCACAGCCTGCTAGTACGATGATGGAACCCGGATTGTTGTCACCATTAGCACAGGCGTGACATGTGCGTGGTATTCGGCTCGTGGGTCATATTTGGGGAGAATAAAGACATCCGTGCACCTCGAACCTGTCAACTTCCTGATGTCCTAGAAGTCAAGAGGCGAAACAGGCTCCAACTGTCAATTTGTATAAGCAGGACGTCGGAACCTCTGAAAGATTCCACTCAGCAAACTACATTCATTCGAGCAGTCTGACGAGGGTGTTACAGCTGTTCTCGTGAAGAACGACATATCAAAGACTTTCGACACTAAGTGGATGATCTACGCCACCTGGCTTCTTCGTTTACGGGATAGCTTTGTTTTGCACTCCCAGAGGTCATGAACTTCACTGCTTCCTTGCTCACTAACGTCGCAAGGATCCTCCCTTCGTACTATTTTAGCACCGGCGGTGGTGAACTTAATACGAACTGTCTCGCCGATGACTCATACTGCCTCACGCAGCAGCAGCTCAACAGGACCGGTATGACACTGAGCGGTGTTCTTGGGACGTTCACACAGACCACTCACGGTGCACTGACTGCCCAGGGAAAGATGTCTGTCGTATAGGAAGGTATGCGCCGTGTTTCTTCCTTTGAATGACGGCTGAAGCTCTCCATTATCTTCAATACAAGTCCGTGTTCTAAGTGCTACAGACGAAACATCTTCTCGTACGAGGCCGTCACCACACGGGGAAGACTGCGACTGCCCCGACACTATCTTTATGACCTTCAAATGTTCGAGTAGCCGTGGTGATCGGAATAGTGGGCTGCTCGCTTCTGTTATTCTGCTCGAGGTGGATGATGTTAAGCACAACTTGATGGAGAGTTTATGGATGTGTTTCACAAGTGCGTGTACTGAGCCTTTTTGTGTACAACCATGCAACTATAACCAGCCTCGCTCTCTTCATATAACTAGTCCACCATGTCCATTCCTCTATTCAATGTCACCCATCGCATTCGTGTCCACGATCAATGAGGAGGGCATAGAGAACCTGGCGCCGTTCCGGTAAGACGCACCTCCGTTAGGGAAACGCACGGATATGGGTAACACCGCGGCTCTAAGCTGACGCGTTTGGAGGGTACGGGTACGGTGTAGGACAATCGTACCCTTGAGCATGCCATGACCCTTCACCGTAGGTTGGTGGTGTTTGGGCGGATATGACTTATCGAATCGAGAACCTTGACAGCACTAAACACCGTGTATGATTCTCCGTTACCTTTCGTGAGAGCTTGAGAATCACAACTGGATGCTATACTGATTTCTGTCATGTCTTTCGCGCCCCTTTGAATCATTCTAGTAATTCATCGAGCTCACACTTCACCACAGAGAAACTCGAGTCACTACCACAAAGCCAAGGCAAAAGCTCGACTCACTGGTAAGTCCAGCAAGTCGTCCGCTCACAAAGAAAGCATCTGATGCCTCATCTACGCAGTCACACCCGTGTTGTGCACAGAAGTGTAAGACAGCTTTAGGTGAAACGAGTCAAAAACGGAGGCGAAATGAAGCCATTCTCGATCTCCAGGGAAGCATGTCAATGTGCACGGGGTACTGGACGAAGGGCATCTAAAACCTGGGGACTGGGCGCCTGATACGCCTAATATGCTCCAGGTGGGATGTGGAGAGTCTGACGTGAAGACGTGTTTTGGTTTGTGCAAACCGCGGCATCACACAATGCTTGTATTCCCACCGAGTCCCGATCTTGGGTGCACTTGGGGCATGTAACAAAAGTGTCGTGCGATCAGCAGTCGTTCGATCATCGACACTAGTGACGGCTGTGCTTATTGATCAGGTGAGCTATGCTTATTCGGCTTACCTCATGGAAGCTAGCCTGTTTCTGATACGGCCGGACGGGGTGATCGAGGCAATCGTTCATGGTGCAGAAGGCGTGAAGAATTCTCAAAAATATCTTTGGGTGCGTAGTGGCCCGAATATTCATTCTTTACTTACGACTTTTACAGATACGATTGCATGTATACCTCATTCAAAATAAGTAGTTTGCAATTGAACATGAGAGTAATACGACATAGGACTGCGTACCAACAATAACATGTACATACAATGACGTAGAATTTCACCCTTTATTTCGTCCTCGTTAGTATGGATCAACTGTCATTCTGCCATGAACGTAATACAACATGTCGAAAACCAATAACTCGCCGCAAATGAATTCGCGAGATATATCACGCGCACCAGGTAATTTTAATTGGGGTTGGTGCATTAGGTAGAGAAAGTTGTTGTATCGTGAAAGTGTTTGAAAGTTGCGATATTCATTTGATGTCTACCATGATGTGGGTTCATTTACCAGGTGATTCATAGGATTCTTGAGCCTCATCTGAGGTGACAGGTCAATAATTGTATGTGGCAGGGGCTCACACAGTCACTGTGGTGGTTGTGAAAGCGAGGCAAACGAGGTCGCTGCAGACTAACCCCCGGATGGACGGACCGCCGGACAATTCCGGAATTTGAATAACGTGGAGATAGGTTGGCGTCTTGACTGAAAGTTTCTTTCCAGCTAGCTGTCGCTATCTTTGCATCCCAGGTTTCCAACGAGGACTTCTCGTATCCGCCCGTTGCAATTTTTGTCCATTGCGTCGAGCGTAGCACGAGGATAGTCTCGTCGTCCTCTACATCGCATACTTTTACCATTCCGTCCTCGGCATCCGCTCATCACCGTGACAGCCCGTCTGTTCCACTTTCTTTGTCCTGCCCGCTCCAATTTGCGTGCCGCTCTCCAAGCTCAGACTCGAAGCGGGCCATTATAAGGCAATCCACCGACGGGCAGCAGTAAGATGCCTTTGAGAACACTGCAGCGTCCTAGTTCAATCTTTTGATAAGGCGTTTTCGCTGACCTATCTTACTTCGCAAGAGCAGGGGACGAGGATTTTTGCTCAGGGACTCACCTAATCGCTAGGAGTGTGCTAGATGTTATTAGCTCTTAGCCATCAAATCAGTTCGTCTCTCTTTCACCTGGAGGAACACGACCGTACGTACAAATAAAAGAAATTCGCAGGATGAAAAGCTGCGATGGAGTCATCTACAGTGGGTTTCGATGTGGGACGTTTAACTCGACACATCGTCGTGGCCCCTTCTATGTAGACTGTTTTCTTCCAATTGTTATGCATTGTCACTGTATGTCCCGCCTATCTGTTCAGAAACTTTGATGTCTTAGACCTTCGTGACAGTACTGCAAGGCTACTGTGAGCAGGTGAATGAAACCCATAAACTACTGTAACTAAAATATACACCGAGTATACAACATGCTTATACATACAGATATTGGTTCGAATCGTGATTTGTACGAGGTTGTTCTGCAAAGGTTATACACGTGTAGCGTATAATGCGTACAAAGAAGGGTATGTTCATAATGAGACATCTAGCTAGGAAATTTAAAATTTGGACGTTTCTTTGATGCTGCATGCATATACTAAGTACTTACTATCATTGGCACTAAATTGACCAACAACATCGAAATCAGTGAACAACCTCAAAGTACATCTGGTATTTTGCCTCACCGTGGTGTAATAACTTCCTGCTATGATAAGGGACTTAGTGATCCTCTCTGTGGCAAAAGCATTTTCGCCAGCGGGCTCCGCATCGATAACAGAAGTGGGTGGAGCAGCGACACGTGATGTGGCTACACCCATCTGTACGTTCGACGATCGCCCGGCAGCCAGGACACGACTGCCAATTTTTATCATCTGCGAGTCTCTTCAAGTCTCTTTGCAGTCCTGCTTCCACGCATTCTTCTCCTAAATGTCTCCTATTCTTGCATGCGAGGCACATCGCGGTGCCACACACACGGCAAGTCATGTTCGCCTTGCGAGTGTCTGAGGAGCACAAGAACGCAGAGCATTTCTGATTCGCGCAGTACACTCGTGTAGTCGGCGGGACAGAATATTCCACAGTCTTGGCACGAAATCCTGTCTGCAGTGGTTTAGGTAATTGTCGATCGACTTTCTTTGCCGGTATTCGAATCTGGCAACACTGCAAGGGATACAGAGATTCGTCTTTCATGGATGCCTTCGCGAAATTCGCTATGCATTCCCGGCAATAGTGATGAGCACATGGTGCACGGAAACTTTGCTTTGGTGGGACCTTATCCCCGCAGGCAATACATTCTACTCTATTGCAGCGGTAAGGCTAGTAATGGTCCAAGGTTGGAAGGCTCACGGTGTTTGATCTCGTTTCAGAAACTTGATAAATATTTGTGACAAAAAAAAAGTCGCTTTGCTATTTTGTGGAGTTTTGTTCCATTCATCATTCCTGCAATCTTGTGTACCACTATGAATGCAATGTAATAGGTCGCCAGATTGCTCAGTGGTCTTCTCAAGAGATAATCGCTCACGTTACACACCATTTCAACTCTGGAGAACAAGGAGGTGGAATACAGCATGCTTGGGCGCTGGGCGAGACGTCCGATAGGGGTGTTCCGCTTCTCGTTTTGGATTCGTCAAAATGGTTGTTGCTTGTCATGGATTGAGCGAACCGTGCTGTAGCGTGCGAGGCAGCCTCCAGGTCGCTGCTGGTTATGGCAGCCATTGGTGTTGCGTCAAGAAGGACCAAAGGAGCCTTTATTGGAGCGGTGCATCATTTCGCTTCAGCATACAAGGCAAGAGCCTTGCGCCCACGGCGAGTGCTAACTATAGATCCAGGGCCAGACTGAGATAACACATACTTCATGATTGTCCCAGGCGATAATACTCCAGCGTCTTTCTGACAATGGTCACCCATCGCAAATGGTCTGTTTTACCCGTGATATGTAAATCTTCAGTTCTCCTGCTTGAAACTCCAGCAGTACTCATGCAAAATGTCTCGACTTTTGTATCTTACTACCTGATCCTCATACTAATGAGGCCATTCTCAAAGACGATTTACTGAACACCGCCTACATACCAAGGCTTGGCAATGTCTGCAACGCTTGAGTTAGCGAGAATTATCAGCACACAGCCCATGCACTCCAAAAATGATGACCCTACCATCAGATAACCCCATAAATCATCATGACATTCTTCACAACGTCCGCCGCCACTCCTGTACACCCATTGGTGCACAGGGCACTCATGATTTTCCTCCAACGCTGCCATCCTCTGGTACACACGGTCCACAAAATTTGCAGGGCGCGTAACTGCCTCCCTCGCCCCAAATTCATTGTACACACGTCTTTCGGCGTCATCCAACAAGCGTTGATCGTCCCATTGCCGGCAGTCGCAAGTTTTCCACAGTGCTGCGCACAAGTAACAAAACTGCGTCGAGCATCGGCAGGTCATGTGATAACACCCCTGCCAAAGTTCCACGATAGCATGGCAACCCGGACAGGTCTGCCACCCCATTTGAGACACAAGGGACTTGATCGCTGACGTCTGAGCGTTTTCAGCACAATCTTCGTATAAGTGGGCTCGATTCCTGCATGCGGAACACACGTGTCCCGCAACTACATTCGATCTCAGACCTGCGCCCAGAAGATGAGCCCAAAAACTTGGAGCAAGTCTGATTGGGACAGTAGATCCGTGAAGCCGGTGGAGTCGCGAACTCCGCAGATTTGTCCTGAAAATGGGATTGCAAGTCCGATGGAAGCAGCAGAAGGAAGTTCGCAATGGGGAGAGGCTTCTGGTAGCACCGCACGGGGTGAAGTGTTTCGTCCCTGGTAGATGCTTCGACAAGGTTTACAAGGCAACCTCGACAATAAAAATGAGAGCACGGAGCATTGAATATTTGTGAACGTCTGACAGGATCGCCACATATGATACATTCCACCCTGGGACAAAGTAATATGAGGTCGAGGTAGATAATTGAAAATTGTGTCTAACCGAGATGGCATCCCATCACGAGCCGAAAGCTGTCCCCCATGGTACGGTAGACGAGAAGATTCACCGAGGTTGTCCATTTCGTCTGGGTCTGGGTCTACTACGCCTGTGATATCATTATTACTGAACATAGTGGAGCCAAACTCACTGGAGGGGTCGTTAGTAATATATAAAATCAAAAATAAGATTTACGAACGACAGAAATTCAGTACATTCAAGTACTTCTTGTGAATGACTAGGGGTTGGTACATCATCACCTCTTTCAAGGGCAAGAGCAGAAAGACGATCATCTTGTTCTCCTTGGTTGACGAGGGACAAGGCACTGAGAGCCACAGTGTCGGTTTGAAGTGCTTCATCAAGGCTTAGTGCAAATCTACGGTCTCGAAGTTCGGCCAAGGACGCCTTCAAGTTTTCTGCCTGAAAGTTGAATGCAATTTCTTCATCCGTCAAGCAGGCATCCTCCCGTAACTTTCCTTTGCGCGATCCTTCGACTTCTTCGATATCTAACAGAGATAGCGCCAGAACGAGGGCCTCTGCCTCGATATCTGGCACGCTGAAACGAGTGTTCATAGGTGGTCGAAAAGAAAGGGGGAATTTCATCGACTCCTAACTGGTGCTGGAATACAATCGATTACTAATAAGCGCGATCAACCGGTAAATGTAGCAGCTCATACCAGCGTAGCACTCCCCAAGTGGTCTACGTTATACTCTCCCATTATGATGTCTGGCGAGCCACGAAATTCCTGAGTCGACACGAGCATCAAGTGCGCCGCGGAAACAAAACTTGTCTATCCTGATGGCGTACATGAGACATATCTATTGCAGCAACTCAAACAAGGGAAAGTCCTTGTGAGATGAACACGTTCCATCAAGATGTGAACAACAGCGACCAGTGTTGTGAGGATTTGTTTCGCTTTGATACACAAGGTAGGAGCCTTAAGCCGCGCTAAATATGGCCAGACCGAGATGTACATTTCGTGCAAAAGTGTCGATCTTACCATCAAATGCAACCTCTGAACTCCAGCTCCAATTCGTGCTCTATGGCACTCATGGTTTTCCCCCAACTATGCCGATATCCCCTGATGATTGCGATCCGCAGGAATCGCAGGGCACGCAGCTGCCTCCTGAGCGCATGAGCACCGAATTCGTTATATACACGTCTTTCAGTGTCATCTAACAAACGTCGCTAATCCCATTAATGCATTCCACCGTGCCGCACACAAGTAACAAAACTGCGTTGGGCATCGGCAGGTCGTATGATGACGTGTGGCCTCGAGTTCTATGATAGTACAGCAACCCGGACAGGTCTGCCAACCTATTCGAGATGCAAGGGCCTTGATCATCAAAGTCCGAAACATTTTCAGTAATCTTCAGATTGGTAGGGTCGATTCTTGCGGGCGGAGTATACGCGTGTCGTACAACTTGTGTAGGTGATCTAGACCAATGGTCAGATAATGAACCTGAGAACGTGGAGCAAGTTGGATTGGAACGGTAGTTCCGTGAAGGCGTTAGGGCTGAGAACTCCGTAGATTTGTCCTGGAAATGTAATCGCAAGTCCGATGGAAGTAACGAGAGGACGTTTGCGATAGGGAGAGGCTGAAGGCAGTACTGCGGGGGGTGAAACTGGTATAAGTTTCCACGAGAATTAAAAGACAATCTTGATAGTAGTAATGTGAGCACGGTGCATTGTCGTGGAATGAAAACTGTGGAGGGTCGCAGTGTCTGTTGGAAATCCTTCATCAAGGCTAACTTAGAGAAATCTGCAATTTTGACAGGCCTGAAGTTCGGCCAAGAACGCCTTTAAGTTTTCTGCCTGAATGTGAAATGCAACTTTTTCGTCCGTCATGTAGGCGTCCTCCCGTAATTTTCCTTTGTGCGATCCTTCAATATCTAACACGGATAGCAGCAGAACAAGGGTCTCCGCCTCCATGTCTGGCATGTTGGAACAAGTGTTCATAATGGCTGAGAAGAAAAGGGGAAAGTAATCAATTATTGTCGGCTCCTAAATGGTCCAGGTGCCAAAATGGATTACATCAGCGCAATATTCTCACTGCGCTCATGATTTCAGGTGACCAGTACACGGCTAGTATTAATGCAGTAGCATCCATCGTTTTCTCATATCACCGTGGTGGCAGTCTTAAAGTGGTCTGCGTCATACTCTTCCTTCACCATCATGATGGCTGGCAGAATTCCTGAGTCAACACGGGCACTAGTCATTAAGAAGTGCTCCGCGGAAGCAAAGCCTATCTACCATGATGCTGTCCTGGAGACACGTCCACTGCAGCAACTAAAACAAGGAGAAGTCCTTGTGAAAATGGGAGCCGTGTCGTTCAATCATCGAGATGTGAGCGATATGACTAGCGGTAGCATCGGCTGCGGCAAAGAATTTGTTGCTCACCCAAACGCCCTGACAGCTTTGGATACGCCTTGGACAATATCCAGGTATCAACTTTGGAGTCGCCTTCGGTGCTGATGGAGCAGGTGTTATTACAGTAATAAATTGAGATGAGAACACTGAGAGCATCAACCCAGGCACGGTAGTTGCATCGGCAGATTCAAATGATGTACTGCTGAACAAACGCGTCTTCTGACCCCCATGCGAGGTTGGGAAAGCAAGCCGGATGCGCCAGAAACCGAGTGGGTTATATATTTGTTCATTGGCATTGACTCATGTCTCATACAGAAGAGGTTTCGGAATCCTTGGAGGTGGACGCAACCCTCCGTTAGGGACGTTTGCCGAATACGTCGTGGTGGAGAGAAATCAGGTCATTCGTTCTCCGGATCATCTTGATGACGTTCAAGTCTCGGCTTGGCCTCTTGGTGGCCTAACTGCTTGGAGGTAGGTCTTTGTCGCGATACCGTTTTCGTCCTATCATTGAATGTATCGCACCAGAGCCGCGATTGTCAATGCTGAAGCCTCGAAAGACCAAAATATTCTTATTACCGGAATCGGTGGAGGAGTGGCACTTCTTGCCATGCAACTTTGTCTAGCCAAAGGCGCTAGTGTCTATGTTACGAGTGGTAGCGAGGAAAAAATCCGGAAAGCAACCGCTCTTGGAGCCAAGGGCGGAGTAAACTACAAATTAAGTAAGGATTTACAATCTCGAACTACTCGTCTTGGAGATTTAAACTATCTCCCAGAGGATTGGCCATCGCATCTCGTTGCCCTTCTGGCAAAAAACAGCGGAAAATCCGCGAAGATTGATGCAGTTATTGACTCCGGCGGCGGAGATATTATGACACAAGTAAACAGTATCTTAAAACAAGGCGGCAAAGTCGTGGTCTATGGGATGTAAGCGAAGGGGGTTCGTTTCTTGAAATATTACTCAGCATCATTTCAGGACCGCAAATCCCCAAATCAAGTTCACCATGCGAGAAGTGCTTAAGAATCAACGGCTTATCGGTAAGTTTCCCTGCCCTACTTGAATACCAATATTGAACGTGTGGAAGGTTCGACGATGGGCTCCCTCAAGGATCTCACAGACGCCACAATGTTTGTGTCAGGAGCATCACATTGTCCCAGTGGTATCCCATGTCCTCGAGGGACTGGAAGCTGCAGAAGAAGGCTTCGAGCTCATGAAACGCGGGGATCAGTTTGGAAAAATTGTCATTCGGATTAATGACAAGGCCAATGCCAAGTTATGATAATATTAATGTTGATCGGATCTGTCGACCGCAAGTCCACGTGCCTCGACAACTCTACGCCTCGATCTCGTTTCTGTAACATAATCTTAACTTATGTCGAAAATTTTGATGTGCAGAGTTCAACATCAAACTTGGATGATATACCTTTGTACTTCTATCTGAACTGGCATTTACGTTCGTTCTTACCTTTTGTACTTATCTCTTGTACGTGCGCCCGAGTTCTGCTTCCGTGCACAATGCCAACCTAATATGGTTATGGGTCAATTGCGGATCGACGATCTCTCGAATGTTATATTTTCTCACGGCTCGACTTCCATTCATTAATGACGACATCCCTAATACTTCGGGTCTCCTCAACAAAGTCGGAACAGATCTGTCATTCTTGCTCGCCCATCTCGCGAAATGTCTAGCACCCCAAATCTTGTTGACACGATATCGAGCTCCTTGTCACTCTCCCGATACAACCGCGAGCAGAAAACTGAACGTAAGTGGTTTGAATCATTTACATACTTCGGAACAAATGGACCCATCGGGGCGTACTTAGCAGGTGGCATACATCCAGCACGACACGTAGACGAGGATGATGACCTTACAATCCGTCCTAGACGCAAATCGCCTCCAAAAATCCCTAAACAACATGTCATTACAAATACAATCACATCCTACCTATCCAAATCCGACAGTCGTGAAGAGGTGGTCTCGGTCACGATAAACATCTCACCGGAGGTGTCTTTCACTTTGCACAAACCCCTCCGCAATCGATCATCACTGGAAGTAAACGCATGCGAAGCCATACAAGACTTAATGGACGCACACGAATTCTTCAAGATCATCAAGAACCCACAGACGGAGAGTTACAAAGACGTACTTCCTTTCCTCATCACGAGAAGAAAGAAGTTCTTCAAGAAACGTCTATGGGTCGTACGAGCTACGTTAAAAGCCATGAGCGGGGAATGGAGTACCATAGGTACCTCCCCTTCGATCCACGAGGAGTTTTCGAGTTTTAGCAGCATCGCGTGCTCGCGGTTTGGTGCACTGCCGCCTGTGGACATGCTCATCAAGCTGTCTGTAGAAATTCAGACGTGCGCACGCGTCAACATCGATGCAGTGCCAATGGGGCGGCTTGTACAGATTTTTAACTGCATGTTTGAAGACTGTCATCTACTTTTGCGGTCGCGCACGATTGCGAAGGCGGCGCCGAGGTCAGGAGCTGCTGCTGCGAAGTCCGCTATGGAGAGGTTTCTACCGCTTTCGGGCGGCGTTGATTATTTGATAAAGTTTTGTAGGAATACTTTTCCTGGTCCAGAGGTTCGTTACCAGTGGACAGATAGGAGTTATTTCGAGGATTAATCCGGGCTAGATGGTAGTAATAGGAAGGACAGCACAGCATCTGTAGCAATAGCACGGGAAGCAGCAGGCACTTTTTAGACACAGTAATTCTTGTAGGATACCTTGTATTACTGTAGAACTTCGTTCAATTTGACACACCCTTGTGACTGTGACATCTGAGTTGCTCTGTCGGAACTCGGAGATCTCGTAATGTCACTCATATCATTATACGCTTACAGGTTCACGGCGTAGGTCCGACCTGGAAGGAGTGATCAAACTAGACAGAGTTGCCACGACTTGCCTTGTTACTAACTCCAGATCTCTTCCATCAGTGTATTCAAGTTGGCACCGGTGTCATCTTCGGCACCCATTCCAAAGCTATTTCTTCATCATAGCAACGAAACGAGGATTGATGCACATGCGATGCAGATCACTGGTGACGGCGAGTTTCACTGTTTCATGCAAAAGGAGCTCAACTTTGACATGCATTACATTGCATGCTAACGGGCAATATTAATGCAAGGCTGAACTCTATTAAGTAACAGACTTAATGCACCACTATACCATGGACTGGTGTCAATTTAAGTCCGACTACAGGTTTGCAGTCGCCCCTCCTTACGTCTCGTCTCGCTTTCGTTCAGCAATCGGACGGACAAACTTTGGTCGTGACTGCCGATCAAGTGACTTGGGCATGAGCCAATCCAGGTGGACTGACAAGCAGACGAAAAAATCAAATTAGTCCAAAAAAGTTGGACTTTGGGAAATATCCGACGAGGTTCTGAAGTTCAAAACAACGTTGTGCAGAAGAGTCGAAAAGTGTTGCATGTACTGTAGAACACATCGACAGCTCCATCGCCTCACTGAACGATCTTTCAAAACCTGCCCCATACCCGTCCGAGATGGAGGTGCCGCGCCACAAGTAGTAACACAACACCCAATATAATGCTGCCACCTGGGCAATGTCAATGTTCACCCAAAGATTGCGCATGTCATAAACCTGCCTGAATAATAACCCGCATCGACGAACCCTCCTGTCGCGGTATAAATCGCACCTGATATTGGAGGACCTGCCATGCTTCCGAAACCAGTGAGGGACACGAACATCCCCACTCGACGTCCTGCGTCTTCCATTTTCCCCATTGCCACAGCAGGCACAGAGTACAGAGATACGTATGCTCCGATGGAGAATCTGGATGGGTCAGCCGACTGGGTAGCTAACGGTGAAAAAGAGCAATGCATACCCGTGAATGGTGGCAATTGTGATAAGCTGGGATCCATCTTTAGCAAATGGCCAAGCGATTGTCGTGATTCCCGTAATAGCAGTAAAAACTGCAATGGTGTTGAGTGCGCCTGTCAAATATCAACTGATGTTCCCATAGTCCACAGCTGTTGAGTCCTACCAATTTTATCTGCCAGCAGTCCAGATGACACACGTCCAAAAGCAGATGCCGCATTGGCAATCGCAATTATATAGAATGAAAAATCTTTCGAGACGCCAATTGCTACGGCGCTCACAGAGATAAATGTTAACTCTGATGAAACCAAAATATCAGGGACCACAATAATAAGCACAATGGTCGTACCTGTATAAAAACCTAGAAGTATCACAGTTCCTGAGATGCAATAGGTAGAATATGCTTTGTTGCGGAATGCTTTGAGGTTAAAGAGTCCCCCACGAACGTTGACGGGCGGAAGCCGCCGTTGAAGAAACTGGGGAAAATGTGTCGGTCATGGAGACGTCCTCAGGTGCTAACGACATACTATGTTGGCCGTCCCCATTGTAGCCATCAGAGTCAGTCCAAATACACGAACTGTCCATCTAAACCTGAAAGCATATGAGTGTATATAAATTGCCTCATGGTCGATTAAACGAACTCACCCAATTAAGGGAATTAAATTTTGTGCCGCTACAGGAAACACGATGCTGCCGAGTGCAGATCCAACGGCGGTGATAGATAAAGCAAGGCCACGTCTCTTGGAGAACCAATGTGACACGATGACGATTGCGGGACTAAATACGAAACCGCAGCCCACTCCAAGGCCAACACCCTGCGTCAGGAAGAGCTGCCAGAATTGAGTGCACTCCGCGGTTAGGAAAGTGCACACGACGAGGACGCAGCTAGCAGCGAAAAATGGTATTTTGAAGTACCCCAAGTCAAACAGTCGCCCCGTTGCAAGTGACGGAAGGCACACGAGTGCATACTAGCAGCACAAGTGAGCTTAGAAGGCTTGCTAGAACCAGAATTAGACGCGCCTGTGTAGAACCGATCCATGCTCTAGAAAGTGCAAGAAATTAGTTATCCGACGTTGCATGAAACAGACCTAGCACTTACATAGTTGAAGGTGGAGTGTGAGGCAGAAGATTCTCCTCGTAGTACGCTTGGAAGACCTGAAAGGCAGAAAGTTGTAGGAACTGTATATACGTCGTGACAAACCTTACTTACACCCCACGAAGTTAAAAAACCAAACCTGGTACAACCTTCTTGAGTCATAGCAGGGGAAACAATAGGAATAGCTTACGTAGAGAATGTAACCAATGCAGTACTACAATCCAAAGACCGTCAGTGACTGTTTCGATCAAATGAACTTGTACTTGCGCAAAAACTGCAAGCCATGCTCTTATTCCTCCATCTGGTGCTTCACTAAGATGCGTTTGAAGTTTCTGATGAGAGGCTTGTTCATTCGGTATTTCCTGGTCGAGGCCACTCCTGTCTTCTGCCTATCGTAAGACAAGCTATGTTGGCTTCCAGACGCAGAGTCAATGCCCTGCAAGGACTCTATGTAACTTGGTGACTTCTCAGACATAGCGCCTTTCTCCTGTCAATATCGAGAAAAGTGGTCAGAATCGACAGATAGCTGGGGGAAAAGTGCAACTGTACTTGTATGTGCGAATATATAGTATTTCCCGCGACTCGGAGCTCCTTGTCATAGCCATTTACAAAACCCCGAGTTCATAAACCGTCATTTGATGACGTTATGATTATATGGACCAAAACATGCAATTGGACTTGCTGGCCTTTGCTAGTGGAGGTGAGGAATCCGAGTCAAGCTGGATCACCGTGGCAGGCTCGCTGTACTATGTCCTATCAGTGAATGGACGATCCTTGAGATCGTAACCATGGGAACTGTGGAAGAATATAGCTCTGCTCAACGAAATATGGTACTGTGTTTGCTGACTCCTCAGTGGTAGCGAGAACAAAAGGAGATGTTTGCTTTATCGAAGTAAATGATTTCGGGGTGGAAACCTCAACGACCTGGTCGCCCGGCCCCAATAGTGGCCCCAACCTGTGCAAGAGAGAGCGGAAGTGAGTTCAACGTCGATCCATGGATGTCTGGACCCTTTCGCCTTTGTATGATTCGACTGCGCAATGACATCGTGGTACAACGACCAGATCCAAACATTTCCACTTTGTTTCAATCACCTTTTTCTAGCTTGTTAGTAAATAATTGAGGCAGTCGAGTCTGAGGCTTGAGTGATAGGCAGGCTTCCAAGATATCATGGGGACCGGTTCACGAATCACCATGTCCTTTTTTGTGTTGGTCTCCAAGTTTATGCATACTTACGGCTATTGAGGTCATGATGGGTCGAAAAAACGTCACGGGAGCTAAGTTTAAGTTGGAGTGTCAAAATTACATCAGCAAACTACTAATTTGATGACAGGTGTCACACGAACAACAAGTCTACAAACAAGTCTACACAAACCATACAAGGTATTATCTTTGAGGTTCACACTGGCGTGTCGTTCGTGAGGAGGGCAAATGACGACTTGGCTCAAACTGAATGACTGTGCTACATTTGTACAAGTTCGTAATTAGGGAAGAAAGGATGGGAAGGTTTTCAGGCGAAGGTGCATAGCGCCTACTGGCCACAAAGGGCTTTAGCCTAGGAGAAAAAAGGTGAGCTGCTTATCCCGAGTTTTAGGAGTTTGACAATGCATGCAGTGAACATCGTGGAAGCCCTGTTTTTAGGAGGAGGATGACTCACTTGGAGTGTATGGGATGGTATGAGGCTATTGGATAGGTGGTAAGGTATACTGGAGGAATTCCTTGTGTAGTTCAGGTGTGGCTTGCATGTAGGGTGCCATGATTTGGGCATGACGCCTTAGGTACACTAAGAAGGCATTGCTTGCCCATCTTCCCTTGACTTTAACAATGTCGAATGGTATATTGCGGAGGAGATACTCAAGCGTTCCACCAATGCGAATCCCATGGCCTTGTAAAGGTTTGTGACCTGCATTCTTCATTGCGACTGCGAGTCTCTTAAGAAAACATGTTTTCATAAGTGGGCGGAGGGTGTTCTTGTGTCAGTATGCGAACAATGTGCTGTTCAGTGGGGGCTCGTTGACATGCCAGTGGTTGCGCATGACCTCTTCTGGGTCTGAAGGTCCAGTTTGGCTCGCCCAGAAGACATCTTCCCCTTCTATGGACGGTTTGGTGTGGGGAAGATGGAAGTTCGTCATTTTGAGACCTTGGCAATCCTGGGTTTTGCTTATGTCTGCCGGTTTGACATGACGCATTGGGTTGAAAGCATCTAGGCACGGGACTGTGAATTTGCTGATGCAGGTGCATGTGAAGAATATAGTTGTCAGGCAGGCAAAGACAGTCGCATCGAGGGGGTTGTTGAGGTCGAGGTTTTTGCGGATTGATGTAATTAATGGGATGGTATACGGATCATGTTGGTTTTCTTCGAGGAAGGTGGAGTTAGGGAAATAGCAGCTTTGAACAAGGTTTCGATCTCTATGTCTCCTCTGAGGCTCCAGTGGATGCTGTGAAGGACATGCCATGCGTGAACACCATGCACATAATTGGCGACTGTCTTTCCAGAGTAGTGTCCAGCCATTTCTGTGATGAAAGAAGAGATGAGTATGCGGCTTGCCGGGGTGCGTTGGTTCTCTGGAATTAACTTGCTGTCACAGAATACATGAAACATGAGTAGTCCTGACCCGTATGTCTTGTGGGTGCTTTCAGCGAAGGCGTGCACCATAATATCCTGGATCTTCTTGACTTCGGGTTGGGATAATGGAAGCCGGTTACCCTGCGCATCTATCAAGGACCACGAGGTAAAGGGTATCCACTGGTATAGTCTCTCTTTGGTGGGGCATTGGGGTCTTAGGGAGGAGGGGCGTGGTGTTAAACCAGGGCTATAGGCTAGTTTGGGGTGTGAAGGTCTGGGTTAGGTAGTTAGGGTTGTGTATGTACTAGTCTTTCAACATTTCGAAGAGCTCTTCTCCATGGTGCTTGAGCTTGCGATTGAGGAGGGCATGTCATTGGAGTTTGACTGGGTGCTGCTCTCTGCCCACTGGGTGAATTTGTTTGTCTGCTGGTCTGGGTAGGCATGGCTTCGAGTCGGCTTTGCTGCTGGAGATGTCTGTGATGAGGGACAGAGCTCTCCGGGGATAGGAACTGGTGGAAGCATGGGATGTGAGGGGGGATATATGCTGCGGGAAGGGCTGTCTGCAGGGTTGGTTTTGCTAGGTACGTATCTGGTGAGGATGGTACACTTGGCTTCATTGGCAGCAAGGTGGATGTGCTTGAAGACTTCATTGCAGGCTCTACTTCTGCTGTGCCCGGTCCACCAGCCCTCAACGATCCCATGATTGTCTCTGTAAACCTTAAAATGAATGCCAGGGGGGCAGGCATTAATGATTGAGCAGGCGAGGAGCTTGAAACCGATGCTTTTGGCCCACCCAATGTCCCTCCTGTTTCCCTTCCACCCTGGAATGAGCTCCCAGGCTCTCCACCTCCTGTCGATGATGATACCGATCCCATGACCAGAGCTAGTGTCTGAATAAGCATGGAAGTTGTGTATGATGCAGAAGCCAGGGATGGGGCGTGACAGGTGTTGGGAGCTGAGGGTTTTCTTCCACCACTCGAGGTCTCTCTGGGTGTCTTGGTGAGGGGTGTGAGGAAGGAAAGGGCAGTCAGTTGAAGACTCCCAGCATGGTTTCAAGGTTGGTGAGGTAAGCTTGCCCTGATGGTATGATAAGGGCTGCATGCAGGAGCTTCCCATACAGCTTTTGGACCTCGGATAGTGCATGCATCTGCTTAGACTGCCACATGTTGATGGCTGCCAGGTACTTGGCTGTTTTTTCCCAGGATAGGGATATTGTGAGCTTGGGGATGTCCCATAGGAGACCTGTGAAGGTGGGAACTGGCTGGAAAGATTTGTCCTTCAAGATCTCCCAGGTGAAACCAAGGGGAAGGGATGATTGGTCGATGTCGGCCATGCAACACTGAGAACTGTGCATCTTCAGCTGACCATGGGGATGAGGCTGATAGGTCCCTGATTGGGAGTGCGCAGTCCTCATCGAACTCCTCTGTTGAGTCGTCAGGTAACATCTCACCTCTAAACCATTTATGGCTGCCTTCAATGATGGTTCCACCAGTTGGAAGTGATCTGGGCTGCCCATCTGGTGCGTCTCATGTTATATTCTTCCAGGAATTCTCACCTAATGTGGAAAAAGATGTAGTCGTCCACCCATTTTGACAATGGTCTGAGTCTGGTGGCGCAAAAGATGTCAGCCCCTGCATCAGTGACGTTACCATAAGTGCCTGCTGATGGTCCTGAAACCAAAGCAAAAGGCTGTGTCCACTGCAAAGGTGTCCTCACCTAGTAGGCGTATCGCCAGGCTCGCCCATTGGGAGTGGTGCAAGGGAACTGTCCTGTATACTTCAGCTGATGTCGCGGATGGCTGCCTGGGATCCCAGAGGTAGGCTTTGTATGCAGTGGCAGATGGTGGCAAATGTGCTGTATGTGCATGGGAAAAGGTCTGAGTCCACTCTTGAGTTGATGGAGCTAATGGGGGGAAGGGGGTTGATGGGGTAGGAGAGATTTTGTATGAGGCGGAATTTGCCTGGCTTACCTGGCTTAGGAATGATGGATAATGGGGCCATCTGGAAGGGGCTGATGATGGATTCGAGGTCTTGGGCTGAGAATGGGCCAATGAAACAGCCTTTGGCCATTTCAGTATTAATGATAGTTTGGAAGGCTTCTGCATGTTCAATGACAGATGTGCTATTAGGAGGAGTATACATGTGGGTAATAGTGGGAATGCCCCCAGAAAAGCTGGTCTCAAGGCATTCCGGGATGTGTGGGTATCTACAGAGGAGATCAAATTCTTCCAAAGCCTTACACCAGGCATTTGGGTGGTATGGGGTGAGGGCCTTAAGCCTTCTCACCTCGAGGACAAGTCTGGGCTCCATGGTCCTTGTCTCTGCATCCTGAGCATGTGTGGGCTGCATTGTGGTTTTCTGCTATGCAACCCCCTGGTCTTTGCCATTTGTAACAGAGGGGGAGGCCGTTGGCGCTGATGATACGTCCATCTTGGGACCTGTGGGTGTGAGCTGGTGTGGTCTTGTCCCACAGGTTTTGGGAGCTGCATTGTTGGATGTTGTGTGAGAAGTGGCCAAGGCAGATGGTGCAGGCAGACCGACTGCAAGAGCCTGCGCCGCAGGAAAAACCCTTGTTGTGGTATTCCCAGTTCTTTCCTTTGCCTGGCGATGGGGTTTTGTCGCCCCTTTTCAGGTTGTTGGTTCATGCTGGTGAGTGTGAGCGGGAGGCTCGGTTGCAATGTTCATATGGCTCTCTGTAGCTGGTCCTTCTGCCTTGTTGGTGGGAGGATGGATGATCAACTGCAGGCGACTGTGCGAGCATCTGCATGGGCAGTGATGCAGGCATCCACGTGAGATCGGCGTGGGCATCTGTGTGAGATGGGGTGCAGGCATCCACGTGAGCGTATTGTGGGCATCCACACATTGATGTGCAGGTGTCCACATGTTTATGTGCAGGCATCCATGTGAGCAAGATGTGGGCATCTGCACGTTGATGTGCAGGGATAAGATATTCAGGGTATGATGACAGGGGGTTGGGGAAAGGGATTGGGAATGTAAGGGTAACAATTTATTAGTTAGAGGTTGTTCTAAGTGGGTCAAGTTGACCTGGACATACTGGGTTCAGTGCTCTTGAGCGTACGCAATTCCACATCTCTTCATTTATCGACTGCATTAAGGTCTCATTGATGATTCTGATGTTAAAGCCTTCATTTCGTTTGAGGTGATCGTGCCAGTCAAGCCGCACCCGAGATGCATAGTGTAAGATGACCATGTCACCTAACTCACTGTTGTCCTGTATGGCGTGGTTCTTGAGGTGCCAATAGAATAGGGCTAGGGCATCAAGGTGTGCTTGGGGCCACTTTGCAGTACTTGTGTGGGTCAGGAATGAGTTCTTAGCTCGCAGGAAGATGGAGAAAGGTAAGTCATGGTCTGGGATGGCTGCTCTGGATGCCTTGAATGCCAATGCTGGATGGATGGTTAGCTGGTCATCGAGTTTTGCTAGGCTGAAAGTGTCATCAGTGATGGACTGGGCTGTTTTCATGGCCTCCTTGCATCTGTTGGGTGAAAAGTACCATAGCTCTACATATTCAAAGTTGTTCAGTTTCTGAATAGCGTACTGGGAAGGATGAGGGGCAATGGCATCACCAACGGTTGGGGTTGCATTGAACCCATTCATTTTTGGTTTCTTCTTCTCTGAGTCTAGGTGTTCTTTCTCGGTTTCTGCTTCTTTTGCTAGTCGTTCTTCTTTGACTCTTTCTGCCTGTGCTTGCTCTATTTCGGCTTCAGCCCGGGCCTCTTCTTCTCGCTGTTGGTTCCATTTGAGGACTCTGGCCTGGTGGCCTTCTGTCCATGTTCCTATCAGGCGATCAATGACCGCTTGGGGTTCAGCGCCAGTGGCTGCAACTAGGTCATCTCGTATCCTGGCATATAAGTCTCTAGCAAAGTCGGGACATATTTCTAAGGATGGGTCAGCCATAAGTGGAGTAAGGAAAGGTTTTGTGTTTTCTGGTGTGTCTTCAGGAAATGTGTTCTATCTGGTTGGAGTGCAGTGATGAAAGGAAAAGAAAAGCTAAGTCGATGAAATGCACGGCGTGAATAGTTGATGCAGCAGAAAGAGAAGAGGTGAGAATGCCACATTTGTTGTTTGCACAAAGACTTAACTCTATTTCCTCCACTCGTGCCTCGCTACGTAAATAGAGTGGCAACAGACATCAAGAGGTGTGCGTTTGCAGAATGCCGAAAACCCACCTACCAGTTGCATAAGCCAAAAATCTTAAATCACAGCCACATGGGGCTTCCTGAGCGCTGTTTCTGAGCTTCTCGAGACTGACTTCAGACCTTCATGAAATCATTCATCGCATACTGGAAGGTGGGTGTTTTCACTACTTAAGAACATGTTTAGATAGTTGGCTCAATCAAAAACGTGTGTAAAAAAAAGTTTCCTGCTAAATCAGTGAAGACCAGGGAAAAAAAGTAAAGCACATGATACTGTCACGTCATGTCATGTAATCGGTGTGAGTCTCAAGCAAGTTTTGAATATTGATGTGTCTCAACCTTGTCTTAACCTACTACATGTAATAGTTTCATAATGTACCCCCCTCAATATGCCTCATGGTTTCCACCAGAAGACAACAGTTCATCACAAAGCATGCATGAAGGGCATTCATGCAGCCCCAACCTAGATTTTCAAGTACCACTAGAATCAGATGATGAGTATGAAGCCTATCATTCACCTAATTTCTCCGACTCTGGCCTCTTGGTTCTAGACCCATCCAAACCTTCTGGTTCCTGTATTATGACTGTGTATTCTGAAATTGATGTAACTGAACTACTCAAACTAAATACTCCTTGTTACAATCATGTACGCCCCTATTCATTTTCTCTTCTTTTACCTTGTATTACGTCATGAGCTGCATGATGCCACTGCTAGACTATCTCTGACTCATTTGTATTACATCACAATCACCACTGCTGTCACTAGATGACTCACTTCTTATCACTTATGTGTCTCCTTATCTCTGACTCATCGCTGTTCACACATCTGCCCTAAAGTCCTACTATTTACTATATATAGTCGGTGATGTACTCTGTAGATTCTTTACTTTAATCTTACTAGGTTTTCACCTGAACATTCTCTTGCTTAAGGCCTCCAATCTTAAGTCATCTGAACCAATATTCAAGCTGAAGACACTCTCTTTGTCTTGTCTTATGACCCTTGCATTTGCAAGGTCTTGATCTTAACTTCAGCTGTTGCTCTTATCAAGCTGCTGTTGTTACAACTATCCTAGTCCATAACACTCCTGACTCTCTATTTCAATTGTTCAAGGCACAACAACTGGAAGTTAGCATCAGTCTGCAAGGGAGATGGAGACTGCAATGTCCTGATTGCAATGAGTGGTCCCAAATGAGCATCCCATCTAACATTCCACTATGGTCTGAAGGACAATTCAAGTCCTTGAGCAATCACTGAGGTAGCAAAAAATGTGCACAGATACTAATGAAAAAACAAAAACAGCCTGCAGGTGGGAACGTGTTTGATGGGCCAGTCTCTCGGTCCTGTAGTACTACATCAGATCAAAGGTATGTCCTTATCCATTGTTTATCCATTGATAACATTATGTTACTAATATCAGGTACTATCTGAGCATTACATCTCTGACTCTTGATGAGCACACTTGTGCTGGTATTCCCATCAACTGGCCAGATGATGTATGGCCCTTCCTTATGATGTTCCCTTGGGAGAGCTATCATGATAGACTGAATGCATTACCTTTTACTGTCAACATCTCACATCTGTCTGAACCACATGCTTGATCAAAGCACTGTGACCCTACCATGTTTGAGGGCTCCCCTTGCAGTGAATGTGCTATTATACATAAGCATATATCTTGGCTGGTTGAAATCATGTGGGAACTGAAGGCTCACACTAACTACAAATATCTAGGCCTTGGGCATATGCAGGACCTCACTAAAATGTATGTTGTGCAGGTTAAGGAATTAAAACTGCAGGTAAGTTTTTTTTTTGCTTATATGTATCCCTACTGAGTAGAAATAGGCCTGCAATGATTTCTGCAGATATACAGTGGCTCAAAAAACTGTCCACATGTTTTTGCATTTTTTACTATTTACAATATTGTGTGAGAATACATAAAGACCTTAGTGACATGCTAATACCATATTGTAGTGCTGCTTCAGGGCTTTGGATTGAGCACCACATCGTGAGAATCAGAGGAGATATGGTGGAGATACAAGGCTTACAAAATTATGACTCATGCGGACAGTTTTTTGAGCACATATTAAAACTATACAAATCATCATTTATGACACCATAACAATCATGCCACCATTAAATAAATTATAAAGTGGTGTCATTATGTCATTTTAAAACCATATCTAACTATACAAACCAAAAATTTCCATATGTCATGGTTATATTCACCATGAAAGCCACCCCCCCTGCTCAAAGGGATAATATCCTCTCTCTTTCCTATTCTGGCCTCTCTGCTTGTCAAATTTCCTCTAGAACTGGAGTATCCAAGTCCACTGTGGCCAAGTTCATCAAAGAAAGTCACACAGACAAGGAAAACTTCTGTGAAGGGTGTCCATCCAAGCTCACCTCTACTGATAGGAGGGCTATTATTCAACATATCACTACAGGAAAGGCTGATAATGCTGTCCAGGTCACCTATTACATCAATTCCACCATCACATTCCCTGTCTCTTCACACACTGTGAGAAACATTCTCAAGACAGCTCATCTCAGGTTAGTAACAAGGAAGAAAAGGCTCTCCTCTCTATCACACATATGCAGAGATGACTAACCTTTGCCTTAGCCCATCAGAATTGGATTACATGGACTGGAAGCACTCCAACCTTGTTAATCTGGTCTTATGCACATATGACTCTGCTGTTAGAATTGCTCACAAGACTCACAACCAGGAAGTCCACCTCAGGAAGGAGGTCATGGTCATCAGTGTTGCATGCTTCAGTGAAGACAAGCTTTATCCTGTGTTAGCGGCTCCTACTTGCAAGACTGAAAATGCTGCTGACATAGAGGGAATCTTTGCTTGCACTATTGAGTGCTGGAGTGCAACAGGCACAGATACATATGTTGGACCAGTGTGGTCATTTGCTATGGATGGTGATGCAACTTGCCATGCTGCTGGTCACAAAATCTTCATCAAGAAACCCCTCTCCTTAGATTTGCCTCTATATGCTGCATTATCAGATATGCCCAGCCTGAATACTTTAACCAGTGACAATGAGGTGACATTGGATTTTGACTTCAAGCACATATTCAAATGCAAGTGTTTTTTTTTCAGTCAGTATGCATTCTAAAATTGAATTGACTTAGGTATATGCACACTTATTCATTCTCCTGTGGGTATCACACTCAACAATGGCTGTATCATCAATGCAATGATGCTCTTGCAGTACCTTATTTGGTTACCTGCTCATGATGAAGCTAGTGTTACTAAACTTCTCCACCCTGATGACCCTCAAGATGTCCTGTGTGCCATTGAATTAATGCAGGCCATCAGTGACATTTTCAAAGTCCCAGCATGCAAACAGTTTTTCATTGGAGACTCTGGCGATGACCACTTGGAGCTTCATTTTGGTTGTACCTGGATGATTGGAGGACATAATTCAGGATGTTCTTACACACAGGTTCTCAATCACTTGGGTGCTGCTAAGGACATCAATGGTGTGTTCAAGTGGCACCCTGAGCTTGATCCAGGTCACTATCATCTCAAGCTGGGCACACAGCACAATAATGTTGACCACATCAATCATGATATGTGGAAGGGAGATATCATATCTGGGTGCTGTGATCTGCCTTCAGCATGGCAAATGGGTCACAATATGTCACTGTCTATTCTTACAGGATCACAGATTGATCTGGTCAATTTTGCATTTATCACTCTGTTCTCTGATCCTGCTGTTAACATGCTTTATCCATTCAGTATGAACAAATACCTAGGAATCTCAGGTGAAGGCCCAGAGGATGCCAGTATCCCTCCTGTACTGCTTGCATCACAAATCATTGAAGCATCTGAGTTATCCTTCCCTCTCCCAGATCTCAATGACGAATCTACTGAGCTGACATTTGAGGAGGTGCTGGCTGCACAATCCAACTCAGATCTACCCTCCACTTCATTGCATCAAGTCCAGTCTGATCCTTCTGCCCCTCCTCTTCCAGGGGGTCCTGGAGTACATCCTGAAGATTATTTGTTGTTCAAAAACCACTGGATCCACAAACAAACCATCTGCCGCCTCATCATTAATAAAGACTTTGTATCCAAATCATGCAACAGATTGGAGCATGTTCATGTGGGATACACCAAGGTTAACAAGTGAGTTGACATGTCAGCAGGACAAATTATGGACAGCAAGTTATTTCTGGTTGGCGACATCTTCCTAACCCTTATTTGTTCCAGTCATACAATTTCTGTCAGCATTCTTTGTTCAACTTCTCTTGTAGTCAACAATATCTCTTGCTCATCCATTGACATAATGATAATGAAAGCTGTGCGCACAACTGCAAAAGTATCCAGACAATTGCTGACCATCATTCCTACCAATCATCCCTCAGATTCAATGCTGATGTCACTGCAATTCCTGTGGAATGGAGGCTATGTCAAGAGTCACTTTGCCATTCAAGGCACATCAGGTTCTACTGAGTGTGTGGTCATTGTCAGCATGCCTGGTTTGCTTGTCAAACCTATTAACCCAGAACCAACTCTCATCAGGCTTTGTGACAACATCAACATGGACAAATTCATGGAGATTAAAGGGGGACAAACTATGTGGCAAGTTTCTCAAGGTGTTCTCCAAGCTGCCTGTGGGATTCTCTGGGAGAAGAGCCTTGAAACCAAGCTGCCTCCCAAGTCCCTCATGTCCATTACTCCCTCTGATGTCAAGACATTTCCATATTGACTTGCTGATGGTAAGTTGTTTTTTAAATGATGCACACACAACTGACTTGAATCTCAAGGCACTCTAGCTGTTCTTTGTACTGAAGGAACAAACCTCCTGATAGCCTCTGATGGGGAGTGCATAACAACTTACTGTCTGTGCACTGCTAAAGCCATGGATATGCGTGCTCACATTGGACTCCATGTCCTTCATGCACTGACTAACACACCTGAGGAAGTAAATATGTTGGAATCAGTATGTTTATTCATTTTTGTAGGATACATCTATACTAATATACACAGGTTGGTATCACACTTCCTTGTGGCTTCTGTGGACAATCCAGTCAACCTGAATGTGCTATAATGATCAAACTAAGCACTAACTGTGCCCCGGCCCTGTCTACAAAATGCATGTATCAACATGCATTTAGATATGCATATGTGAACACTGGTTCAAAGAAAAAACCCTCTTGCAACATCCCCATTAAGTATGAACTGTGTCATCCAGCTCTCCCCCCTAAACCTGGAAGAACATCCCAAAGGGCTCTGCCCATTGCTGTCAATGCTGTCTGACAATACAACATGCCTGAACACATCTTGATGGAACATGAGGAGTATGCTGTCTCAGGATATAGGATGATCAGGGTTCCCTTGCCTGCTAATATGTTGAAAGTAATGGCACTTACAGATCTTAAACAGATGGCTGCATGTATACCAGAGGAATGCAGGCTGCTCACCTGCACCAAAGACCCATTGGAGAAAGAGAATGACACTGGATCAAGTTCCAGATCTGCAGGAAAATGTTGTGCTCTTCAGCCTGCCACTTCTCTTCCAGCTAAACATGCTTGTACTGCCATGCAACCACTTCAATCTCATACTTTAATCATTGGATAGATTGCTTGTTTTTGATACTTGCTTTGCTTTGGTACTCATTTTCGCTCATGTTTTCCTCACTGATCAGTCACTGTAGTCACACTATGAATTGTATAGGTCATCATTGTATTATACTTGCTGCTCTACTTGTTTGTTGCTCTGTTCTCTCACAATTCTCTTGAATCAATATGTTGGATGGAAATACAGAGGTATGATTGATTGCATGACAAATCATCTATATATGGTCTAATCAACATGACTATCACACTGTCATGGTGGTGGGGGATGCATCCAAAGCTTTGGAAGGTGTATGTCATAAACTTCTCAATTGCACACCTCTTGACAGACATCACAAGCAATTCAAAATTTCAAGCTGCTAAGTACAAGCGAACAAGTGGACAAATGCCACAAGGACTACAAATTGTACAAGCAATACAAATTATACAAGTATGTATTGACATATGAGACATTAACAATATAAACTCAATTCTCAGATTCAATCATCCAGTTAGCTGAGTGCTAAATAGAGCTCTCAGTACATTGATACCCAAAAAAAACTAGTCTACCTGATTTGTACCACCAGCCCTGGACCTAATAAATGTTGGGATACCATTTCTCCTCTGCTCTATATGCATGTGCCCCACATCAAGGTCAGCCATCAATAATTGCATGTTTATGGCTTCTACATGACAGTGATGGAGGTTAGTAAGCACTGTGTAGTGCTCAAAGATGCTGTCTGCAAGGTCTTTTTGAGCTTGACAGATCCTGCATTTTGCTTGAGCTGCTTCAAGTGCAAGATTGGAGTGGTTGTCTTGGTCTGGTTGGTTGAACAATGGGTAGTCAAGGTCCTATGTGCAATGAATAAGAATAATAAAAGACAGAATAGTGATCTCACACCAAGCACACAAACTCACAAACTGCTGCCCTCCAGATAAGCTGTGCTCCTCTTTAATAAAGCATGATCCCATTTGAAAAGATAAATTATTATTTTTGTTTGGAGAAGAGAGACTTTGGCAGGACATGCGGTGTCCAACTGATGTCACATCATAAGATCCTTGAAGGTGATATCTGAAGCAAGTACCATATGGGTACAAGGACTGAATTCTTGGAAAAGAAAATGGAGAATTGTGAAACAAAGATGAGACTACAGAAGTGCTTGGAGATGAAGTTGCAGAATCATCCATTATATGTAAATATATTCATATGATGGGTGTACAAGCAAAGATAAGAAGTGTGCTTGAAGCATGTGAACAAATCTTTCCTTCCAAATAACCATGTCAATATCATGTCCGAAATGTGGGAAAGTATTCAGCAAGGAGTTCAGTATTTTAACAAATTAACACAGGGCAGGGACTAGGACTCAAACAAAGGATATCATGAGGAAAAGAGAATAGATTGAGTAGTGACATTTGGGCTAATACATAATGTATAGACAGAGGGTTTGAACTAAAGAACTACTGACTACAACTAGCTAACTATATACATATATTTGAGACAGAGATTCAATCTGAGTTCATAAAATAGAAAAAGAATCATACAATGATATAAATAACTATGATGTTATGATACAGTGGCTCAAAAAAGTGTCCCAATGTTTGTGGGTTTTCATGTAATTGCTTCATTGTGAGTCAGGGCATGGGAATATGACTAAGCTATAGGGAGGTGTCAGATGGCTCCGCTTCTTGGCTTTATTATTGTTCCTTACAGCGTGGAAATCTGACATTATCGTGTGAAGATATGGACATTTTAATTTGGTGACTCATTGGGACACTTTTTTGACTTTGAGTTTGAATAATACAATCTCTATAATTCTAGTACTTGGTGGTTCCTTCTCTTGCTCTAATCACTTCTACCACCCTTATAAACACACTATCTATCAATTTCTAGCATTGCCCATCAGCAATCTTCCCCTGCTGTACTGTTACTCTCCCCCATAGCTGAAATAGCCCCTATTCTCCTATTCAGCTCCTCTTATCTGTCTACCAGGGAGATTTCTACTAAAACTGGTCTAAGCAGGGATACCATTGCTAGGGTCATTGACACAGCCATTCCAGATAAGAAAAATATCAAATTACATCACCCTTTCAAGCTCACACCATATAGTAAAAGATCTGTTGTTTATCATATTTTAACTGGGCAGGCTGCTAATGCTACTCAAGCTACCAAATTCATGTATTCCATCATCCACACCACTATCTCAACTCAAATAGTCAGGAATGCTCTTGAGGCAGCTAATATCAAAGCTATAACCAAGAAGAAAAGCTTCTCATATCCCCAGCCTATAGAGAGAGGAGACTAGCCTTTGCTCTAAAGTACCAGTATTGGACTCTAAGGACTGGAATAGGGATATCTGGTCAGATGAGACAAAAATCAATAGGATGGGGTCAAATAGCCAGGAATATGTATGGAAAAATGCAGGTAAACTACCAGGACAAAGAGAAGTCAAGGAAACACTCAAGTTTAAAGGAGAAAATTTGATTGTATGGGGATGTAAGAGGTGGAATAGAGCAGGGAATCCCTGTGAAGTGGAGGGGAGGATAAATGCAGAGCAGTACATCTCAATTTCAGAGGAGTGTCTGCTCATGAGCATGCAGGAATCAGAAAGTGATGAAGAAGACACTATCTTCTATTCAGATCATTATCTCAAGCATACTCCAAGTTGGTGACCAAATGGTTTACAAACTATCATACCACTGTTCTATCATAGCCAACACAGTCTTCAGGCATAAACTCTATTGAACAACTCTGGAAATTGCTCAGGAGATTGCTTGCAGTGTATCAAGATTCTCCATAGGGGCTATTTCAGCTATGGGGGAGAGTAACAGTACAGCAGGGGAAGATTGCTGATGGGCAATGCTAGAAATTGATAGATAGTGTGTTTATAAGGGTGGTAGAAGTGATTAGAGCAAGAGAAGGAACCACCAAGTACTAGAATTATAGAGATTGTATTATTTAAACTCAAAGTCAAAAAAGTGTCCCAATGAGTCACCAAATTAAAATGTCCATATCTTCACACGATAATGTCAGATTCCCACGCTGTAAGGAACAATAATAAAGCCAAGAAGCGGAGCCATCTGACACCTCCCTATAGCTTAGTCATATTCCCATGCCCTGACTCACAATGAAGCAATTACATGAAAACCCACAAACATTGGGACACTTTTTTGAGCCACTGTACATGTGGCTGCTGTGGAAAGGTTCTGGAAGGTTCTAGGTGGATCATGTGACAAGAAGTCATACTTGTTTATAGGGATGATAGAAGTTGTAGGTGCTAAAGGAATTGTTGGTTGCATGAATATCAATACAGATGTTGTAGGGTTAGGATTAATGGGCATTTGAGTAGATGCTAAGACAGGTGCTTGTTCTGGGTGCTTTAAGGGTTTCTTATGAGTACCAAGGAAAGAATAATGATTTGTATTTGGAACTTGTGACAATGTCATAGTTCTATTTGTGATATGGTAGACATTTCTCAGTTTGCAGAGTCAGTTCTACAATTATGGTGATCCCCTGATCCAATTCCTCACCATATGCCTTTGCATTTTGATGCTGGGAGCAATGCCCACATGAACATTGACTTCTTTGAAGCAGCAGGAGAGGAATTCATGAGTGCAGAGGAATGGTATGAAGGCACAGGGACTTGTTACTCTCCAGATGGCCTGATGTTTTTGGATCTCTTTGACATGGACAAGTATGCAGATTGCAGAAATTCTATCCTTTTGCATCAAAAGAGGAATGGGAAATTGCTGATTTTCTTCTTCATTCTCCTCTCAGTATGGCTGCAATCAATGAATTTCTAGTGTTCCCAATGGTGAGTGCTTTTCACAAGTGCTGGCACTTTGAGATCTTATGGACTCACAACTTTGGAGTATCTTCTCCTTCTCACAACTCTCAAGTCTCTTATCCTTCTCATATTTCTTAATATCCTTCTTGCACTTTTTGATCACATCCCTACTTTACAGATCCATGGATTAAAGCTGTCATTCAGTACCACTAAAGAATTACAAAGCTGAGCTGAGATGCTACCCAAGGGACCAAGCTGGAAGTGTCAATTTTTGTCACCTAGAACATACACACCATATCACTCTCAATCAGCTTACTAAGATACACATCAATCCCAATGACCTTGAAGGTTATTTTGATGCATGTGCTGTATATTGTCTAAATCCTTCTGGCAAGATTGGCCATTTGCTTGCCCCTCAGTCTTTCTAACTCCAGAGGCCCTGCATCATTGGCACAAGCAATTTTTCAATCACAACCTTCAGTGGTGCATTGTGGTTGTTGGAGCTCAGGAACTTGATTTTCAATTCCTGATTTTGCAGGTAGTCACAGGCTATTGTCACTATTATGGTGGAATGATAAAGCTCAAGCAAGTTACAGGCAGAGTCCACTGTGATCTTCAGTATTACTTAGTTGGTCTCATCATTGGTGCAGCCCCTCATTGATTTGTGATTGCAATGTGTGCCCTTATGGACATCTGGTCTACAGTGGCTCAAAAAACTGTCCACATGTTTTGACATTTTTCACTATCTATGATATTGTGTGAGAATACATAAAGACCTTAGTGACATGCTAATACCATATTATAGTGCTGCTTCAGGGCTTTGGATTGAGCACCACATCGTGAGAATCAGAGGAGATATGGTGGAGATACAAGGCTTACAAAATTATGACTCATGCGGACAGTTTTTTGAGCACATATTAAAACTATACAAATCATCATTTATGACACCATAACAATCATGCCACCATTAAATAAATTATAAAGTGGTGTCATTATGTCATTTTAAAACCATATCTAACTATACAAACCAAAAATTTCCATATGTCATGGTTATATTCACCATGAAAGCCACCCCCCCTGCTCAAAGGGATAATATCCTCTCTCTTTCCTATTCTGGCCTCTCTGCTTGTCAAATTTCCTCTAGAACTGGAGTATCCAAGTCCACTGTGGCCAAGTTCATCAAAGAAAGTCACACAGACAAGGAAAACTTCTGTGAAGGGTGCCCATCCAAGCTCACCTCTACTGATAGGAGGGCTATTATTCAACATATCACTACAGGAAAGGCTGATAATGCTGTCCAGGTCACCTATTACATCAATTCCACCATCACATTCCCTGTCTCTTCACACACTGTGAGAAACATTCTCAAGACAGCTCATCTCAGGTCAGTAACAAGGAAGAAAAGGCTTTCCTCTCTATCACACATATGCAGAGAGGACTAGCACCCTTCTTTTTTCACATATATACCTTGCCATCTGACCCAATCCTGTTTATTGTGGTCTTATATGATCATATAACATGCTTCCAGTCCATGTAATCCAATTCTGATGGGCTAAGGCAAAGGTTAGTCATCTCTGCATATGTGTGATAGAGAGGAAAGCCTTTTCTTCCTTGTTACTGACCTGAGATGAGCTGTCTTGAGAATGTTTCTCACAGTGTGTGAAGAGACAGGGAATGTGATGGTGGAATTGATGTAATAGGTGACCTGGACAGCATTATCAGCCTTTCCTGTAGTGATATGTTGAATAATAGCCCTCCTATCAGTAGAGGTGAGCTTGGATGGGCACCCTTCACAGAAGTTTTCCTTGTCTGTGTGACTTTCTTTGATGAACTTGGCCACAGTGGACTTGGATACTCCAGTTCTAGAGGAAATTTGACAAGCAGAGAGGCCAGAATAGGAAAGAGAGAGGATATTATCCCTTTGAGCAGGGGGGGTGGCTTTCATGGTGAATATAACCATGACATATGGAAATTTTTGGTTTGTATAGTTAGATATGGTTTTAAAATGACATAATGACACCACTTTATAATTTATTTAATGGTGGCATGATTGTTATGGTGTCATAAATGATGATTTGTATAGTTTTAATATGTGCTCAAAAAACTGTCCGCATGAGTCATAATTTTGTAAGCCTTGTATCTCCACCATATCTCCTCTGATTCTCACGATGTGGTGCTCAATCCAAAGCCCTGAAGCAGCACTATAATATGGTATTAGCATGTCACTAAGGTCTTTATGTATTCTCACACAATATTGTAAATAGTAAAAAATGCAAAAACATGTGGACAGTTTTTTGAGCCACTGTATATCACAATCCTCTTCTCTGGACGCCAATTTATTGGCATCCATTGACCAATCTCTTTTGACCTTTCATTGAAACAAGGATGTTATCATGACATTGGGTGCATGGACTGGTATGAAGAAGACAATTGACAATTGGTACATATGCTGAGGGAATTGGATGATCCTGAAATCCAAACCTTGGTCCATGACATGTAGAGCAGGTGTGGGACCTGTGGCAGTGGGGCCTGCCAGTGACTCAGATGCCTTCTGCTGAAAACTAGATATTAGTAGTACTGAGAAATGAACATTGACCAGGCATGTACTTACTATTGCACTCAAGTTCCTCTCAACTTGAAGCTGGCAAGTTCCCGCTTTTCCTCTTCCCTTCTTCTTTATCACCACTGGAGTCATCACATTTTCAGGCTCATCAATGGGAACAACAACATTCCAAACCTTTGATTTGCCAGGTGCTCTGGCTGGAGTCTGGATAGCATTCTTGATCTTCTCTAACTGAGAATTCTTTCTTCTAGTGCTAGCACTAGGTCAGTTTGTATGGTGATGGGGAGGTTGGACCGATGTTGCTGGTTCATCATTGTCGATGCTGTCTGATTCAATAACCTGAACTGATGTAGAGAATGAGATTCCCCTAGGCGTAGATCACACATATTATGACTCATGACAATTGGTACAATGCACAACTCACTAGCTATGACTTTCCTGTGAAATGTGCCAGAGGCATGACACTTTCCCACACTATGTGATGCATTCCTGCACACGTGCTTAGCATGCTTTTCCCATGCTCAGTTGCCCTATGTTGCACAGTGTCCTGGAGCCTTCATTCATCATCCAACCAGTCCCCTGGTGCATCTCTTTCTATTTATTTTCATTATCAGACCATTTCTGGCATCATACAATATATCATTCCATCATGGACCCTTACATTACATCACTTACATACATGGAGTGCTCCCTGTTCACTTCCAAGCCCTGGGAGTGTGCCTAGGCACAGCTTACCTGTTGCCTAGAAAAGTTTTCATACACCAACCACCATCATGTCAGTTAATCTCTAGAGTGAGAATCCATTATCTTCAGTTAGCATGCATCAGTCATCGCCCTAGCCCTCAGCATCAGTCCATCAGCATCAGTCTCCTCTCAGCAGCCTCAGTTCACAACATCATGACTTCTACTAGTTTCTTATATGTTTGTGCACAGCATGCGCCCTATTCCCATACTTTGTGCTTGTATGCACTCCATATTCCTGTGCATGCACTTCACCAGAGTTGACCTGGTGTCACTTTGTGGATCCTTGCTTTCTTTGCTTCCCTTAAGGGTTGAACATATTGCTCAGTGCACTTTGACCAACACCTTAGAGAGTTAGAGGCCTTTCTCTCTCACCAGAGTGAGAGCCATCTTTCTTTCTTTTGCTCTGCAGCCTAGCAGAGTTGTTGAACCTTCACTGATGTGGCTTCGACTTGTTGCTTTTTCTGTCAGCCCATGGTAGCACACAACTAGATGAATGTCAGAGAAACCTACAACTTGAAATTGAAGGCTGTAAGATGTTTAATTACCAAGTACTTACTAGTAGTAGTAGTATCCAAGTCCGAGTCGTACCAGCACATTAATGTTACATACAAATCACGTAGCTGACTTGGATGTTTCTAGTAGTACCTCCATCCCTACTCAATGACATTCAACTGCCCTAACTGTTTGAAACAATTTAAGAGTGCTCAGGCAGTTTCGCGACACCTGAGCCAGCCCCTTACATCCTGCCTATGATGAATAGATCAGCTTGAGAGTGCAGCACAAATTTTGCAAGACTCACAGTTGGTGGACCAGCACACAACTCCCAACTCATCTGAGTTGTTATCTGACCCTCATCATTCCAGAATACCAAGTCCTTTACAAGATTCCCTAATGGACTTTCAAGTTCAAGTTGACAGTGGGGAAAAGGCAGACTTGGATGCTCACCATGGCATGCCAAGTGACTCAGACTATTTCTATGGCAATGACAGAGGCATGGTTGGCTTGGAGAATGATCTGCCAGGGTCCATTGAAGAGCCTTTGGGCAGCCAAGCTTCAGAGAAGCCTTATGTCAAGCACTTCAGGGATGCCATGAAGGTACATGTATATCGGCGCTGTCATGCATGGTATGGAGTTCAGTTTGTAAGCATGTCATGTGACTGGTAATATTCTGATTTGTAAGGATAATTTCCATGACTTATCATGTTTTGTCATGCTTTGTAATATTTTACTCATGTACTTTAGTAAGCAGCTGATTCAGCACACCAAAAAGGCTTGGTTTGTAAGCATATTCTTACTAATCCAGTAATGAGTCATTGCTGGGTAAGGATGGTTTCTAATATGTATATTAAGGACTCCATTCTCACATAATCAACAAGTTTTTCCCTCTTCTTTCTTGTCTCAAACCATGAGATTCATAAGATTTGAAGTGCAGGAGTTTTCCCTCTTTCTGTCTCAATAGTGTGAGATTATGAAGAAAGTGAAGGCCTCAAGATTGCCTTTAAAAACTATAGTATTTCTAGTCTAGATTGGTTGTATACTATCTTACAGGGGTCACCTATACAACAGTCTATTGTATTTGATTTAGCAGAGGTCCATATTACCTACTAGGTTTAAGTTAACCTAACAAAATATATACTTCCCTTTACTATCAAGAAGTGATCTAGCAAAGAAGTAATTTATTACCCTTTGGCCACCCATGAACAACACATTATCAACTGAGAAGTAGGAAATCCGTTGACTGTGAACTTGAGGAGCTGGCACCTTAGTCTTATTGAAGTACAATTGTGATAGTCATTGTATTTCACCTCAACTTATATAAGACCCTCAAGTAAGAAGACAGCATGGCCAGACCTTTCTAGATAGGTTTAACATGGATCCCTATGCAGTACATCACAAAGACAATTTGTACTATCCATTTGTGTCCTGTCAGGATTGGGAGCTTGGCAGTTTTCTCCTGTGCTCATCCTTAAGTATGGCAGCCATAGATGAGTTCCTGGGGCTGGAACTAGTACATGTTAAGTTAGTGAGTGTGTTGCTGTCACAAGTGCTGATTTCTTCCAAGGTTAAAGCATTGCCCCTTTCCTTTCATACTGCCAAGGAGTTACATGGTTGTTCTGAGCTGCTGCCTTCTGTTCCGAAGTGGCAGTACCACATCATCTTAACGACTGACCCAACCAAGAAACATCTACATCTCTACTGGCACAATCCATTGGATTGCATTGAATTGCTTTTTGGCTACCCACTCTTTGCAAACAGAATAGATCTCACACCTCAATGTGTGTATGATACAGCAGAACATACAGTATGAATTTACAGTGAATGGGTGATGGGGGACACAGCATGGTCAATGCAGGTATGTACTCTACAGCATCAACGATCTCCAAGCTTGTCTTACTAAGTCTCACACCCTGTCATAGTCACAACTTCCGGATGGTGCAACATTGTTAGGCATCATCCTTTCTCCCAATAAAACCAACATTACCAACATGACTGGTTGATCAGCCTTGCCAATATCAAGATGGCAACTTGAAATAAGGACATCCTCCCATGCTTTCCTCCTGACAGTGCTGCTTCCAATTGCAGAATTTTGGCATCTGGTGAAACGGATGCAGAGTGTTCTCAAGGCCTGCTTAGTCCACCAATGTCTAGATATTGTGCTGGAGCTGCCCAAGCAAGCTGCACACATCGGGCAGATGATGTCAGACCCACTTGGGAACCTCAGATATTGTTTTACCCCCTTAGCCTCATACATTGTCAATACACCTGAGTCATGCATGCTTGCATGTGTTCAAGGAAAGACCTTGCCAGTAACTATGGCTATGTATAAGAATTTTGGAGATGCCTTCCAACACCCCCCTCAAACAGCTAAAACAACTCTCAGCCAGCTTTCAAGCATTGATTATGATCCTCTTGACGTTGAAGGCTACTTCAATGCATGTGCCACCTTCCACCTGAGCAGTGTGGCCCAGCCATTCTAGCGCAATTGGCCACTTGCAGATCCATATCTGTTTTTGACTCCAGAATCCCTCCATCACTGGCACCATGAGTTCTATGGCCACAATGTTAAGTGGTGTCTCACAGCTGTTGGTGAGCAGGAACTAGACTTTCACTTCTCCATTTTACAACCACTCATGATGTTCCAATGCTTCCATTGTGGTATTTCAAAGCTTAAACAAGTCACTGGAAGAGCCCAGCATGACATGCAACATTATATTGTTGCTCTCATTGCAGATGCAGCCCCCCATGGTGTCATCATAGCTATTCACATGCTGATGGATTTTTGCTACTTATCACAAGCAACTATGATCAATCAAGCACAATGTCAAAAGATTCTGGGTGCCCTTGAGGAATTCCACAAACATAAGCAAGATATAATTGCTTGCGGTGCACATTGAGGTGCCAAGAGCAAACAGGTCCTTGACAACTGGCATATACCCAAACTGGAGTTGATGCAGAGTGTTGTGCCCAGTATACATCAAGTCAGTTCTCTCTTGCAGTGGTCTGCCAACACCACCAAGCATGCTCACATCACCCTAATCAAGGATCCTGCAGATTCTACCAACAACATCAATTATGATCCTCAAATATGTCAGTTTCTTGATCGCCAAGAAAAGTGTCAAAATTTTCAGATCATGACATCAATAATTGCTTGGTCAGAATCACAGTCACAACTTGAAGCCTCCACTTCTTAAATGATGGACACTGATTTGGAACATCATGACTCAGATGAAGGTCCACTGACATGTATTGATGAAGCTCATTTGCAGACAGTTTCACATGATCTCTGGGGGCCGAAGCATGTTGTGACCAATTTTTTCAGGAAGGCAGAGCAAGTCTCTTTGGATATCAAAGCAGCCAGACCTCTCCGCACATTCGTGGTTGGTGCAACAGCAATTTACCTCAATTTTGATCCTTCCATATGATGCATACCAGTTGATGTCATTGCTGAAAAACTATCTCTACCCAACTTGCAGGGAGCACTCACTGACTATATTCAATGAGAGGGTGGTATGGCTCAGACATTCCACTTGCTGGGGAGACAACGCCAAGCACTGTCTGATGCACCTCTTCCATTTGATGACCTTATGGTCTGGTTCAAAGTGCATGTGCAGCAGGCATCATACCATCCCCCATCGATCATTCCTCCTGCTCTCATGCTCAATGCATCTCCCCTGAGCACAACTTGGAAGTATGGCCACTACAATGCTGCTATTTTTGCTGTTGATGACACCAGACATGAACAATGGCCTACTAGTGGGCTTAAAGGTACATTTTTTTCAAATTTTTATTTCTGAGTTTGATGTCTGAGCAACTTGCAGGCCATGCTGTTGTTGAGGTGCACCTTATCATGCAACCACTTCCTCCACGAGGAACTAGTAGTAGTGCCTCATGGGCTGCACATTTCCTTACATACATTCAACAGTTGGATGTCATGCCTCAGCGACATGGTAACTTACTAGAACACACAATGCAAATGCATGTTTTAAAGTGTGCAATGTGATCAGCAAGGACTCCCTTTGGTGATGTTCAGATCACATGCTCAAGGGGGTTGGATCACAAGGGCTTGGCCTCAGCTCATATGCTGTGCCCCTTTCCCAAGTATGTGCCCTTAATTTCTGGGGGCTAGAACAGTTGTCCAGAGTTTCCAGGATTTGATTAGGGCAGACAACAGACGTCTGGATCTGAAACGTGAGATAAATCCAATGGATGTCCAGATGTTACTTGGACAAGTGGATAAGACTAATCTGGACAAAGTCCAGACTAGAAACTAACGGAGGATAGACTACCCTAAGGTAGAGCCAGAGATGTAGTCTAGGATACAATCCTAAGACTCAGAATATGACAAGAGACTTGGCTCAAGTCTGGAGGATACAGGAATGAGCAGGAACTAAGATGATATTTGAACTGAAGTATTTCCAAGAGTTACAGGAGGTTTATATACTGTAGGTATCATATAGGAATCAGTCAGCAAACACAAAGGCTATGTATGAAGCATATGCAAAGTCTATTAGTAAGTAGGACAGATCACAAATAATGAACACCAGAAATGAAATGTATGTAACAGATCAATAATCAGAAGGGAAACATAGTTAACTGGAGTCTGGAGACAGGGGAAGTCTAAATGGGGTTGGGCACTGATATAGGGTTTGGATTCTGGAAGGAAGATAAAGATAGATCAGATCATTGGAGATCTGGATCTCAGATCTGGATATCCAGAGAAGTGGATTTAGAGTTGAGAGTCTGGAATGGCATATGACAGGTGACATCCTCCCACTAGATCAGCTTCATTCTCTGGCTCACATTATCCCTCACTTTGGCCATGTTGCTGATTCATGTCTAACAGTGGAAAATAGTGCTCATTTTGCTCAGACATTCTTCTTGAACAAATACATTGACAAGGACTTCTACTATGCTATCTCAAACTCCGAGTTGTAGTAGTACTACTAGTATTTTTTTTCAATTGTGTTAAAATAATATATCAATGGTTCAAGAGCTCTATGTACTGGGTGTATGGCACTATATGTCACTATATGTTACTGTAGCATCATGGAATGTACACCATCCTGCAAGAATCTGCTGTGTAGTGATGTACAGCACTACCTCAGGCACATGGCTTTCAGCTGACTAGATCTGAATATCAGTGGAGCAGGCCCTGATTGGTAGGCCACTGGTTGTTGTCATCATACCTCTCTCTCAATGCCTGTCACCAGCACAATCATGGCTCTTCCAGTTATCTATTCTAAGTTCTCAAAGAGTTCAAAGTCTTGGCTCCCAAAATCACCATCACACAGCTTGATCCCCCCTCCTCCATGTGTACAACAAGAACACTTTGAAAAACCCCCATGTTCCTTGCACCATCATGTACCAACAGACACAGAAGTTCATGACAAACAAGTTCTTGAAGACCTCAAGATAGCAATAAAGACAAGACTCAACATTCAATTTACAGACTTGGATAATCAAGATTCTTTAAGCTTAGGTTAGTATTTCTCAGATCACTTATCACCTACCAATCTTCTCTCTAACCATTCATCATCACAAAGACCACTGTGCAGTCATCCTCAAAGCACTTCAACATCCTCAAGCCAATACAATTGTAGGCTGATTTATACTTGTTGTAGATTAATATTTACCATAATCTGAGGTCATCACCGATATTACACCTGCAGAATATGCAGCAGTGGTAGCATTTATGTCAGAAGAGCGAGATTTGAAAATCAGAGCAAAGTGAACCTCAGAGTAGTAATTGAGTCATATTAATACACTGACCACATCCTATCTCTCCCTACAGATTTGTCTACTTAGTGGATACTCGAGATCTCCACATCATGCCCCCACTCCCTGTCCACAAACAACCAGCTGCACACCTTGCAAAGGCCATCAACTATGCTGTTGAATCTGCACAAATATTATTGTGTCCCCCCAAAACAAAAATGTGTGACCCCCAGGAAAAATGTGTGCCCCCCCTGAAAAAAATAGTGTTGCCCCTAAGAAAAATGTGTCACCCCAAAATTATATTATGTCTCCCCCCAAAACAAAGTATGATTCTGACAATTTATGTATGTTTTTTTATCATGGTAAGGCTCATTTCCACTTGGACTTACAAGAAATAAACCAATTAAAAAGATTGTAGTAAGAGACAGTTACTATGTATGATTAACAGAATATAAACCACAATATAAAAGTGCATTTAAAAGGAGGGATAAATCTGTAGTGTCAGTTTGCGATAGGAAGTTGGGTATGACTTGGACAATATAGGTGCAAAATAATTACAAATTAAATGATAGGACCTAGAAATCAAAGAGATGATTTCCTTCCCATGGGTTATCAAGACTGGGATCAATAACAAAAGACCCAGAGGCCTGTAAGGTTGGTGTTGCAAAAATTTCACCAGTCTGTGATGGGAGTGTTGAGACAGGCCCAGGTGACTCAAAAGGCTCGAAAGGGGCAAGGTCAGCCTCCACTGCTACCTCTGGCTCAGCTACAACCTCATGATTGTCTAGCTTGAAGGAACTGAAGAAGTTATCAGGGTATTCATTGTCACTTGCAGTTAAGTCAACTATAGTGGCTGATTCAGATAAGTTTTTGGAGTCTGATGCTGGCAGGATCTCATCATCAGTTCCTGGCAATACTGATGTTCATCATGAGTCTATTGACAATCAACAAACAAAACCAATGGACTGTACCTTGACAATATTTGCTTTTTTGGGGGGGCTTGGATAAGCTTGACTTGGATGAGGAGTCGTCATCTGAGTCATCAGATATGCTCTCAGACTTGGTGAGATCATGAGATGTTGATCTAGATGGGAGAGAGGGTATCTTATCCTTCCCTTTTCATTTCGTCCCATCCTTGTAACACTGATGTTGGGATGCTCTGGCAAGTGGCTAAGAAATAAGCTATCAGTAGTCTGTGTGAAGTGAATGAACTAAGGACTGACCTAGAATGACCACATTTTCTCAAAATCCACCTCTCTTATTTGTCCTTGCATTTCATGCCACCAATGATCCATCAGGAATTGGATACCAGGAGGGATTACAATTCTTCACTTCTCCTTGACACACAGATAGTATTGGGGCAGATATTGAAAGATCTCATCTTGGTGCTCCTTGTAATCTGGATTAGGCAACTTTGGCAAAGCATCAAGATAAAGGAAGAGTCATAGGAAAAATTTGTGAAGCTCAAGGTCAAAGAGCATAAAAGACCAGTTCTTGCTGATGACAATACCATCATCATGATCTGTGATTGCTAGTCTCATGACTTCAAGAGTCTGGACTTCTACCAGAGTTGGCATTTGAGGATTGTGAAGAACAGGTGTCAGAAGGGGGATGTATGAATGCAAGGTCTTCTTAGGCTAACAAGGTTAGAATCAGTAATCTCAGCCAATAGTAGTCGCAATATCAACTACTTACCTGTTTTGTCCCACAAGGAATGAAAATGATTTCACCAGCTATAAACTGGAAGTCAAGAGGACAAGCTGACTTTGACTAGTAAACAAGTATTCCAAGTCCATGGCATAAGCAACAACTCCTTTTCAAACATGCTGGCACTTACTTTGGGGACCATCTGGGCCTTAGACCTGCTGTGTGATTGAGAAGCAGACTTTAAACCTTGGTTGGCCTTGCTATTGGCCTTTCTATAGGCAGTTGAAGATCCAGCTGAACCTCTGAGCAATTCCTGCAGAATAGAGTTAACTGCTAGTGTCAAGCTTGATTTTCTAGAGGTTTCCATCTGCTTAGACTCCAAGGTAGAAGGATGTGAATTGGAACCAGATGAAGTTTTATGAGAGCTGCTGGCTTGTTGCTTATGCTTGAGAGCCATATGAAAGAATTGAAAAAAACAAAGAGTAGTGAAGGAGTGACTGGTAGAGACAGGACAGAAGTATTTGAAAAAAAAGAAAGTCGATTATAGATTGTAGTAGTATGAAAGTGGTTGTAATTGAATTCAACCACATTACCCATCATGTGATCTGTGGCTGCTCATGTCATATAATTGCATAGTCACTTTAAACTTAACATAGTCAATTCAGACTGATCACTCTTATATTAATAGTCTAGATATTGTAATTGTAATTAGCCATCAGAATCATCATGATTACCAACACTAGCAGTAGTACTATCTGTGTCACTATCTGATTCAACATTGGTACCAGCAAGCTCCAAAAGCCTGATCATAATATCAAGTGCTCAACACCACTGGATTGCCCTAGGTCACCAAATAAAGTCAGGTAAGGGGATTCGTAGTTCTTTGGTCCCTTGTCATCCTGATTGAATTATTTCATGCAAAGGATACTCGTCATCATCCCATTCATGTGGAAGAATACCAAATCCATCTGGGATATGCTCTGCCTCTTGTACTTGATCAAGGGCTTGACAAAAGGTGTTGTAAAGAGTAGCAGAGCGAAAAGGACTGGCATGTTTTGGGACACAGACAGGCTTATGGTAAAAATGGGCATTGTGATCTGCAGCGATAAGCTGGGGAAGCTCTTGTAGATCTTCTGTACCAATGTCCTCTGCATCATTAATATCTTCCCATTCCTCTTCTGATTCTTCATTGTCTGATTCTCCATCAGTAGATCTAGAAGCTGAGTATACCTCATCTGAGGGATGACCTGCTCCAGTTTGATGGGGTGCACAATGAATAGGCCTTCCTGCAGTTCCATAGTATTGTCTGATGATATCAGGATGGACTCCTTCACAATTGTCAGCATATAGTCCATGCTTGAGCTGGCCCATAAGCCTCATATCCTGATAGATACAAAATCAAAATCAATTTATTTAGCTGGCTGTGTCTGAGCTATTAGATGACATACATTTGGGCTTTGATCATGTCCTTCTCCAGAGATAGGGTGTACATTCCATTCAGCTTAAAATGTGTCACAGTCAGACTCGATCTGTCTGAGGAACAGCTCATGTAATAGCCAAAGATGCTGGGCATTAGATACATTGAGTCCATGAAGCCTCTTGAGCCAGTAGAAAAATGCACACCACATGCGAGCAAATTGAGTGCTGACCTCAACCCAGGATCATTCAATCCTGCTGTTGTGAGTTGATCTAGCAGGCAGCAGATTTTAGAACAACTAATGTAAGCAATTAAAGTGTGGTTACTTATAATCCCCACATAAAGCTTGCATGGTTAGGCCCTCTAGTCATGATCATATAAACTGATACCTTCTTGTTTTCTCCACCTCTATCACCTCGTACTCTTGAAGGTGTACCATAGAGAGTGACTGCATTCAAAAACACCTCAAGCACTGTGAATGCACTATTGCTTGTGCTAGGATGAATGGTGACCATCTAAAAGTCAATATCTATCAGATATGGGTGGCTAGTCAAGAATAATAGCCTACTGTGCGACAATACCCATCAATGATACCATGGATTATGATACCCCAACAAATCAGCTTATGGTGACCATCCATGTGCCACAGAGCATTCAGCTGTAAAACCTTGTACTGTTGCCATTGAATCATAGTGCGTTGTCAGAGGACAGTTCCTAAGGGATCAACATGGTGGATAGAGGCAGTAATACACTGCTGCTGTATCCACAAGCCCAGCTGTCATAGATGGCCAGTAAGATAGTGAACTCCAGAATTTGGTTTCATCTGACGAAATTCCCAAACAGCATGATCCAGGTCAGCATCTGAGATTAAGCTATACTTGTAGCTAACATTGTTCTGCTTCAAGTAGGAGCACAAAGTATTATGGTGGATACCCATGACTTGTGCAAGTTTGGTTTGTTGTAGATGGCGACCAGGAGAGGCAAATTCATGCAACAACTGAACATTTGGCACCTTACATGGTCTCCCTGGTTTTCCAGTGTGTTCAGTAGTGATTGGCTGTAGAACTGAAATATTTGATGTTTCACTGGCAAAGGACTAGATATTAGAACTACTGCAGTAAATATGGTAGGCTTACCCTCCTTGTGCTGTTGTTTCAGCCTGCTGCAGCTGCTTCAGTAGCATTCCAAGTCTTGCTGTGACTTGAAGAACCCAGGACATAGGAATGCCCTCTACCAAAGAAGAATTCTCCAGTGCATGTAGTAGTGGTATGGCATTGTTGGCAATGGCCTCAGCATGAAAATGTATGCAGTGCAGTTTGCTGCAAGTCTGGAGTGCTTGCAATGCATGACAATAGATGTAGAACAGAGTGTCATGGGCTTGATGCAGATGATCAGGCCAGACACCTGAGCCATCAATAGGCTGTGGTAATGGAGGTAGATCCATTGTAGCTTGAGTCAGGTTAACACAGCACTTTGACCAATATTTGTTATGTAATCATCCAAGTGTTTACTGTTGTTGATTTGGTCAATCCATGGTGGGTGAGACGATATGAAGTTCATCTGGCCATTATACAAGCCCACCTAGTACTATCTGAAGCTCTTATCCACCATGGATGTTGATCAGAGATTGGTTCCTCACAGGCATGGTGAGTTTTGGTTCAGAGATGGAAACATTGTCTTTTGAGTAAGTTCTAAAGTGAATGTCTCTTGAGTTTCACTCAATTTCTGGCTGGTTTCTGGATTACTTCTACCACAGGCTAGCAATACCTTATTTTGTGTACATCGAGGTGTACTTGTTTGGCAATTTCCTGCTTTGGAAGCAATTTTGGCTATGCCATCAGGTTATGATACTGATGGTACAGAGCAACTTCCCATCGTCCTACATCAGATCTCAGAGGAGGACTTTACATATTTTCTCAACTGGGTTTACCACATGTATGTGTAGCCATGATATAGATTGTATATTATAGAGTGGCTTAATTGGTGTGTTCTAGCAGCTCGATTCCTCCACCACCTGAGGAACAATTGCTTGTTGCTATCCTTAAGGTTTTGCACCTGTGGATGATAAGCAATAGCATCAAGTTCACTATTGATGGGCTGGAAAACCTTGCCCTGCAGCCTACTTGCAGACTAGAACTTGCTTGGTTATATTCCATACCCCAGTGGATTGCTCCAGCAATCTGTGAGATCATATTGCTGTCACTTGTGAACACTACTGATACCAAGGCTGCTCAGATGGGGTTCAAAGTATATACAATTATTGCTCAGGCAAAAGAGGTGATAGAGCGAAAACGACAAGCATTGGCAGCTTACCCACCCTCACTCCTTGTTTCACCATCTTTCAGCTGCTCAACTCACTTACATAGCTGGTGCAAGGAGGCATGGTTAGGATTCTGGTGGAAGAAAGTAGCTCGTGCAATCCTCCACCCAACAAACCCACTCCCACTGGCACAGACCCTCCAACTCATCATTAAGGCCCCATTACCTGTTACGAACTTGGATAGAGTGTCGTTCCAATAAAGGAATCAAGGATCAAGGTTGATCAAGGACTAAGCCTTATTGAGTCAATGCCTCCCTCAGGAGTGATCGTCTAGACTCCTGCAGGATCTAGAGTTCAAATGGGACAAATGGCTAGCCTCCTTCCCAAGGAGCTAGAGTTCAAGTATCAGAGAGAACTGAGTAGATTCAAGTTAGAGAAAATACAAGTGGTAACTAGAGTTTATATATGTAAGGGAATTGTGCACAGACAAAGCTGGGCAAAGGGTAACTACTACTAGGAAAGGAAGGTTCATGGGAAAACAAGGTATGAGTCAGAGATAAAGGAGACCATGAGGAAACAGCACAGTGAAAAGGAAGTGTTAGAAGTACAGCCATATAGGAGTCCATAGTGATGATGGGAAAAAGAGTGGGGCACTGTAACATTACCTGATGGTATGAATATTGCATGCAGACAAGCTATGGTTGATGCAATGATAGAATTAGATAGGCTTGAGGTCGAGGAGAGGATTATCAAGGGAGTCATAAGAGCAGTCACTTCATATTTCAGCTTGAAACTGTGGGTGTGATGGTAGGTTGTTGTATAGAAGCCAGGATTTTATGTCAAAAAATCAAAAAAAAAAAGCATAAATGTAATGAAAACAAGCAACAAATGATTAGGATAACCTCTACAGTGAATAACATGACATAATTAATTGTGGCAATGGGGGGAGTTGAACAGCAGAGCTTCCTGGCTAAATCCTGCATAGCATCACAACAGGGACCAAGTTACCACTACACTATCCAGCAGATACTGTAAAAATAAATAAATAATATATGTCATATGAAAAGTGCCAAAATTGCGAAAATGGTCAGCCATTCTGCTGCTGACCACTACACTTTCAACCGCCACCATGGCCTCACAATCAAGAAATCCTACCCATCTGAGACAATGTATGTGATATTTTACCATCATTATCTAGGCTAATATACTGGTGGTGCATAGACTTTGAGCATCTAGCTGGAAGTACATGCTTTATGTATGCACTTAAGATTAGATCAGATCTTGATAAGGATCTTCTTGCTTTTGGGGATGATCCAGGCCTTGCAAAATCTGTAAGTATGTTTCTATTACAATATCTATGCTAAGATCTGAGTGTTTGTATATCCAGGCTAGTCATCTGTGGCTCCTGGCTACCAAGAATGCTGCATTGGTGCCAGAATCTCTCAAGGAGGCTCTCAGTGAGTATTCCCTCCATTACCACAGAAAGAGGAATGTGGCTCGCTCTAAGAAATGAACCATTGTGAGTGTTCTCTCTGCTGTTGCTGAATTATTTTACACTGTACTTGATAGGCAAAGGCTCTCAGCCTACATGCTACCCCACTGACAGCCCAGTCTCTTGCAGCCACTGGTATGGTCAAAGTGGTCATTCATGATCACTTTGATGACACCAGCTTTAAGTGGGGCACTCTTTTAGTAGACTGTGGCAATGAGGATCTGGTTGACAGTGGGAGTTCCACCCTTTCTGTTCCTGTTGATGGTTCTTGGTATGTGATTGAACCAGATGAAAGCATTATTTTCTTCAATTCCAATGGTATGAATGGTCTTTTTGTCTTTCATGTCTGACTCGTTTAGTATATAGGTTTGGTCTCGCTTGCTGTACTCCATGGGAGGTGTAGCCAGCATCCTGACCTGTTGACTTATGTCAACAATATCATCAATGAGGCTGTCAATGACCACAAGGGAGTCAGGGTGAGTTTTTTCCCATCTTAATTCAGTATATGTTTCTGACAGGTTGGATAGCCTACTCATAGGGGGGAGCTGATTCAGTTTGGCTGGAATGCAGGTCCCCGCCATGCATGTGTCTTTGGTCTGGTGAATAACCTTACCAATAAGAGGCTTTCAATGACTGCAAGGCAGGAGAAGGACTCTCATGCTTTAGGAATTTTGGCTTTGAGCTGGAATTTGCTGGTAGCTAGTCTTCCTGCTGAGGTCAGTGCATCCTGTATCGAGGCAATTGATGGGGCAGGCCTGCCTTCCATGACCATCAAAGGCGATGGCTCAGGTGAGTGTCTTACATGTAATCTCCATGCTATGATAGGGACTCATATATAATACCTAGACTCTGGGTATACCCTGGACTTACCTAATGGTCCTCTCTGCTTTTCAACAGCTAAGCAGGCTCCCTCTGAGGGATACATGTCTCAAAACTACGAATCATAAGTGTGTTGCATCTCATTAGAGTCACTCTTGATGTCACCTCTAGCCCCATTCACACTGACCAACTCTATGCCCCATATGCAATGAACTGGGTTACTCTTCATAGTATCATGGATCCAGATCAATGCCAGCTTCACAGTGATTGTAGTTCTGGTGGGAATTATGTTGATGTCTCACTCAGGGTGGTGGTGAAATGTGTCACTGACACAGTCATGGTAAGTTTGTCTCTCTTTGTGATTCAATATTTTTGTTGATAACATGTGTGACAGAGCATGCAACCCAAGTTCAAGCATGGTACAACCCTCGCTTGAGAGGGTGTCTGCAGGCAAGGAACTGCAATTCATTTCTTGAGGTACATTAAGAAAGCATTTGATGAGGCAATTGCAATTAAAGGTGATGTTGAAGCAATGGTGACTCAACTTGTAGAGGGGGCGAAGTGAAATTATAGATTGTATCAAGTAGTCTTCTAGTTGCATACAAACCATTTGGAATCACACTTTGTTTTTCAGGGGTGACATAATATTTTTCTTGGGGTGACACTATTTCTTTCAGGGGTGACACTATTTTTTTTTGGGGGAGGGCACACATTTTTTTTGGGGGACACACATTTTCTCAGTGGTCACACATTTTTGTTTCGGGGCGACACAAATAATATTTGTGCAGATTCAACAGCATAATCAATAAGTTCACAGAAGCCATCCCTTATGACAAACTTCTGATCAACATCACTATGCACCTCAATCACCATATCCAAAACAAGGACCCCATGAACATTCCAGACCTACACCTTACTGTCACAGCGCAACCACCAGAGGATATGGAGTCAGATGAGATGGCAATAGCAAAGCTGGTTTCAAAATGGGTTGGAGAATGCAGGCTTTCCTTGGATATGAACTGCATGGTGTGCAAGCTGAGCATCACATGTGATGGTCATCAAGACATCAATTACGCTCTTGTCATATCCTTCAAAAAGTGAGCCAAATGGCACCAGCCAAAAGAAGAGAACATCCCTGCCCAACAACTTCACTTGGCTCCTGCATTGGATTATGAGGAGTTCATCCCTCCCTGCATCAAGAAGAGCTTGAGGTTTGGACTAGTGGAGCTCAAGTCTCACATCTGGATTGATATCTCATCAGTAAAATCATGAAGTCCTTATTTGGCTTTCAGCTGATTAATCAGCTTTGGACTTTGAACCAAAGTTGCATTTTGCTGAAAAGGTGGGATAAGGTGCACAAAGTCAAAGTTCTTTCAAGGTGCAAAAAGAGCAAAAACACAATACATAGATTTAAGGAGAATAATCAGATTCAAGCTGTTATAACTGCTACCAAGGTAAAATTACTAGTTGTATAATGAGAGTTCAAACATGAAAATTAAAAGATTATGATGCAATTTCAAATGCGTGATGATCAACATACTTGTTAACATAATAAGCTCAAAAAGCATCATAGGACATGTGCAACATGATGTCAAGAGGAAGGAATTGGTTGCCATAGATAGGGATGAGGTGAGCGGCATAGTAGATGGTGTCCGCATGTATGATAGTGTGTGTAGGCGCACAGTTGGCATAGTAGGCTGGGCAAACCACCCACATTCCCATCTCTAGGTCAGGCAAGCCCCCAATGACATCAAACCAGTGCACAATGGTGCATGGGTACACTGTTCCTGCATAATTGAATGAAAAAAATGCCCAAACCCTTGCAACATCAAGCCCTCAGATTCCTTCAGTGTCTGATCCTGTATTAACAAAAACACAATCATGACAAGAAAACTCATTCTGCCACATAGGGCAGGAACAGATATGTTCTACTCACATGCCACTGATCCCAGAAAGGTCACTTGGTATGTAGAATCTTGAGCACATGGAGTTGAAGACTGATATCTTTCCTTCATACCTGGGGCAGGCAGCAAGAGGGATGTCATACATGTTGAGTGTGTTGTCTGGGCATGTTTGCTCATAAAGAAAGCGGCGGATTAAGGCAGGGAGAGATGGAAGGTGCAATTCGTCAGCAAGAGCCAATACATTGCAGCCATGCTTTGTTTCTGTGCATGATGCTGCATTAAACTTGTAGTCCATAAATATAGCTACAAATGACACTTACGAACTGTTCAAGCAAGTTGAGTGTGTGCTTGTAGAACAGTCAGGCCATGGTCAATCATTAAGTTGTTGCTGTCCTCAAGATTACTTGCTTGGTTTGGTAGGGGGTCATTGGGGTCTTCATCATTATGGACATCAGGATTGTCTGACATACCTAAGCATGCATTAGTACTGGATAAATTTGAGAGAAAATAGTAACTACATATGCACTGAGAGCCTCAAGTTCAGCTGAAAGGCAGGTACCCTTCAAAATTCCATGGCTTTCAAAATCAACACACACAGCAGCGAGTTTACTAAGATGCTGGTTTGTGACCAGCATCTGACCAAGTGCTTTGTATTTACTTGACCACCTCCATGGTTCCTTCACAGCCTTGATGTGTTTGCTCCCAGTGATTGATGAGCAAAGTCCATTGGGGGTGCCAAAGAGCCGGATAACATGTGCATAGTGCATAAGAGAGTGTTGTTGTGGCAGTGAAAACGTTGGAATGACACCAGAAGTCTTGAAACCCTCATGATATTGATGGAAACAAGAGACGGCATCTTGAATTTCATCCAGGGTGCACTCTGTGATGGTGTTTCGATGTACAAGGTAGCAGAACTCTAGCAATGCATGGAATGTGCAAACAACATCTGTCAGTATGTGCCCCTCGATTGCAAGAATGTAAACCTAAGTTTATCAGTAAAAGTCGTTGGTAAGAGGAATGAATTCACCTTCATGAGGGCTTTGGAGTCATCCCCCATCCATTGCTTGAAGCCACATCCTTGCAGAAAGTGGCACAGACCAGAAAATGAGGCAATGGCTGCAATCCTGAGTGAGAATTTAGTCAATAAGTTAGTAAAAGGATGTTAGATTCATACCTGTGATCAATATCATCTAAGATACAGTCCACTTCAGTCCTCCCTTGAGTAAGCACAAGGTATTTCTCCACCCAATCCACAAGATGGTCCTTAAATGTGCCTTTGATAACTTGATGTAGGATGTCTGGGGTCATTGTTTCATGAATGTCAGTGTGTGGGAAGTCATTTGTGAAAGGCTGAATGACAGAAATGTCAACCTGACTCTAGGTCTCAGAGCAAACATGTAGACTTACAATTAAATCAGCGACTATTCCAAACTCTGTCCACAGTTCTCCATAAGTACCCACTTCAAACAAGGCTTCATGGTATTCGTGGCACTGAAGGACTGAGGTAGCATTGAGATTATGACAATGAGAGCTGCATCTAAAAGAGAATTAGTCTTAATGCTAATGAGATAATACAAATATTTTGTCACCTTGGACACCAGAAGTGGACTATGCATGCAAGGAGAACTTGCTCCTCATAATCGGTAATGTATGGCCTCAGTCCATGAATTATGTGCCAAAAATGACCATCTCCAAACTTCACAATTTCAGGTTTTGACATCCCAGGCCGAAGTGATGCAAGTATCCTAGACAGCGATGAATGGAATAATTGGCAATGGAATTTGTGAAACTTTGGGTCATCTGTGTGTTTCTTTGTAGCTATACAGTTGAAATTAATACTTGAGTGTTGGATTGCTCAAAAGATATGGACGTACTTTTGGGCATTGCAAGGAAGCCAATTACCACAAGTGCATCTTGATGTGCACAGTGAACATTGTTATGAACATTTCCAATTGAATAAAGTGGGTAGTACTCATTGTTCCCCATCGCAACAGAAACCATCGTCTTGTCACTTCTGAGGATAATGGGCACAAAGGTGGAGCCAATTGTTTCTAGGTCTCCAGCAATGATATCCTGTAATGAGTATAGTTAGTTATGTTTAAGAATGCCAAATTTAAATAACTTAGAGTGAAGGAGATGAAGAATGGTGAGTCTCATGCTAAGAAAAGGGAGGGGATGAAAAATGGGGAGTTCTGGTAATCCAGGGCCAAGAGAAGGGAGGGTATGAAATGGGGAGTTCTGGTAATCCAGGGCCGAGAAAAGGGAGGGTGGTAATGGTGATAAAATTGAACACTTACTGCCTGATTCCAAGCCCAATCAGCTGACATAAAATCTCATAACTGCCGTTCATCTCCATTGGTAGTGTACTTGTGATAAGGCTGGTAATCCATTTCATTAGCATATGCCGGATTCGCCAACATGTTGAGAATGACCTCCCAAGGATCTCAGTACCAGACATCATAAGTCCCATCCATCCAGGGTGGGTAGCCATCAGGATTCTCACCTGTGTATGTGCATGAGAAGCCCTCCTACTTCACATTGCCTAGTGCAATTGAATCAATTGTTGCATAGAGGTCTTTGTGATCTGCAAAGGGTGGGCTGCCACTGGATTTTAAAAGTGTTGTTGCCCACAGGTTGAGAAGATGGTCAATTTGTCCTGCTGGCATCTGATTTTTTATGTAGAAAAACTCGGTGGTTTTGAATTCTGCATGGTTTCGAAATGGTGTCCAATCATTTGGTGATTTGGGCTCAGGAGGTAGAGGTGGTGTACCCTCAGGAAGAAAATGGCCATATTTATCACAAGGTCAACCTTAAAGCTCATAATTAGAGTCTGAACAGAAGGACAAATGCAAAAACAAACCATCTAACAATGTATGGTAGTTGCAATAGAGCAAGTTTCCAGGTCCAAAGAATTCTGTGTGTACATTGGGAGGAGGAGAAGCTCATAATGCCTCATCACCATCACCATTTGGCTGACCTAGAAGCTCACTGTCCTGAAAAGGATTGTTGGTGATGTTGTTGGGGTGGCTTATGTGTGGTTCTGGAGAGGCTGGAGGAGATACAATAGGGTGGGCAGAAAGAATATGCTTTGTGTGACTGGCAGTAGTCTTGAAGAAATGTTTGCAGCCCACATTGCCACAAGGGACTTGGAATGCACTGAAGTCTCACCAAGCAACCTGAGTGCAAGGGACAATTTCTGGCATGCTGAGGAAGATAAAGGCAAGCAGAAGTGCCAAGGGCCAAAGCAAGGCCCTCTGCATTGTGGATACTAGTAAGCATAGTGCAAGCCTAAATTCAATAGTGTTTGTTTGGCATGTTGGGAGAGGACGTACAAATTCATTTTGGATCATTTGAAAAACCTTGCTCTCAACTAACTCAAATTTCCATCCCTCCAAGTCTTGGATTTGCTGGTACTAATGTCTCAAATGATTGAGCCAATCCACTGCACCCATGCCAAAAATACAACTGCTCACCCTGGTCAAATTGTACTGGATGCCCAACAGAAGTGCCAGACACCCAAAGCAAAGGCAGCTGATGAGAAGTGTCTCAAAGCTGCTCAAGAAGCCAAGGAAGCACTGGCTGTGGTGGGGCTTAACCAGCTTGCAGAACTGCAGGCCAGCATGGAAGAAGCCCAGGCGACAATGACAAAGCCCAAGGCTGTCAGGCCACATCCTTTACCTAAGAAGCAGTGAGGTACTGCCAGTGCAAGCAATGATGACAAACCTACCATTGTTAGTGGTATCATTATGAGGGCACAACCAGCAAGGGAGGATGCTGATGAAGATTTCCTGGCAAGTGACGATGATTCAGGTGATGATGGGAGGAAAAAGAAAGGAGGGAAGAATGCACGGTTGCTAAGCAATGCCATAGTCAAAGCTCACAAGAACTTATTCACTGCAAAGGCTGATAGTTGTGATCAGCCATGTGTGAACAAGAAAGGCAACTCCTTACCATGAGTTGCACATTCCTCAACCACCATGTTCATTCTCTCTGAATCTACACTTTTCTTTCACAATCTGACTTTGCAATCAAGGGCCAAGTCAATTTTGGGTGGCCGCATTCAGAACTGGAGAAAGGATGTCTACTACAAGCTAAAGACCACAAGCAATTCACTCACTAGCGCAAGTCAAGTTCCTCCATCTACCATATTTTCAAAGTCTCAGATATTGCATGACTCAACTGGTACTTCTCTAAGCTCACATCCTTGTGAGCCTCAACTGCCTAGCTCCAAAGGTTTGCCCAAGATGCCTGAAGTTACACACTTGGATGAGCTTGTTGGAGGATTTGGAGATGAGGATCTTGATGATTCATTTGAGCATGCTGTTGCATTGCATAATCATGGCAAAGTAGTAAGCACTGGCAGAATGGTAACCATCAGTTGATTTTATTCATTTGTTTGTACTGATTTTTTGCCCAAGTCCACCGTTGAAATTACTTCCCATAACACTGATCCAGACCTCATGCTGCCACCTCTTGCTCAATGACAATCTCAAGTTAATTCTACAAGGAAGAGAAAACAATTCATGGACATAACTCAAGGCATTTCCGAAGAGGATGATCTCTTGAGTCTGCAAGAGGAGATTGATGATATTGTGTATGAACCAGCTTCTGATGATGAGGAAGCCATGCAGGTCGATGAAATAGAGGATGTGGTGAAGAAGCCTATTGCAGTCAAGACGCAGCAAGCTAACACCGTGAAAGTTTCACATACTACAGCCACAGTATTTTTTTCCCTATCTTGCATCTTCACTACTAATTTCACTCCAGACATCTGTCGGTACTGTATCTCACTGTGACAACAAAGTTCCCCCCTCAAAGAAAGCAAAGACAACACACATGAAGTCTGAACACCCAGCGTCCACCACCAGTGCTGGGCCTAAGGGGGATGGCAATTGGGTGGAACTAGTGTCAAAGGCGCATTCAACATACCTGAACACTGATCTTCCTCCAGGTTGCCATGAAGATGGAAAATGGGCCAGGCAGTTTTTACCAACAGTCTTTCTCTGGCTCAGTGCTCAGGATGAACTTTGGACAATTACTGATGCAAAACTTCTTCATGCATGTCAGGAAATTTTCAAGGTTGTCTTCCCAAACATTCAATACAAGGTTGTAACATCTGGTTCAGTTTTCAGTGTAGTAAGTTCATCTTCCATTTAATTGATGGTGTTCTAATTATTTTATTTTCAGGTCACTCAGCATGTCAGTGAATGGCACAGCAACTTTGGATTGACTGTGCTCACCATGGTGATTGATTTTCTAAATTCAAACAGAGACACTTCTCCGCAAACACTCACAAGACTCTTCCTTGATGAATTTGCATTTCTGTACCCTGATCCTGAGAATATCAACAAGGCTGAAACCTTCCACTCTGCTTTTGTGCAAGAGCTGCTCGCTACTGCACATCTTGCCCAAATTATTGGGCATGCTGATGTTCCTGCACTTGATACCAATACTCTAGCAGACAGTGGCATCACTGGCGCCCTTGGATTGTGTGCAGTCTCAGTGTGTTAATTTATTGGTGTGGTTTGTTGCACTGATTTATCTAATTCTAGCTCAAACACACCTTCACCCTTGTCACTGACAACACCATTGTTGTTGATAATCCTGAGGCACCTGTTGCAGGACAAAAGGCTTGTTTAAAGACACCAAAGTCCTTCAACAAGGTAACCAGAAAGGAAATGGCCACTGAGCATGCATTCTCAATTGCCAAGTGGGGCCTGAAAACTGCTTCATTCATTCAAGGGGCAAATAAGAAGGGTGTGGAATCAATCTGGCTGACAATGTCCATGGCCTACAAGTACTTGAAGAAACCTGGCTTCAACAATCACAACAGCCTTGACTCAGTGGATGAGATGGACAACTGTGCAGACATCTGGTGAGCAGTGCTCCACTTGTGCCAGTTATCCTTCTAATTGCCTTTTTTCAGATTGAATCACCTTGATATTCATTTTTCACACACCATTTGCAGCCATTTGCAGCCATTCTTGGCTCTCTTTAGATCTTGTTTTAATCATTTTCTCCTGAGTTTATACAGTCCTTTTCCTGCTTAATGTGTCTTGGTACACCTTGCAACGCTTTAGAGTTACTATTTGGTTGAAAATTGGGATAATTTGAATCTGATGATATTTGCCTTTTAGTAAGTTTTTTTTGTCTTGAGCAATGCAAGTTAAGGTGAAGTCAGACAATTTTAAGAATACACATGGCCTTTTGGCATCTTGTGCACTCAAGATCTTTTTGCAACTTTTATGACCCTGCAAGTCAAAAAAAGATGCCTCAAGTCATCTTGGATTTTCCTGATGCTCCGAGGTCCACTACACTGTGTATAAGCATGGCACAGATGGTCACTTTGATTTTAACAACAAGAATGCTGCTACATTCGCAGAGGGTGTGTGTGTGTATTCATCTTATTAGTAGTACTACTTTCTGATCTCAACTTTCCCCCTGCAGACCCTTTACCCTATGTTGCAGATGGATGATGTTAAATGGATGTTGAGCAATGCTGCTGAGAGTTTGAAGAGGTATATTATATTGTTGATGGAAGGTATGGGGCTTGAGGAGGCTGCAATTCAGAGTGCATGTGACTCCTGTCCCATTTTTGAGCCTGCTTGGATGGTGGCTCTCAACTCTATCTCTTCTGCAATATACCTCACAGCTTATTGCCAGTACTTGGATTGGCACAACCACAAATATGACAAGTGTAAGACAATGCACGTTGATGTTCAATCCTCAGACTCCAGCACCCAACTGACAAGTACTTTCTTGTTGATTCCAATGACTTCCTCATCTAGTGCAACAACTTCCCCATCTGATGTGATGGTCTCTTCCTCTGCTGGGTTGTCACTTGATGTGCTGCCAGAGCACTCAGCAAAGAAGTTGAAGATCCAGCCTGAGGGAAATCATGAAGAGTCTAAGGTGAAACCAAAGATGAAGGTGAATGGGAATGGGAAGGGGAAGGGGAAGAGTCATTCATAGGCTCTTTCCATGTCAATCATCAAGGTGAGTGTCTGTTGTTAGACTTGATTTCCTCTAACACTAACAATTTACATGATTGGTACTAGTACTTAGTCCCATCTTCACTTGTTCTGTTGTGCTGCTCTTCAAGTTGTTGTCATCCATGTCACATTTGTTCTTGTACTTCTACTAGTTGGACTGCATGAAACATACTACTACTCATCTAGATACCACATGCATAGTACTACTATTGATGTTTCTCACTGAATGTACCATGATATTCATGTAGTACTAGCAGTATGCCTAATTTGTCACATCATGTTTGACCACTGAGTCGGCATGACTCAGGAAAATTTGTCAACAACTTGAAAGTCATGAATGTCCTCCAGTGCCCAACTTGTGACAGCCTTGTCTCTTAGAGGGATTTCACTTGATCAAAGACACTCACATCATGATGAATCCCAGACCCATCCAACACAACTTGAAGCAATTCATGGAACACTTGCATTGGTACCACCCAGGCCAAAGCCAATACTACTAGTAGGACCTCCCCCTAAGGTCTCCAACCTGAGCACAGATGGACCAGTCATGAACAGCATATCATCCATTCAATTGCACCCATCAACCATTCACCACACCCCATCCTTGTCCATCTATCAGGCTCAACATACATCTATGATTATCCTAGTACCCACTACTACTATGCAAGGCATCTCACACCCTAGCTGGAAGTGCATTGGAACTCCCAGGGCTATTGGTGCTCTGTGAAACCAATCCCCTGCATTATTGCATCACTTGGCCATGCCAATTGTTGCACATTCTACTACTAGTAGGTTGAACATGGACAACTTGAAAAAAATCCCATCACCTATATTCCCAATAACAATGGAGCCAAACTCTGACTGCGAAGACAGCAATAATGTAAGTTCAACTGTACCCATACATGCTCAGGATCCAAATGATGATGTTACCCAGGAATCTACTAACTCCAATGACACACAGGCTAGCAATGAATTCAAGGCCCAGCTTGTTTTGAATGTGACCCAAGCACAGCAAGATGTTCACCTGGCAGAGAAGACACTCACAGACTCTGTTCTCAAGCAGAATGTCACACTTTGGGAAACTCTACAAGTTCAAGGCTACACAAGCCAAGAGGAATTTGGAGGATGCTGATATCAACATTGGTTATGTATGCCATTCAGTCCACAAAAGTGGAATCATATTGTTGGAGGACTTTGTTACTAGCAAACCTCAAAAACACCATTGCAAATCTACTACCAGTAGTCACATTGATAGTGATACACTCAGCCCAGAAGTAGATTTAGCTTGGCCACCACCACTGGCAGGTAATTGTAGTCTGTTAAATTTATTCAACCACTTCTACTACTGACACATTTTTCTATTTAGACACAGGATCTCTGAGTGCAACTCTGAGTCAAACACTCAATTATGACATGGTGTCTGATTCTTTGGGCTTCAAGTTGTGAAGCAGTAATACTAGTACTATGTAGTATACTATACCATTCTGTTTACATCTACTAGTATACTAGTAGTACATACTTTGAATCAATGTTTGTAAATGCCAGCTTTAAACTTACTAGTTGCACTTCATTCAAATTTAAACTTAGACTCGGAGGTCACACATCACAGCCAACTTCTCGAGTTGCTCGCTGTAGCACAATGTGTGATGCTATGTTGCGCTGTAGCAATTTTATATACAGTGACTTGCAAAACTGTTACAATATTTGGTACTTTTTCAGTGTACACAATATAGCACCTATGCACATGGGAATCATGCTTAGTGTTGGTGGGGGCGTGTGAACTACAAACCCTTGGCTACAAACTGACACTTGGATCACGTGATTTGGCCAAGGGGATGCGAAGATATGCCTATTTTAAGACAGAGATACCATTGTAACAGTTTTGCAGCTGTTGATATAGATGGAGGGATCTCAGTCAAATCAGAGGATGGTTACTGTTATTTGCTTATACAAATAAAAATATACATAAAAATATTATGTCTGAGTTTGAAATTGCTCCCATGCATCTTTATTCCCCACCATTGCTACTATTTCCTTAGGGGAATGCTTATACTTTGCAAGTCTCCTTTTGACAAGGTCCCAGAGATATTCCAATGGGTTAAGGTCAGGAGATTGTGCAGACCACACCATAGTCCTAAATTCCTGCCCATCTAGTCACTTCTTGACCTTTTTGCAGGTATACTTAGGGTCATTGTCTTGCTGAAAGATGACATCAGAAGCATTAAGAATATAAAACTCCAGGAAATTCTGAAGTTTATCCTTCAAAATTTGAAGGTAAGGATCTCCACCCATTCTACCATCAATCTTAGCAGCATAGCCAACTTCTTCACAGGTCATACAGCCCCATATCATCACAGAACTTCCATTAAACTTAATAGTTCCTTATACCAATCTGTCACCATGCCTCTTTCCTGACTTTTTCCAAGCCCATTTGCAACCATCTGACCCTAGGTGATTAATTTTGGTTTCATCAGACCATATGACCAACTTCCAGTCCTCCAAAGTCCAATTTTTGTGAGTATAGGCAAAGTCCAAGTGTGCTTTGTAATATTTGGCAGACAATAGAGAGTGTTTGGACTTGACTACAGCCCTCATTCCAGATTTTTCAGGTAGCAGCAAGTGGTACTTGGGTTGGGGGGCTAATTGACAATATTTGAAAAAGATTTGAGCACTTGGATAGCAGTTTCTGCAGCATTAAGCTAAAAGAGAATGGTATTCTTTTGAGTAGTAGAGAGAGATCCCATGGTGGTAATGATTAAAAATAAAGAAGCACGGGAGCAATTTCAAACTCAGACATAATATTTTTATGTATATTTTTATTTGTATAAGCAAATAACAGTAACCATCCTCTGATTTGACTGAGATCCCTCCATCTATATCAACAGCTGCAAAACTGTTACAATGGTATCTCTGTCTTAAAATAGGCATATCTTCACATCCCCTTGGCCAAATCACGTGATCCAAGTGTCAGTTTGTAGCCAAGGGTTTGTAGTTCACACGCCCCCACCAACACTAAGCATGATTCCCATGTGCATAGGTGCTATATTGTGTACACTGAAAAAGTACCAAATATTGTAATGGTTTTGCAAGTCACTGTATATCATCATCAATTGCTATACATTGCTACAGAAGTCTGCACCTGCTGTAATATGCTGTAAGCTGCCACGGTAACTGTGCTAAATTTAGTGTTTTGCTGATGCTACCTTGTATAATACATACAGCCAATGTTGAAAAATCCATGTTCTTAATATGCCAGCAAATGTAGGCCCATCAATATATTTTCATGTTAAATACAGGTGGGCCCATAGTGTGTGGTGTAGTAGATAAGTGTACACTTTCTATTGCCTTTGGTAGGTATAGTATGGTAGGTAGGGCATGAAATATATTCCTGATATGAACAGGTGGGCCCATGTCAATATGTACCTGATACCAACAGGTTGGCCAAGTGGGTAGTGGTATTGATATATACAGATGGGCCAACATTATAAGCACATAGATGTATCAGATACACTACTTGGTCAATGGATCTGTCTTATAAAATATACTTTCCCATGATAGATGTGTGTAGTCGGTCAATTGGTCGGTCAATTGGTTAGTCAAATATGATGTATGGTGAAGGGTGGGTCAATGTCCCTGAATTACATGTGCAAAATATACATGATAGATGAGGTGGTTGGTCAATAGCTCAGTCATATGTGATGCATGACGGACACAGTTGGTGTTAATGGAATGCCTGACAAAATACAATGGGCTAATCATAGACAAGGAAATTGGTCACACAGTTGGTTGGTCAAAAATGTCTGGTCAAATATGATGTATAATGGACTAGCTTACAACATATACTTCTGTGATGATAGACATGGTGGTCGGTCAAATGCATGGTCGGTCAAATACAATCAACAACCAATGCCTTTTGATACTTGGAATCACACAATCAATTCATATGCAGTCCAGCCCCAAACAATTGCATTCAAACTATGTGATTAACACTGTCTATCTAACTACTGATTCATACGTAAGGGTATATTTGGTATCAAGGGAGTGAATGAGTCTCAGAAGCAGACAATGATGCACTAAACTGAGATTGGACCGCAGGAGTAGATGACAGTCAACAGTGAACTTGCATCATTTATAGATTTCGCTGACTGTCCCGACAATGACCGAGATTGCATACCACACAGCTCAACTAAACATTGTATATTATATTGAAAACCATGAAAGTTGCAACACTGCTTTAGGTCTAAGTGAGGACCTGCCTGGCAGAGTAACCACTAAGGGTGGTGGAGATCACCTTTGCCAAAATGCTAAATAGAAATAGTATCATCAGGAACAATCAGGCACTTAACATCAGGAACGTACTTGTGAACAGTGAACAGTGGGTGCAGAGTATTAAGCCAGCTACAAAACAACGCCATTAGAATCGCTTGAGACCTTCGAACTGACTTACAAGTAGCTCGACACAGGTGCACAACCCTCAACCTGGTAAGTGAGAGTGGGTGTGCCATTCTCGTAAGCTGTGCAGTAACCAGTGACGTTCACGAAACCGAAAGTCTGCCACTCGTCAAGAAGTACGTTGAAAATGGGCTGAGTGTCCACTATAGTGACGGTGTCAAGATCTGGGTACTTGGATTCGAAGGTTTGCACATATTGCGTGAGCAGTGTGTTGTACTCAGCAATATCAATGCCCATTTGCGCTGCAGCCGTAGGACCTTGCTCGATGAAGAGGGGTGCACGGTTGGTAGGCGGGACAGTGAGGAACAAGAACGATCGAGCGCCATTTGAGTACAGATCGTCAACCTGATTTTAATAATGTCAATAACATATCGAGCGCTCCGGGTACAACCTCCCCTCACCTGGGAAAACAGACGGTCCATGAGAGTTCCATAGAATTCAACCTGAGTTATGTTGGTCTGGGTGCAAATCGATCAGCGACAAATACTCCCATCCCGAGTACAATGAGAATGACCCACCCAACCGAAAGAGTTTCCCTGGATTTGTACGTTTAACAATTCGAAATACAGGAGATTGTGCGGAATATGCGTACAACGTCATTTATACCAATCCACACAGCGAACAGACTGTTTGTGCTTTCCCATGTAGCGCCAGCAGGCTTGGATGCCAAGTACTTGTTGAATTGAGCCACCTGATTAACCACAGAACTGCAAAAATGATTTAGACCACAATCAAATAGAAGGACTCTACACACACAGCACAGTGGGTAGATAAGGTGGAACAAGGGCTGCATCGATGGTTGCACCACCGTAAGCTAAGTTGAAGGTCTGGACTTCATATGTCAGTATACCAGCCAGATAGGTGGACTATGCAATCACCTTCACGGCCGTTTGGTTGTATGTACTGGCTACTATGGTGTCAGACACAGAGTAATGCCCCCTTCTCTTGTTACTTACTCAAAAATTCAACCCAGTCCTGACCATTCGATGAAGTCTAACGATATGAAGTCAGCCCAAGAAACGGTCAAAACACAACACAACGCTTACATATCCTGGGTCTGGCGAATTAATACCAGCAGAGACGTTATATCCATCGGTGGTATACGAGTCTCCAAATACAAACATGTATTCAGTCGCATTCCAGGAAAGGGCTGACGCAAAAGAGCTTAAACAGAGTAAACCAATACTGGCGACGACTAGGCTGCGCGCCATGACCATCTTCAGAGAACGCTAGAAGGGACAAAATAGGTGGATTTAACGTACAGCCGACGTTACCTCTTATATAACCATGCTACAAAAGCCCTGGGTAAGGACTACAGCCCGTAACCCGACAATAATCCGCATTTCAGACTATATGCCACATACAAATGGCATTCGACCCTGTTCGTGAGGTTCGGATAAAGGAATGACCTCTGCCGGGGGAAAACGGATTAAATCCAGCCCGAGCGAAGCCAGATTGCCTGGGGGACAGGGAATTAATCCATTGGATGACAGTACCAGTTCGTCGAGTGAATACCTCAGGTGCTTGCTCACGAGATCTACGTGGATCACGCGTGAAGGCCACCGCATAGGTCACGATGATCATTTGCCTTTATGGGTCAATTTGTGCTATTGATACTGCATAGAAGTCACGAGTTTGTTTCCCATGCTGTCATGATAACTCCCTTGTAGTTTGATTGTACAGTTTAAGCACACATGGATTGATGGTTGGATATCAGGCAAGCAGACAAATGAGCACACACCAGTAACACGATCATTCCGAGTTCTTCTGTAGCAAAGTAGGGTGCGTTACAAGGGACAAGGCAGATGGGTTCAGGTTAGTGGTGCGTGATGGTATGAGACGTATATTCCTTCGAGCTGGTTTATTGAATGAAGGGTTACAAGTACCGATATGACGGATAGGGGCAGCGATACCGAAGAAGCGAAACGATATCCATCCGTAGCAGCGTGGTTACGGAGCCAACAAGAATGCTTCATAACTTTACCTATGGAGGTTCCGGGTGCGGGTACAGTGTCAGCTTTCCGACCCGCGGCGTCACCCGTGCGGAACCCTAAATACTGCTGGTTGTGGCTGGTTGGTCGGCCAACGATTTGCGTAATGAAGCCTGCGGTGAATAATCAAAATGCATGCTGGGATATACCTCATAGGTTCGTAAGGGCATCAATCAATCGGAAAGAACTGTAACCGAAAGTCCCCAAAGTGTTAATTTCCACGAGTCTTCTACAGCGCCTTGGTAAAGAGTCGTATGATCATTGATGACAATGACCCGAGATGACTTTGTGTGCTTCGCTCAGACCGGGGAAAGTAAATCAAAGAGGCTAAGCCAGATTGGGCCGTTGCGAGGCGGTAGATGCTATAGAGATAGCTGAATCATTCGAAATTGACAGTGGAGCCACTCAGAGGCTATGTAAGAGAAGCCGAATCACCTGGGTGCGTCATGAAACTCGGTTCGGTAAGTGCTTGAAGTGAAACCCGGTCGTTCGAGAACGACTTGGTCAATCTCAGCACGGGCTATTGCAAGTGTCCACCTATGCGCACGCGCAGTTTTGCTGTTGAAACGTTAAGTGTCGAATGCTCTGGCAGCGTCACGCTCACGGTGTTATGTCTGATGTGACGCAGTGGATGTAAATAGGTCCTAGAGATGCCCAGGTCTGTGACAGACACGCAACCGCTTTCGCTTCGTAGTATAACTTGCTTTTTTTTTGATGGAACGATATCACCCGCTAGCAACTGACAAGGTCAATCCTAGTGGATACGTTAGGAGTATGGGGGGGCTGCATGTACACCCGAGCCGGATAATAGAAGAAGTAACTTGAAGCGAAGATGTCGAGCAGAGGTTTTTTTATTGTGAATAACGTCACGGGTGTCCGGGTTTCAAAGAAGTCGTTCAAAGCAACCGAGTTTAAAAGTCCGAATGATCACAAACACCGTGACCCGTCTTCTTTCTCGTATAACATCAGTCTGCCTAATAGGAATCCCTTGTGCCGGATAGTGATTGAAAATATCCGATACAAGCAAGGCAGACATCCAGCACTGTTGTTAAAATCACTATAAAGACTGACAATCTCGTACCCAATGGTAGGTTCCTCATCTCGACGTTCATCCGACGACCCCTAATACTATGTTTCCCAGTGTTACCCACACGATCACTCCTGACTCCGAGCCCTCACAATTCATTTTACCTGACCTCACCAGTGATTGCCACTATCCCTTGCGAAAGAGCCCTCACTGTTACGCGATATCCCGCGCATCTGATCGATGGCTCGCTGACGTGGCACAACTTGTAGAGCCCGAGATCAGAGGGTATCTTGATATGGACACAGGCGCATTAGCTGCCGCTTGCTATCCTGATGCAGATGCTTTCCATCTCCAAGTCTGCGTTGAATCCATTAATTGGGCGTTCATTATAGATGACTGGATGGAGTCTGGTATCATCGATGCACGGGGAGCGCTTGAATCCTGTATTTCTGCATTGCGCGATCCCATCAATTTTGACACGGAACAGGTTGATGCAAAAATGTGCAAATCGTATGACTATTTTTTCCATCGTATACACTCTTTTTAAAAATCGTTATGTCGTTAGGTATTTCAGCCGCTTCAGGGAGACTGCCGGCCCCGGTTGCACGGAGCGGTTTATCCACGCAGTCGAATTGTTCTTCACTGCTGTGGCTAAGCAGGTGGACGACCGTGCCAAAGGAAATATGTATCGTCTGGAATCTTACACCGCCCTGAGGCGAGATCTAGTCGGGGTGGAGCCCTGCTTTGCCCTCATCGAATTCGTAGCTCGAATTGATCTTCCCGACGAAGTCGTGTCGCATCCAGTTATCAAGGCCTTGGAGCACGCGACTATCGATCATCTTGCTTGGGCAGACGTAATCATGTTATGTCATTGAACACTGGGGCGCTGCTGACATTACTGCCGACAGGATATTTTGTCATACAACAAGGAGCAATCTCGCGGCGACGAACACTGGGAAAATATAGTCGCTGTGCTCATGCACGATCGAGGACTAGACCTGCAAGGCGCCATGGACTACGCTGGCCAGATGTGCAAAGATGCCATCCGGCGCTTTGAATCCAACCGTGCCATCCTCCCTTCGTGGGAAGAGGAGGTCGACAGACAGGTGGCTATCTACGTCGAAGGGCTGCAGAACTGGATTGTTGGCTCACTTCACTGGCACCTTAATTCCGCTCGCTATGGTGTCACGCCGGACCGAATCATCAAGCTGCTTCCCAAGAGGTCCTCGTAGAGCCTAGCACTTAGTGCACGACTTCTGGAGGTGAGCTTGGTTTCACTTCTTTTATGCACTACGCAATTCTTATGACTAGCTTAGTACAACATCAGTACACGATTCACGTCTCATGCAGACTTGAAATTTTGCTTCGGTCGCATAATACGTGACATCCCACCTTCCTTTGTCTTTCGTGGTTTCAAGTTCTCATTCAGCTCCTTGCGTGCACTTCTTGTCCATCTTTTGTACCACCATTGTATGTACATTGAATAGTCTCGTATTCTTGTACGAATCAAAGTTGTACCAGAACCGATTTGAAGATCAGCGTGCTATTTGAAATTTCAGGACTACGACGATGTAATGAGGGTTTGAGTTGGATCTTAAAGGTTTAGCCTACTGCCTGAGAAGGTGTGTGAGCGTCTAAAGACTGGCCGCAACAACCAGCCAAATCCCCGAATTTCTGCAGAAGGCTCATGATCGAGTTAGATTCTCGGGTGCACCTTTGCGCGCCATTGAAGTTCATTCAGGACGTTCCCGCAGGTCGTGAAGTTCTGCGATGGTCGGCTGGGATGGTCGGCTGGTGTGCACACCACCGAAGAAAACAACCGTTCTGAGTCCCTGGAAGTATTGCCGCGCAACCGCTTTCCGGCCAATTAGCTTCGTATCATATGTATGTGTTGAATCATTACCATCACACCGGTTTTCTACTTATCACGTGCACTCGAATAGATAATACGTACCGTCTCGCACATGCCTAGTCTCTCGTTGTCCCGCCGTCTCTTACTCTATGTTCTCTAGTTAGCGTGTGAGGCTTTTCAATCTACAACATTAAATCCAAGTAAATAGGAGACAGAACTATAAAAGCATAGCTACAGCGCAGTCTTCGGTGCCTTGGGCATCGCATATAGGTGGAGGGATGCACTTACTACACTGACAGAACACTGCAGGTAATGTATTAATGAGTTTCGTGACCCGCGCTTTGCAAAGTTGCCTGTGCGTTAAAGAAAAACAGATAAACTCAAACGGTCACATGACAGCAAGCACATTGAACAAAGCCTCAACAAAATTCGTTGTGAATGAGCAGATTCTACGGTAGTACCACGAACCGTCGCGACTCCAAATTACAACTAGATCAATCTTATTTATCAAGATCATAACTTCAATAAAATGCCCCGACAGCTTCGTGCTCGCACATCCCGACCGAATTATGCTTCGCTTGCAGCCATAGGCGATGAAAAAGACTTGAAAGCCAGTCCACCCAAACCATCCTTCGACGAGGACGCGGATAGCGGGAGTGACTTCGCACCGGACAAGCTTCCTGAAGATGCCCCCGAAGATTTACAGAACGACTCCGAAAATCTTCTTGAAGTAGACGAGGAAGAAGCGGAAGTAGCGCCGAAACGAGGCAAGAATCAGACTCTACTACTACTACTACTACTGCGGGGTCCAGGCCTATATCGCATCTACCCTCGATAACGGGAGCAACGCCGTCCCATAAGCCCCCACCAAAATCTCAGTCTGCGCAGGCATCTACTTCTAAAATATCTGCTCCGAGAGCCGCGAAGATGTATGCCCTGCCAAATCCTAGCGTCCACCATCGACACAGAGCCATGCCGGTTTTTCTTCGCAAGGAAAAGGTCGAACGACTTGATGCTCCCCCCACGCTCTTCAACCCACCAAACATCGTGTCAACCAATAGTATCACATCAGAACAATTTCTAACTGATCGCATCAGCAAGGCTTGGGGTTACAATGTCGGCCCTGGTCCTGTATGGAACATCATGGAAGACCGGTCATGCTTCAAGGAGGCTTTGGAAGGGGAAGAGAATCTAATAAACGAGTCGTTCAGGCGACCCAGAGTTCATCACGATGTCGGGATGAAATCTGGATGGACGAGACTGAACGAGTAGTAAGCGCTTCTATATCGGTGCTCATTCGAATCACTCAACGTTGAAATCTTCTCAGTGATTCTGCGAGGTATTTGCCCACTGACACTGTATTAACAGATGACGGTCAACTGCGGCCCCCTGCTCCTGTCCATTGTTTCCTTGGATCGCATAGTCGCCAGACTCGGGTTGAGATGGCCATGTTCGACAGTCATGCTACATGTATGCTCACCACTTTCGCGGACGTTGGTCGCGATTACAACTCCCATGTTTACAGCAGAATATATGCCTGGAAGCAAATCTTTCGTGTTCAATGTTGGATCTCCTGCGTGGGGTGCAGATTGGTGTCCCACTTATCCAGATGACCGACCTTGTAAGATAGAACGCTCCCTCGTCAGTAGGCACCGCTCAAGATAACGTACAGGTCGGGACTATAAGCATTACCTTGCGATCGCCCCATTCTCATCGCGGTCGCATTCACCAATGATCGGTGCGAAAGCTCAGCGTCCCGTTCCTGCTTGCGTACAAATATGGGGTTTGCAGTCCAAACGAAAGAACGCCTCACAAGCAGACCTCTCACTAGCAGGCGAAATGAAGTGCGAGATGGTCCTTTGCTTGGAGTCAGGGCCTGCGTTCGAAATTAAGTGGTGCCCTCTTCCCTCGCATGATCAAGTTTGTTTACGATATGTCTACACCTTCACACTTTGCTAACGGTGAGAGTACAGTGGAATGAAGTTCATATGGGAGAGCACCCGCGAAAGTTAGGACTACTAGCAGGCACATTTGAAGACGGTTCGTTGTCCGTATATGTCGTTCCAGACCCAGAGGATGTAAGGAGTAAAGATGACGACCCAATGCGTCCGACATTTGGTGGGTTGTTAGCCCTGCTTTATGAACATACGACTGAGACCGGTTCACAAAACAGTGCATTTACCCGAACCACTTCTTCGGATAGAGCTAGAGGAAACTTCCTGCTGGTCTCTTGACTGGGCTAATAGCGAAATCATTGCTGTTGGTTGCACAAATGGTCTGGACGTTGTCCTTCAGTCAAAATACCCCTCATCACCGTCATCCTGTAGGTTTCGTCGCTGTATATGACATTGGTCATGCAGTCAGAACAGGTCAAAGCCTAAGTGAGTTCCGGCTGCTTTTGCTTACTCCAGTCGTGACGAAAAATTTCCAAGACATGCTCCCAACCCATTATATTTCAATACATCAGTGCGCGGTGCGAGCCCTTGCATGGATTCGTATCCCGCCGACGAATGGCTCTGGCGTACCATCCATATCCGAGGACCCAACGTTTCTGGCTACCGGCGGATACGACGGCCTGGAATGTCTGACTGACATTCGAGAACCACATGGGAATATTGTAAACAGGACACGGGGTCAGTGCCTTTGACAAGTAATTATATTTCTCTGATACACGTTCCCTAAAGACGTGATCAATAGCACGACGTACTCCGCATTCGCAGGCGGACCGATTATGATTGATCACGATAACACTGTTAAAGCATATTCAATATCTCCCAGTACGCTAGGCAGAGGGCATGTACTTCTGGAGCCTGATGGACCGGTGTGGGTACGTGCCACAACAGTCACCGTCACTGCGCCTCTGAATAATATTGCAGAGCGTCAGTGCATCGGACTACCACGCTCAGCTAGCGGTCGGCTCAGCAGATGGCTCTTGCGTCACGACCAACACTCTGAAATCAACAAGGAGAGGAGGGTCGGTCGTACGTATCCCGTGACGATCATGAGCATTCTTCTCTCAAAGTCTTATAGCCATTTTTCGTCCACAAGATCTTTCAGCTGGACTACAGCCGAAAAACAGGAGAGTTTCGTATGTTAGACCATTTCCTTCCGCAAGTGAGTGACATTCTAGATATAGCCCCGTTGTTACTGACACCTACACCAGGAAACTCAAGAAAGGTCCGCAAATTCGAAAGGGAAACAAGCCAAAAAAGATGAATCTGAGACGAGCATCAGTACTGGTGTATGGCCACCTGAAGTAGGCGTTCATCGTGTTACTTGGAACACGGGCAATGGTCTGGGCGGAGCGCCTCTACTCGCGTCTACCACGGGTTCAGGACTGTGTAGGGTGGATTGGTTGCTAGGACGTTGGATCCGGAACAAGGTGCCATATGTGAATGTGCCAAACATGAGGAAAGAGGTCGACGACATGATGGACGAAGACAGTGGGGATGATTGACATATCCAAAAACGTTTTGTGATTTCAATGAATGAGGAATACAAATTAGAAACTCCATTGGGTATTGAGTACGCAACACCACCCTTTCTCCGGTGATCGCGCATCGTAAGCGAAGTGTGCCATCTATTTAGATCTGATCAGGAGGCAATGGAGCCTGACTAGGAGAGGAAGATGCAGTATGAGGCAGTGACCCTTGTCGAATGGTGGGTTAAGTTCACATTGAGTTTCAATTTGCACAGTTTATCCTGCAGGAAATAAACGGGATAGCAGCGACGGAAGGAGAGTATGTAAACGTAGCGAATGAAATTGCCGCGCAGCCCTATACTGTTTTGCGAGAGTGAGCCCATTAACTGTAGCAGAACGGACCGAATGAAGTGCAGAGGTAAATGAGTATTGTATGAAATCTATAGGAAGTGCATAGATCTTCGGTTGATCAACCTAAGTGCTTAAAGGACGATTGATAGATACAAAGGTAATGCAACCTACTACTGTTCCCGACACATGTGCCATGAGGTGCCGTGTACGACACGGCTCAAGTCTAGCTGTAAGGCATTATTGGGTATCACCAACACGTTGCCCTGCGCATACGTCACTGGGTGGAACACGGGTGGGATCCAGAGGAGAAGTCGTCCTTCAGGACCTACAACCCAACCCTCCTCATTCGGGCCGGAAGGGGCTGGGGTGTTAGAATCTTGGATAAAGGAGGAGGTGGAATGAAGGGCATGGGTCAGGTCGGGCGAGAAACATATCACAGGTGCTTCGAAGTATTGATGCTGGATTAGAAATTCGAGGTCCCACACCCGAATGGTCTTGTCGGCTGAGCCCGACACAATGCGTTTGCCATCAGGCGAGATTGCGACAGACCTAACAGGTCCGGTGTGCCCTCGGAAAGGGGCACCCACTGCCTTGCCAGTCTGCATGTCCCACACCCGGACGGTCTGGTCATCCGAGCCGGACACGATGCGATTACCGTCTGAGGAGATCATAACAGCATTAACCCAGCCAGTGTGGCCTTCGAGGGGGGCGCCCAATGGCTCGCCAGTCCCCATACCCCACACACGAATAGTCTTGTCCCGTGAGCCAGACACAATGCGAGATACATCCGGCGAGATTGCAACAGAGAGGATCCAATCAGTGTGACCTTCGAGAGGGGCACTCGATGCCTTGCCAATCCCCATATCCCACACCTGAATTGTCCTGTCATCCGAACCAGACACTATGCGATTTCCGTCCGATGAAATTGCGACAGACCGAACCCAGTCCGAATGCCCACTGAGACAATGTGCCTCGCCAGTCTTAATATGCCACACTCGGATTGTATTGTCTTGTGAACCAGACACGATCCAGTTTCCGTTCGGCGAGATTGCGACAGACCGGACATAGTCAGTGTGACCTTGGAGACTAACACCCAATGCCTCCCCAGTTTCCCCATTCCACATACGAATGCTCTCGTCCTCTGAACTAGACACAATACCCTTCCCGTCTGGCGAGATTGCGACCGACAGAACAGGTCCAGTGTGCTCTTGCAGAGGTCCAACTAATGCCTTGCCAGTCTCTATATCCCGCACTCGAACTGTCGTGTCATCTGAACCGGACACAATGCGATGTCCATCTGGCGAGATTGCAACAGAGTTAACAGGGGCAGTGTGGCTTTCGAGAGCGGCGACTGATGTCTTGCCCGAAACGGTGTCGGCATCCCACACCCGAATCGTGTTGTCCAATGAACCAGAGACTATACGACTTCCATCTGGCGATATTGCAACAGACAAAACCTCGTCAGTGTGACCTTGGAGATGGGATCCTACTGATACGCCAGTATTCGCATCCCACACCCGGATCGTCTGGTCAGCTGAACCAGACACGATGCGACTTCCACCTGACAGGATTGCAACTGACATAACAGAGTCAGTGTGGCCTTGGAAGGGGGCACCAAATGCCTCGCCAGTCTCCATATCCCACACCCGGACCGTCTTGTCATCTGAACCAGAGGCTATGCGTTTGCCATCCGGTGAGATTGTGACAGACCGAACCCAGTCCGTGTGTCCTTGCAGAGGGGCGCCAAATGCCTCACCAGTCTCCATATTCCACACCCGGATTGTGCTGTCTAGCGAACCAGACACAATGCGTTTCCCATTTGGTGAGATTGCAACAGACTGAACTCCTTTCGTGTGTCCTTGGAGCGGGGCACCAAACACTTCGCCAGTCTCCATATCCCACACCCGAATTGTCATGTCATCCGAACCAGACACTATGTGTTTCCCATCTCGTGAGATTGCAACAGACTGAATATAGCCAGTGTGGCCTTTGAGAGGGGATCCTAATGCCTCGCCAGTCTTCACATCCCACACCCGGACTGTGTTGTCATATGAACCTGAAACGATGCGATGTCCATCTGGCAAGAATGCGACAGAGCTAACCCTGCGAGTGTGGCCTTGAAGAGGGGCACACGATGCCTCGCCAGTATCCATATCCCACACCTGGATCGTTCCGTGTTGTAAACCACATGCAATGTATTTTCCGTCTGACGACATTGCAACCGACCAAACTGGTGCATTCGTGTGGAGTATCTTTTCCATCTGAGGCCAATTTTCGATATGGCCAGCAACAATGCGGGGGGTGCAAGGAAACTTTGAGGCAAACTTGCGAAACATTCTCGATTGCGTTGGAGCGAACGGCAGAGCGGACAAGTATAAATGGGGAGTGCTGTGTAAAATGGTGGCTGCGAAAGTTCGGACGAAACGTAGGGCATCCCTGGTAGCGTCACTAACATGCGTGAACTCGGCACGACCCTACGACCACCCCATCACTCGTAAGAATTCGCTGGTCAAAGAATGAGCTTGAGCTACCCACCGAAAACCAATTTGCAGTGGATGAGAGAGTTACTACTGAGCCGCCGATGCTTCTCGTCAGAGCCAGTGCTTCCAACCACCAAAGAAGGCGCTCTCCATCGAAGAAAGCTTCGACTTCCTTAGCGAGAGACGATTCAAAGGACGAGGCCGTCACATGACTCCCCCAGAAGCGACATGAGTATGATAGTTCCGCCGAAATGGATTTCTTCACTCGTTCTGCGAAATCGGGGACGGCAGAATTGGGTAAGTAAGAACTCTCCAAGGAGCAGATATTGAAGCAAAGTCCGCCCTCCATGACCCGAAGCGTTGCGAACGCAAGATCTCTCTGCACCGCTGATGCATCAACGAAGAAGTCAAGGCTCCGCGATCTGTCTGTGAGGAAGTCGTAGAATGACGCATGAAGGGGACGTATGGGAGTATGAGAATCCGAGGCGCCAGAGATGAGCGAGCCAAGATGCCCCATGAGCAACTTCACGTCGTAGTGGTCATCATCGCATGGGAAACACTGCCGCATCGCGTTCAACGCAGTGATGGAAAGTGGTTCCGATGATGCAAGAATTTGACCCATCACAGACCGAAAGATAGGGATCGCCTCCTCCTGCATGTGCTTTGGCATGATATCTCCCAAGATGCGCTGGTACATCTGATCCAACAAGTGTACGCCTCTGGCGGATGTTTCACAGATGTCAAGAAAATGGCGCATCGGGCCGCGGCTCACGAAATTTGTGCTCTTGATATGTTCAGAGGCGAGACGAGCCCATTCAAACAGGCCATCCGATTTCAGAGCGAGCGCTCTGAAGTGCGTATCATTGAAGACGTGACGCAGGCCTTCCAGCTTATGGGAGATATACAGTTGAATGTCGAGCTCTGTGGACGCAGATGAGACGTCATCCATCGAAACATGGCGAACATGTGGCGCGGCGTGCAGAGTATTGTGAATGTCTTCGAGTGGACGGGAAGTGAGGAGAATGCGGAAGTTGGTTGGGAGTTCGACTGGTTGTGAGGTGGAAGCGCTCAGTTTGCCAGCAAGCAGACGAAGAATCTGTTCCCGGGAATTAGCTTCACCGCTCTCGTCCAATGCTTCAATCACAATCAAGACGGGTGCGGCGATGGCTTTTGAGGCTATGCTTGTCGGTCCGACGATGAGTTCCTGCCATTGTTTGGTGATATCTGCAGTGCGCTTAAGTCCGTCACGATCACGAACTGCTTGCGCTAATGCTCGTCGCACGATAGGGTTGCAGTCCGCCAACTCCCTTGCGATGGTCGTGAATATTTTGTCCTGACGACGATTCGCTTGCTGAGTACGATCGAAGCAGAAGCACGAACCGAGACCACCGTTTTCGATATACCAGTTGGCTATTGTATGAGCAACAGCTGATTTACCCTTGCCTGCTGCACCAGACAACCATAAGACGCGTGGAGCACCTTCCTCGGTGCTGCTGATCCAATTCTGAATGTCCTTCAGAAGATCTTGCCGAGTGTTGGGCAGACAACATTTAGACGTGTTCAATCCGGCACCCGTTGCGCATTCCATGCCGAAGAGGTCCAGACTCTCAGCTTTGCAGGGGGTCATGAAATGTTAGATAAGGCTCAAGGAGACCTGAAAACATCTCTTACCCATGTGGTGGACGACCACAACGGTGTCGCGAGCCGCTCGGTCTCGGAATTGCTGCATGAGACCGTCGAGAACATTGTTGTAGCTCTGAATCGTTGTGTCCGTTTCGTCGAAGATGTGCTTGCCAAGTCTTATCCCTATATTAAACAGGCAGCATTGAGTCTCAGAGGACGATGCAGTGGGATAAACTCACAGGCGCTCTTCGTCTCGGAGTAGTGGCTGATAAAATCAGCGCACTCCAGGGTCTGGTGCGCCATCTTCCCATATATCGCTAGCATGGATTGAATCTTGCTCAATTCCTCCTCTTCCGTGATGAAGGTATAAACTTCGGATATCTTTGAGAGCAGACTAGAAACAGCGGCATCACGGTCTGCCTGATCGAGAATCATCTGTTACCGAAACTTCGTCAACCTGCGACGGCGATGATCAAGAAAGCAGCCTACCTTGGACGCGCAAGTGAAGATACTTAGTGCCGCCTTCGCGTAGGGATGGATCTGTGTATGAATGTCAGTCGCGTACAGAAGAGATATTGATGGATGTACATTTGCAATCTCGTTGGCAACGGAGTTAAACACCCTCAATGGTCTAAGAAGGGCGGCGAATGTGTTGATTGGATCAGAAACAGATGGTAGGTTGTTGATCGCTGAAGAAGTATCTTGGACTATTGTTGGGACCTGGCCGACGCCTGCGAGACCTTTGGTAGCATTGGTGATTCTTTCGTTCACAAACTTCGGGTAGAGATGTCTAGCCTGATTATAAACATTAGCAAAGAGACAGATAAGAATAGTGCAAACTACATTGGTTGAACTTACTTCTGCAATACCTGAATTGGGAGACTGCTCAGGATTCGGCTCAGGAGTTGGAGTGGTGAGATCCTGCAGAAGTGATGAGCAGCAATCATGACACACGGGACACGCCAGGGTTGAAATTGCACATACCTTTGCTGACTGAACAGGTTGGATGTCCTGTGGGCTGAAACTTGCAACCGTGGGGTCAGGGTTGGGGGACTGTCGGGCGCTTCGAGCGAAGCGCTCGGTCATCTTGCTGAAGAGCTTGCGAACTGACCCCAGGGGCCGTCCACTAGACCCATTTCTCGAAGGCGAGAGAGAGGGCAGCTATAATCATTAGAAAGAACGCGTGGTTGCGAAGACGAAAGTCCATACATCGTGACTGGCTGCCCTCCTACCTGTCTCCTGTACCAAATGAAGGTCTGACCGACTTGGCTTCAACCACCCCAAGTGCTTTTTCCCAGGAGGATTGTTTTCATTCATCAACTGGAAAGGACAGTTGAGTGTGGGTGTTAACAAGTTTCTTGGGCAAATCGATGGAGTAACGTGGTGGGTGGCACGAAAGATAGACAGGCGCCTGCTACATGTGTGCAATAAAGAATATTATTTGAATAAGTGATGAACGTGCCTTTGGAAGCGCCCATTATCCATTGGCTACTGGAACGTGATCATGTCATTGAAGGATACTCTCAGTGGTGAGTATAGTTCACAACATACGGACATATGAGCATTGAGGACGAGTATATGTCTCGTTGCGGGTTTCCTTCTGAATTTCACATATCAATTGAATATGTCATCCACCTTGCTATCTCGCT